CTGATCACGAGCATGTGTGTGCATGCATGCCGCATTATGTTTTTTTTATAATTATAAGTGAACGTTTTGAAATTTTGTACAATCTCACATTAAGCTATATGCAAGTTTCAGAATTTTGGACATTACCTGACTAATGTATCAACTTGAAATACAATAACAGTTTTCAGCTGTTGAACAATCAAGTGCATATGATTTACTTTAGCCGTCATTATACATCATGTATAGAGCTACTAGTTTATCTTAGATGTGAGCGAAGGTGTCCCAGGCGATGGTTAGTGACTGAATTGGCCATACAGGGTTTGTGAGCTAACTACGATATAACTAATATAGTAAAGATATAGTTAGTTACGAGTTGTAAACAAGCTAGACACGCTTTTATACAACGTCTTGAAGCATAGACTGTATGGACTGTTAATGCTTATTCCGTAACGTATATATCATGCATGCACGTAGCCTAAGTAATTATAAAGCGCTGTATTAAAGTTTAATCTCAATGATAATGTTTAACCCGCTAAAGTTAATATTCAATGCATGATATACTGTAACATGTGCTATTAGACGCGGATAACTAACGCCTACTGATCAGGCCCGTACAAGTTTAGCCTTGCCTGGCCGTTCGAGCTTTCTGATTGGCTGTAATACGAGAAATCGGAAATAGGACTCTTCAAAACTGCCCTTTATAGTGTTATTAGTGCAGTTTATAATAACTTCACTTCTCGTTCAAGCCATATTTTACTGAAATAAAACACGTAATATAATCATTTGGAGCGAGAACTTGGCTTAAATATATGAATGACATGAGAAGTTACAGCAGGCTTCATCCGCTTCAAGGCTGATGGCCGGGTCATTGGGAGCTGGCGATTCCAAATAACGCTTCTGGAATTACTCCAAAATTGCGATCGAAACTTCCCAACGATTTATATCATGGGCATGACTTGTTGACCAGCGTACATGGATATATTATACCGGTTATATACGATGGAATTATACAAATTATGAACCTTATTTCAATGAGTACACAGAAGACAAACAATTACTTCGATCGGTGTGGTTCATGCATGCAGCTCCGCTGTTGAAAGTTGAACGGGACGGAATCGGAACGGAATCGGAACGTTCATTATATACAGATGCAATTGTAAAATGTTATCTGAAGATATAAAGTAACTTTAGAACGACAAAAGCAGAAGATGGAATGACCTGAAAATGATTAATCATAAAATAATAGCCCTATAGCTAAACCATGATGCGGACTGATAAAATACAGGACATTAACACATCATTTTCCTCTACTGTGGATTACTGAAGTTTGGATAAACGATATCAGCGCTATATCGTTACATAATATCAATAAAAACTAACGTATATAGCCATGTTTGCATTCATGGAAAATATATATAACGCAGAAGAACTATAGTGAAGTCAAAGAATATTCTTCGCCGGGCCTGAATTGTTTATATATATACCGATCGACTATATACATATGTGTCATATGTCAGTTTGGTCACCTTCGTGAATGGCTTGGGTATGTAAAAACGTGCATATATATACCTATCATGTAGTGGCAGACATTATCTAACAACTCAAACTATATCAGTAAACATGTTCTGTACATATTTATAGTGATATATGAACACTATATCACGGTATGAACATGCACTTATAGATGCATGCGTAAATGTATAACATTTTATCTCGTCTAGATATATGAAGGCATCATTCGATTGCAAATATTATTGACACTGCATGTATATGTCTATATTCCTGAAGAGTTTATAATACTATAATATATTTGTTATATTTACTATTACTATTATAGGTATATAGTTATTATTATGTTATAGAGGTAATTTATAGATACTTGCATGGGCTTTTCATAACTTATTTTTATCTGCCTGCATGGAGAGTTCTCATGCATGCATATATATATGTCATTATTTTAGCAAAATTTTGGTCACAATGTTATTTAGCTAGTTCTTCTTGAATAAAAAGGAAAATATACAACGTTTATCTAACATTCAAGATTTGGAATGATGTTCTTGCAGGTTCTACAAATGCAGAACATATATGCTACTAAATATGCATTAATTCTAACTTGTTTCATGTAATCTACAAATAAACACTTTGTCACCAAAAGTTTTCCCATGCATGCACTACATTATACGTTTGCACAATTACTTTAAAGAAAATGTTGAAATAAACTCTCAATGGGCAGTATAGAAGGGAATATTTAAGATATTATCACATGCTATTTGCAACATATTTTTAATCATATTACATGTTTTCATAACTACATGTTTTCGTTCAAAAAATATACGAGTTCTGCAATAAACCAAGAATTGGCATGCAAGTGTTATGTGTGATATGCTTTGAGTCACAATGTTTTAGCCTTGAAAATCAAACCTTGTTACCTTGACCTACTACAACTTATTTATAGGCCATATACATGCAATGCGGATGTTAATTTGAATTATTGACTATTGTAAATCAATTACATCGACTTATTTGCGTACACTAAGACAATAGTGTGCCAAATCCAGTACAATTTTAGACTTTTTTTAGGCGGAAAATAGTTTTGAATACACACAAATAAATATATTTTGTCGCATTTGCTTGCAGTAATTTGAAAACAACTCGAGTGCATTTTTCCGGCAGCGAAAATATACGATGTAGAATATATGACGCAGCATATATACAGCGATGTTTATCCTCATGAGATTCCTATAGAGATCTATAATAATATAATGGACACAAGGCCTGGGGACTGAATTATGCCTGGGCTTATGTCTACACACTTCATGCATATTGATAAGGGTTGATATTACGGATAACAGTTCATGCAAAATTTTGAACCAAAATGCGTTCACACGTACAAGCTATATATCGGCATACTGCAGATTATAATATATCTATACTATATAGAGATCATATAATGTTTGCTTACCTTTTCAGACTTTTTTTTCTTCGAAAGAACGAAAAAAGACCAACATGTGACTATATTACACCATCAGTCAGTGGGCCATGAGGCATGTGGGAAATTGAGACTTGAATAATGCCTACGATCGGGAAGGGACTCATGCTTGCGGGCAAATAAAAAATTAGGCGTGTTTGTGTGATTGTGTACTTCAATGGACACCAAAATAAAGCCATGCACTATATAAAAAGTATTTTAATGGGAAAAGTAATTTGATTTTATAAATCGCCTTCCAATTGGAAGACACGATCCGGGCAGTTTAACTCAGATTTCGAATGTTCCACATTGGGTTGACGCTACAAAAACAGCTCTAACGTGCATGAGAATACACTTCATGTCATTCTAATAATCAAGTGGCTACTTTCTGTATTATTCTTCACTGCATTGTACTGAATTGTACTGATGTACTCATGTATGATGTAAAGATATTCGCAAAGGAAATCGAACAGAAGCTAATTCATGCACCACTAACTGCTGTGTAATAAATAATAATCACGACTACTAACTATGTTAAGACTCATGGCTCTTCGTGTGTTGCCTAAGATTGTTCTGTTTATTGGCGTTGCCAAATGAAGTTACGAACTCTCATTGATTATTGTGCCGGAATTTTCCCAGCAAAGGAATTTTTTTAATTCTATGCGTCAATCACCATAAACCCATCCATCAGTCAGTGAAAAATTCCCAATTTGACGGTGTCAGTCGTTCCTTGTCAGCTGGCACAATTTTTAACGCGTATCCATCGATAGATCACTTACTACCGTTGATCTGACTTGCCCAAGTCTAGTCTTGCCCAGGCTGTTAAAGTTGCGTGATTGGTCAATGCGAAAGAATCGGAAATAGGACAATTCAAATCTATAATCGAAATAAAAACTAACACCAAATGTGTCCGTGACATAAACCGTTTGGAATTTCCAATTTCCTTTCACGTCGAAATATTTTCAGAGTATTAATTTTCAATCGCTAACTTCTCGCTAACTTTTCGTGTAACAACGAAATAAAGAAAACCAAAGCCTTCGGGGCTTCACAACGCATACTTTTTTTAACCATGCACTTCTAAAGGCTCGTTTACACTTCGATATCGATATCGGATCTTACATTTTCACACTTCCTTTCCATATGGGTGTATATATAGCTGATATCAACTTTTACAGCTGAGGGATAAGTTGCTAGCATGGGCAGTTCCTATCGCTATTCTTTTGAATTCTTTATAATTGTTAGGTTTTCTCTTTTATATACAGTATACTCCGATGTTAGAGATTGTGTCACTGTCTTCCTGTGACGTGTGTATGCGCATGCACAGATGGGAAATAGTTTGAGGGCTACAATGCAGAGCTTCACCCTATATCTATATCTGAGATATGGAAACAAGTAAGAATGGACGTTGGAAAGGAAGGTATAAACAAGCTGTCGCACCAAGGCAAGAGTCTGGAAAGCACCTGGCAAAAATAAACAACAGTTCCCACCTCACGATGTACAAGTAAAGATGGAGGAGAAAGTTATTTCAGATGCGTCTAGAGAAGGCGAGTCCTAACGATTATTTGCCTAAAGGGAAATGAGTCCCAAAAATTAAATATCTAAAAAAAAGCTCTTAACGGTGCTTAGAAAAAAAGGAGGGTGAACAATAGAGTAATAAACGCAGCTGAAAAGTCGACGAAGAAAAAGTTTACACTCGTCGACCAGTGCTTCCAGGATCCTCTGCTGTCACTGTTATTAGTCGATCGTTGGACAATTGCAGGAATTTAGATCCATATACTAGGAATAATACCGGAGGTAAGCGAGTGTCCTCAATAGCCTATGCGACGACCTAATAACCAAATCGAGCGAGAGACAACTCATCCCTCCCCGTCCAATATGTTCGTCACCCCTGTTATGGTTTTTTTTTACTTATTGCAGTTCGGATCCTATCGTTTTAGCGCATGGGTTGCAGCATTTCCTTTTAGACAAGCAATTGATGTTGATATCAAACTATATACACAGATACATACACAGCTAAGTAAGTTTCGGTACGGCCGTGTTGAAAAATGTTAAAAGAATTTTTTATGTGTATCACAAAATATTTCAATCAATTAATTTGAGAAGATTAAACATTTATTCGGATGTACAAACGATTCGTTCAGATCTTCGAGCTATAGAACGATAGAAACTAGATACATCGCCAGAACTATCCAGTGACTTGTGTAATTCAACTCCGACCACTTTTTGAGGGTATGCTCAACACCGTAACCCTAAATGAGATAATAACTAATTAGTACAGTAATGAAAACACTTTTTATGCCAAGCAAACACCATTCTTTAAAATAAATCCACATTGAATAAAAACAAATTATGCATATCCAAATACATATACTTTGTAAAAACAGATTGTTAAAACAACTAATATAACATTAGTTGTCTTATATTTGGTAAAAACAAAATTGGTTGTTTTTACCCAGTGTTTAGTTGTTTTAAGAAATAAAAAGTAGTTAATAAAACCAACCCGTCCAGAATTGTTGCCATCAAACATGACACCGAGATAAGCTAAGTGAAATACATTTAGGAATCCAAAAGCAAGATTGATCGCCGTAACCCAAAAATGAGGCTATAGAATACAGTACAAGAGTTTGACTTGATAAGAATAGACACGTTCGATCAGAATAACACGAATTTGGGCAGTGCGATAACAGGCTATATATGTATCTATAGTATATATTCGGATTCGTTATCAAATGTGTCAAATCAAGTGAGTGATTCAATATAGTGCATGAAACTAACCATGCATGTATAAGGTGTTATAGAAATATATCTTATGCCATATGGCCTCGCAAGGTTCACTTGTAATACATTTTTAATAAAAAAAGTCAATCCATGCAAAGCGATCTAAATGTGGGCAAAAATTATATGTAGCTATAAATAAAAAAATTATGTAATATTTGTAAATTGATTTTACCATATCAATGTATTCATTACCTCCTTTAACTGGTGGGTGCAATTAGGTTTACATTTTCTTGCTTCAATACACATATTAAGTTTACGAGAAAGCTTTTTTCTGAATGCTATATACAAAGACGAAAAAACGTTTTATGAGTTCATAGAAACAGTTCGGACGATGTTCAAATGTTTCACGTACCGTGTTCAACGTATGCATAAGTCGCTATTGATAAAAGAACTGCCGCGATTTGAAAACTTAAACCCTTTAACAAAAAAACACATTGCCTTAGTATATATGTTCTCGTGAGTAGTGTGGTTCTGAAGACTAAATACAATATATACTGAAACACCACAGTTATATAGTATAACATATACATTTTAATTCACACCAATTTACCTTTTTCCCTCAAAAAATAACCAAAAAACCCTGTACACCAATTAAATTAAGTATAGCTACATTTGCCTTGAAACTTACATGTAAAATAGAACTGGCAGCGAAGGTAATGAACATTGATATAAACGGACCTAATCCTCGTGCTCTCTTAAAAACATCTATAAAAATTTGTAAACAAGCAAGATTATAATTTGGGATTAACATTTTTCAAGTCAGATGGAATTGCTATAATTATACAAATGATAAGTACTTATTGCATACAGTTCTTTAAAAAGATATGATTGGGAACACTCCAATGTATAGCTATTTCTACAAATGATCTGGGAAACTCCACGTGCTGTGGACGAGAAACTGGCACTTTCCTACAAAAAATAATAGGAATAATGTCATCATCACAGATGAATGGTAAATCCATGGCGCTTTAGTTTCAGTTTCAGTTGCCAATAGTACGTCGCTTCTCAAAGTCAGGAAATCTTCGCGTTTCTTAAAGTCAGGAAATAAGCTGCACTAGTTAAATTAGGGGTATTTACTTATGTTTCGAATTTCTTCTTTTGATAGATGTGAACGAGTGAATAAGTTACGGGTGTTCAAAAAAAAGCTCTTATAAGTGAAATCTATAAACCCTGGAACGATAACTGAGGGTTATTTGGCCGCCATTTTTTAGCCAATTTGAAGCCGAATTGACGACTTACGCTTTAGACTGATTTTTTACCTCGGCGATAAAAAGGACATTTTCTGAACTGAAGAGCTTACTAAAATAAGTTGCGAAGTTTGGCTGCGAGTTGTTGTAAATTACGGAAAATATACACATGCGAAGTTCACGAATTTTGTATACTTTTGTATTACGGCCGGAAGTGTGTAACTAACTATATTTTCCGTATTTTACAAAATTTCGCAGCCAAACTTGGCATTTGCACTAATTTAAGTAAGATCTTCCTAGCTGTGATAATTATTTTCTTCTAGTTACTTCGATCAAAAATTAGTCTAAAGCGCAAGTCGTTCATTGCCAGTTCTTTTCTATTGTTTTTGCCGTCTTCACGGTCGACGATCGCGCTGAGGGACTGGCACTGGTACCCATCTTGGCTTCAAATTGGCTTCAAAGATGACGGCCGAGTTATCTTTCCAGTTCACAACTACCAAAAGAGGAAAATGGCACATAAAATCGCACCTAAAATTGCGAGTTGTCTACTGATTGTTTTAGTAAACAGCCTGTACCTAGATATATTAATTTCGCGAAAATAATCGATACACCGCAATTACACCGAAAAATCATTTAATTAATTCATTTTTATACGGTCGCGCGAGCGAATTTTTCCCAAACGTTCACCATCACGAATAGACAATGGTTGAGTAGCCAATCAGAATGTAGGATTTGTAATAGTCAATAGTCGGGTGTATACTAATACTGTATAGAAACACGGAAAATGTTTTCTATTTTCTAAATAATATAAATAAACCTATAGTCAATTATACCATTCAATTTTTTCATCTTTGTCATCCTTCACAACCGTGCCAATGCCACACAGCATACAGGAAGATTCAGAGAGAAAGCCAACAAAATAATTACTACATCGAAACGATAACGCCGTCTGGTATGCGATCAACCATCTATCATCCAACAAATGGGATAAATTTAATAGCAATAGAAATACCACAGTTGAAATGCCAATACAAGTAGCAATATTTTGTGGATGATCTTGGAAAGGAAAGGAAACGTGGAATCATACTTGTTACTCTCCTCAGGAAAAATCCACGGACATATGCAAGTCGACAGAATGAGAAAGATGTATCCTAACGAAATGGATCTTATCAATGACAAAAACCACGTCAAAGTCTAGAAAAGGAAATCATATAATTCATATTGTTTGTATGGATAGTTGAAAAATTAGGCAACAGGCCGAATTCACACTAACAGCTGATTGCCGTAAATTCACAACAGTGAAATAAACGCCATACTTAAATGCCAGTTTATTAAAATATCAGCATAATATGATGCATTCCAAAATTTAAACAGAAGTCAAAAACTAGACAAGCTGGCGCCACTTCGGCAATCAAGTGCTTCCAAAAATGTATCAAAACGGAGATTTTTGTTGCGATATTTGTCTTTTAATAGATCATAGATGGAAACGTGGAAACGAAATGTAGTTGTTATTAATTATCTTATGTAGCATAAAATAAATAATCAATGTATTTACAGACCAAGCTCGATATATATTTCATTTTATAGCAACTGTAGACTGACTGCGCAGTATACAAGTCGTATAATTAACACACACTTACTATTGGACGACGCTGTAAGATTTGACAATAGTCTTTGAACATCATAAAAGGTCCAAAAATAATTGATGATGGGCACAGAACATAGCCACAATATTCTACAAGGTCTGGAAGTTCAGTTACACGTTCCTCCACGTCAAATGCAACAGAGATTATCTTCATGCTCAAAATCATGAATGTGCCTTTCAAATAAGAACAAACGATAATTTCTTTTGATGGATATGATCGTGCAATATTTTTAATTTCCAGAGAAAATATGGAATTTGGTCAATTTCAAGATGAGATAACTTCCTTGTGTGAATTAAGGCCCGGGTTAACAGACCGAAAGCTTTGCGTATATCAAATACAGGTGGTGTTTTCTACAAATTGATGATTTAATTATTAAATCACCATGCAAAATTTCAATAATATTAAGCCATCAACTCTTAATTTTTTCATGGGCGAGTTTCAAATGTGCATTAAATTTAAAACATTATTTTCGCAGTACACGCAACTTTCTGTCATAAAGTGTTGTTGTTAAGGGAATCTTGCACATGCACTCGGAGATGTGTACACGATGTAGAAAGATCTTATTGACACGCATTTCTTGATAATGATTTGTTTCAGTTTAACGTTTGGAAAATAATACTCTTGAGCCTTGGGACGCTTTCCAATAATCGGCCAAAATGGTCAGACTGGTCATATTTTGCGGTATTGAAATAGAGTATTTCGTTAAAAATATAGCGGTGAAACTGCATTTTCCGTGCTAACCAGATGTTAATAACGATAAACTTAAATGCAGATTTCTTAAAATACTCTAAAATACCACAGGACCGGTCTGGCCGTTTTTACAGTATAAAGGAAAGCTGAAAATTCAGGAAAGGACCTGGTGGACGTCGTCGTTCAAGAATGCCAAGAAATTGAATCTGTTCTATTGAGCGTTCTCTCTACATTCTGATAATTCGGGGATAACATTGGATAGCCATTGACAGTTTCGAGGCAAGGTCGGGAAAGGCGCCGCATTCTCTGATTGGCGTTTTCGTATTTGCTAAATTATAATTGGTCGTTGAAATTTGAGGAAAGGACTTGGTCGACGTCATTCAGGGATAACAACAAATCGGAGTAGTATAATCATATTATCGATTATAATATTAAAGGCTTATTATAGACCTGGACTGTGGAGTATTGTTTTAGAGATTAGCCATAAATTGAAATTGAATCACAAAATGAATTGGTACACAAATTACCTCGGACTGGAGTTAAATTATAAGCTTTTCAGGAGTTATCGTAACATAACAGACGAGGTGAAGGTCTGTTTTCAATCTAAGGATCATTATTTTGATCGCGATTGAAACAATTGGTTTTGTAATCTTTCATAACTGTTTCGATCATGGGCGAAATTTTCTAGGTGAAATTGCGCTATGGAGATTACCAAACCGAAATATCGCACCATCTCGCTTAGAACGTGTCGCGTTTTTTGGGTCAAAATATTTTGATTTGAATCCAAGATGTTAGCAATGGCCATGCTGACAAATCAACTTTGGTCTTTGCAGAAGCCTGCCTATTTGACGATCACTGAGTCCAGGCAGAGGAATGCACGAGCGAGCGCCCGTTTTTCGCAGTTTTGCGAACTCCAGTTCATTCTTATTGCATTCAGACTGATATTATTAAACCAAACAGGCAAACTGGCAAACCACCCATTGTGTAGGATTTGACATCTGTTCTCTTCTGCGAAGAATCCTGTGAAACTGTTATCGCCAAATGTCAACACAAATGTCAAAACTACCTGCCAAAATTTAGCGCATACCAGTGGCATGGTTGCATATTTCTGAAGAAAACACCGAAGTTTTTTGTAAGGAAGAGAACACAGACACAGTCTAGGAAATGTTGAAAACATCCATCACAGCTAGAATAAGGAGATTTTCTGCGCACAGGTTCGCACCGCACTATTCCTGAATTAGGTGTGAATTAATTAGCCCAAAACTATTACAATCCTAGAATTTTTTCAACTTTTTATAACTGTTGAATATTTTCTTGTGGAAAATGCCCCAAAATGTACAAATATTAATTGGCATGTCATGAAAACGTACCTTTTACAGTAATCCAATCTTCAGAAGCAGCAACAAAAACTTCACTTAAGGGCAACAAGAAACACATATTAGTTTACAGTATCTTTGTTGTTAGGGGATCAAAATACCTAAAGATCCAAATCTTTTTAAGAATAGAGCAATGTAATTAGTTGTGGATAACCAATGATTTAGATTTAGTAAAATCTAGAACTGTTTGTTTACCATAATTGAGGATGCTAAAGAGATTTATATTTAGGGAGCAACCATGAATTTGCAATAACACAATACCAAATACCAGCAAATCAGATATTTTGCCTTAAAATAGTTATTATAAGATAGTCATCAGCTTGCTCTCACATATTTTAATATGAACCATCAAGTTGGTTAGTTGATTCTAATTAACAATTAGACAATGAGTCCGAGTTGTCTATGAGCGAATATATAGTCAACAAAGGCGAAGCCTGAGTTGAGTATTCGCTCATAGACAACGAAGGCGAGTTGTCTAATTGTTTTAGTATACACCCTGTACCTAGATATATTAATTTTGAGAAAATAATCAATTATACACAGAAAAATAATTTAATTCAATTTTATACAGTCGCGCGAGCGAATTTTTCCCAAATGTTCACCATCACAAATAGGCAATGGTTGAGTAGCCAATCAGAATGTAGGATTTGTAATAGACAATAGTCGGGTGTATACTAATAAGTGTTATTGCTGTATATAAATGTAGTGCCGAAAGACAGCATATGTTTTTCACTGACCCATTAATGAAAACTGGTGTAGGGCAACATAAGGAAAAGATCTTAAAATACCAACAGTAACATTTTTTATGGGTCTTCTACAAAAAATTACTGCTGTGACATTTTTCCCCAACTACTTTTGTCCATGTTCAGTTGGATGATAGAGTATAGGATTTCAAGATTTTAAACATTTTCTCAGTTCGCTCTGGGTTTACAGGCTGGAACAAGCTTTGATGCAAACATGAAAATTTGCCCTTTTATTAAGCTAATGGGTCAGCTTTAACCTACCACCAGGTTGACTGTGGTGACATATTGTCGTGTAATTAGTTCACTTACCATATCAACAAGACTGCAACACAGTATAAACTCACAAAGCCACCTTTGTATTTTACCGCGATCGACATGAGAATATATCCCCCTCCACACAATATAAATAAATGATACAACATATGAAAATGTTCGGAAAAAAATATTACGAATGTAGCAATTCCAGCTAGGCACGATGCAAAATGTTTCCATCTTGTCGGTATGTTAACTAGCGTAATAACACGAAGTATCAAACAAAAGGTAAATAATTTCCCAGCCACTTGGGACGTTTGCCATGTCGTTGGACCAAAGCATGAGTCTAAAGTCGAGGCAAAACCACCGCCGACAAGGGTGCCTACACTCGTCGCCGTGTTGGCCAAGTGATCTTCGTAATTTTGGTATAATTCAAGTAGTTCGTCTTCAGTTAGATCGGATAAATCTAGCTCGCTGCCATCTGGCAGCATAATAGTTGTGGATTCGCTCATATTGCCAACTTGGTCCGCACAATCTCTCCTGTAAATACGATTATTCAATCATTGAGCGAGTTTTTAACTATAAAGAAGTTCTAATGAACATGTCTTTTAGCGGCCAAGTTGTCATGTTGAGCACTGTCGGTTTGGTAACTTTGTAGTGAAGCCAACTTCCGGTTGTTAGTTCGAGAAACAATTTGCAACATTGATCCATTTCCGGACAATTTTTAACCCCTATAGTTCCTTGATAAAAAACGCGGGCCACGGAATTCCGGACATGCAGTCTACAGTTTTAGAGATTGGAAAGGACGAGAGGTCTTAGAATATCCACAATCATGTAAGGGGATATACAATTTGTTGCATATATAAGCAATGTAAGCAGTATAAAAGCAATGCCAGCAATTTGCAAAAATTAAAACCTTACGTTTTGGGCTTCAAGATAGTAATCTTCGGATTATAGATTACCGTATCACCTATCACGTAGACAAGGAGTTAGGCTGCTTTCCACTGTCGCGTTTTTTTACGCGTGGAAAATTTTAAATGCTTCCAAGTTGTTATTATTTCACAAATGGGTCAACAAATGCATACTAAAATATGCGGAAAACTAAATTCTTTCGATTTATTCAACTGGCTTTTTCAAATATGACATATATAAGGCTTTAGACTTTCACGTGCGTGTACGTGCGTATGAAAACGCGACAGTGGAAAGCAGCCCTTGAACATATTTCTGTAGAAGCCTAACAAATAATTCATCGAATCTTTGCTTGTCAAATAATGGTAATATTTCAGTCAGATCATATCAGACTTTGATTTAACTGTTTATACGTCTGCATGGCATTTACCTCCTGGTCGTGTACGTTGCACTGCTGAAGTACGATAAAAAATCAAAGAACGCATTTCACTTTGGGGTAGACTTCTGAAATATGAAAAGAGGAAATGAGTAATTTGATAAGGAAAAAGAAAATACGGACGACCAGCCGCATCTGGAATTAGTCATGTTAAACGCAGTGTATTGTGGGTTAGCGATGGTAATCCAACGTTTCTAAAAAAGAGGCAAAAACAAAAAACTCCTGTTCTACTTGATTTGAAATCGGACAATTATTTATAAAGGAGCTACGGAACGTTATTAGCGTTTCAGTGCAGACCATCATAAACAAACTGAAATGTCATGTTACTCAATCGGTTGCAATAGAAGTATTTATGGTCAGCAGTTGATATGTACATATATTTTCTCTTCATGTATCTCTCTCTAGCTCTTTCATGTATATATATTAGATTCATGTATATATATTAGAGAAAAAATCTCTCATTGCGAAAGATTTGTTTTTCCCTTTATGATGACATTGTAGATCTGAACATCAAATCATCCATATATCAAATTATGTCTCATAATATTATAGACACATTGAAATCTGCCAACGGTTTCTGGACAATGAATACATTGTTTAACACTTTAACTGTTTACAATTGAATACATTGTTTAACATGGGTTAACTGTTAAGTCTTCACTATGCACGACGGGTTTTAAATCGATATGGAATAATGTACAGATTTCAACATGGATGTCTGAGTGAAATGAAATGAGTTGAATTTAGTTGGCATGTAAGTTAGAGAAATGCATTAGCTTCTTAAGAATTCGTTTTGGTTTAATTTTTGTGGTAATCAGATTAGTTTTATAAATTTGGGATTTTGTTGATAATTCTTAAGTATATAGTAATTGTTGAAAGGAGTTTTGACGTCAAAGAAGCGAGTCTGGCGTTTGTCAAAGAGATAGATGCGTGGAATGATGATAATTTTGGTTTGTTCTAGAAAATTCAGAACATGACTGATAACTGGTGAACAGTGCCTGTTTATAGTTCACGTTTCAAAGTTCTTTTGACAATATTTTTCGACATTATATCAGTAATTTTGATTATTCCTATATATCAAATGCAAATCATTATAACTATACGCGGTTGCACAAATAGTGAAAATATTGCATTCACCCCACTATAGGGCTTCTTGCCCCGGTATAACCCAGCAAAATAAGCCTTTCTGTCACTGGTGCGAACTAAAACAAATCCGGTTCATTAAATCGTCTATAGTGCGTTTACTGTAACAGATCAGTCTTGGTCTTTGAAATATAGCTATATACTTCCGCAAGGGTCCTTTAAATTAGTCACATTACCTCAGAAGTCAAAATTCCTTAAAAATGTGTTTTAGGAGCTTAAATATTGCGAATAAAAACTAGCAAAGAACCATCAAATTGATCAAAAAGCTATAAATTCATGCTAGTTGAAAGAATCAGTACAATCTTTAAGACAAATGAGGATTCGTTGAGCACAAAACGCGTGTTATATATGCACGTGGATTGCCGGGTATACTAGCATATATTTCATTCATTGCGAGGTCTCAATTGACCAACTTACAGCCCTTTGCAGTTGAGCTGGCGGCTGGCATTTCAAACGCGTTGTTCCATTGGCACACGTGTTTGAAACGGTGCGTTGATTGGTTAGCAACGCCTCGTTGCTAAGGGCTAAAATGATACATTTCCTGATGCAAGTATAGAGACAAATTACAAAATTATTGCACATCGACATCCGACACATTAGACCATCATGTTCATCACGTCACCGCGAGAATGTCTGCCTCTTCCAACACATTAGACCATTATTTTCAGCACTATATACCGTAAATGATCGATTAAGCGCCGCTACTCGAATAAGCGCCGCTGTCGAATAAGCGCCGCACCTCAATAAAAAAAATTTAATAAGCGCCGCTGTTGAATAAGCGCCGCGGCGCCTATTTAGGAAGATATAAATAAACGCTAAAAAATGTTGAAATAAACGATTCTTTATTTAAACTCGTTAATCCTAACATTTAAACTATTGAGTACGACGGCCAGTATTGAAACTAAAGTTTTCTTGTCGAATATCTCTTACAAACGGGCTCATATGACAGTTCTGATACTTTAAAATTTTCCTTTTTCCTAATTAACTCCGTGTCTTACACTTGGGCATGTCGTCGATTCGCCGTATATGCTGTGAACTTAGCGGGAATCACCAGCCCAACTTCGCGCTTTCTTTTTCCTGTAACCTCTACCAAACGTTTGTTCGATTCATCGGCCTTCAGAAAATAATCTATTTGCTCACTTTAAAATAAGCGCCGCTGTCGAATAAGCGCCGCTGTCAAATAAGCGCCGCATCTTAAAATCGATATTTGCAATAAGCGCCGCGGCGCTTAATCGATCATTTACGGTATATATATATATATATATATATATATATATATATATTAATAATAATAATATATATAATAATATATATATATATAATAATATATATAATAATATTATATATATATTATATAATATTAATATTATATTATTATATATATATATAATAATATTATTATTATATATATATATATAATAATAATATATATATAATAATATATATATATATATATATATATATATATATATATTATATATATTATATTATATATATATATATATTATATATATTATATTATATATTATTATATATATATATATATTATATATATATAATAAATATATAATATTATATATATTATATATATATTAAATTATATTATTATATATATATATAATAATATTATTATAATATATATATATATAATAATATATATATATATATTTATATACCAACAGTCAACAGATCTTCGTCTCAACAAGATCTTCGGCCTATGGTTATTTAATATTCTTTACTCTTTTCTCGAAGGTCATAATGAACACGTTGGTCATATTCGGCAAATTTTCTCCCGGTAAAGAGGGCTCAGTTTTTCAGCGGTCTTCGCATAAAAAATTAAAAGCTTTTCGTTTTACGCTCTCCTCTCAATTTTGTGTAAGTTGTCCATTGACAACATGAGCCCGCACGAGTGGGAGAAACTTAGCTAAGTTGGACCAGCGTGGAAAAAGATTTCACAAAAGACCATCATGTTCACCATGCACTACACCACGAGATCACTTATAGTCTTCTTGAAAGTGAATTTTGGACGGGTGCATGCTTCCTGTGATTATCTGTTGAATATAAATTTAGGCTAAAACGTTAATATCGTATTTAAAACGACTCCACCGTTTATCTATATTCTTCACAAAATCATCGTTAGCGATATATAATTCGTGGCCATCAATGCATGTTTTAATAGCGAAAACGATTATCGCCTGACAGCAAGAGACGTGGAAAGTTTATAATATGGAAGTTTACCCAGTATTATGGGTATACCATATTTCCATATAGTTAAATTAGGGGGGAAATTCCAGTGTATGTTCATTGTTCATGCATAAATATTCGAAATTGGCGTTATCGTATATAGATAGAATGGACTAGATGAATGTGTCCTTTGCCATAAACGTTTGCTGACGTCTGTTTTCAGTGTATATCTTTTCGTATTTTGATATTCTCTATAATATATGGAACCTACTGCATGTATTTATTATTTTGAGCAACTTTACGAAATTTCAAAACTGAACAAACCAAAATAGAAAATAAATAAAGCAATTTGTTTAAACTATTATTGGAAGCTGTGATTGCAGGACGGTATAGCTCATTTCAGTATTCGTATACGAAGCTTCCTATATAATTAGCGGTTGGCTGAAAAATCGTATCAACGCATGTAAAACTACAATATTACACTCAGGCCTAGGGGTCGGTTGTATAAAACTCTTAACTATACGTAAATTTTGCATAGTTAAATCCTAGTGAACTCAGAAATACACAACTGTAAGGTGTTTACACTTTAAGGTGTTTACCTTTCGGGGGTTATATCACTGAACACGGCTTTTGGCCAAGCAGCGTCCAGAATTTACGCTGCATATAATGGCGCGAACGGTTTGGGCTGGTTTTCATATGTCATATGTAATAATTCATGTCATATATGTCAATATGTCATATCATGTCATGTCAATATGTCATATGTAATAATTCATCGAAATTCATGCACATGCTGTGATCATGGCCGCAATATACGTTGTATTTCCAAGATACCGACAGGATGTTATGCGTCGTGTTTATATATACGTTTCCGTGGAAACACTGAAAGGATTTCCAATCCTTACAATACCAGGAAATTTAACACATCCGTTATATACGTGTCATTGAAAAATATATTTTAAAAAATGGTTTTATACCCTGACTGATGGGGTCATTTTAACCTGCTAAATGCTTTTCTGCATTGAAATCTAAATACGAACGTATTATATACTGTCATAAATCAAGGGATGTCTGGCACTGCGAGTGCGAGATCGCCAAAACTTATAACAGTTAACGTTTCGAGTAAAATTTCCGCTATCGAAGCAACTCAGGAAGCCAACCAATACCCCGTAATTGTAAGTATTGTTACTAAATTTCGACCAAAGATAGGTTTCAGCCAAAAATTAAGCTGCATGAGTGCGTTAGGTATCTTCATATGACAGTTTATCAGCTTATTGCGATATAGTACATGCACATGAAAACGACAGCCTTGTCATCTATTAATTACAATAGTTTGATATATACGCTAGCTACTGTAGTCTGTAGCAGATTAATATGTATTTGCTTTTACTGACTTATTTAATCTTATATTTTGCTTTTACTGACTTATTTAATCTTATTTAATATACTTTAATATACTTATTTAATATATATACTGGGTCAGGTTAATGAGTCTGAAAGTTTAAGCTTCTGCTGTATCAACATTTTTTGTTTACGAGTGAACAGCTGTATCATCCTGCATGCATGCATGGTTATATATAATGTTCAGTAAAATATGCTAATTGTTTCATACTGAAGAAATCATCTTTGCAGACATACAAGCAAACATTTGTTTACGTGTAGACTGTAGTAAACTATATAAAGCGAACAGCAGATATTGCTGCTGCCGCGAGTTTTACAACAATGTTTTTATGGCATTAAATGACCTTATATAGAAAGAGACCTTTAAAGATTAATTCGCGTTGCCGGGAAACGGCAAGCCCGGCATTTCTCAGAAGAATCGAGAACAAGGGTAGATTATAATGAATTTTTCGTGAGAACAAAGATTACAATTCAAGAAGCAAACTTTTATCTGATAAATGCAGACATAGAAACAAATTTCTAATTTAGTCGCCTGATGATTGCCACTCTGTGGCATGAAACTCAGAGTAGCGATGCCAAATTTCTAAGAATTATCCAAATGAATAAATAAATATATCTATCTATATAAATTGACATACAAATATATAAATATCAATCACGTGACAAATAAACATGGGTTATTTCGTTTACTTTTCTCTTGTTCTTTATTAATATCAATATTGTTCGCCTAACTGGCATTTTTAGAAATTTTCAAGGCAGAGATCAAACGATTTCCCATAAATTTAACATATATGAGTACAATCACGTGATCGATATTTACGTATTTATATACTATATTTCCAGGTGACAACCTTAATCATAACGACTGTATATATATACATAAGGAAAGAAACATCCCTATAAACATCCTAGCTTCTCTTGTACGGATTGAAATAAACTTTTTAGACCAACGAAGGAGATGTACTAAAGGCTGAGATAATCGACACTTTTATCAAATTGAGCAAAGAACGCTGCGAAGTATTGCAGAAAATTTCAGGTAAGACTTTCTGTTATTGCTTGAAACTAATGCAGTAGCTACGTAACGATGAACGTGCGTCATCATTGCACACTATTTCATTCAAAGAACTATATCTGCTCGATTTTCAATTCGGGCCTAATGCTATTGATAAAGCATAAAGGGATCGTTCCATTTCTTTTATTGTATAAAATATCAAAGGAGGAGCATTTGGTAGACTATGATTGACGACTTCAAAAGATTGTATGCTGTTGATGCTGTTCGATTAAGTTCAGTAGGTTTAATTGGAGTACGAATATATTTATTACATACAGATTCTGGTTCTATTTTAATAATATTGCTGCTACTGAAATCTCCGTGTAAAGGCCAGTTTACACTTGAAAATTTTGGTGCGATTTCATATGCGATTTTCTTCTTTTGATAGATGTGAACGACTGAATGAGTTACTGATGTTCAAAAGAGAGCTCTTAAGGCTAGTTTCCACTCAGGAAAAATCTTCTTTGGATCAGAACGGACAGGAAAATTTCCTTTGTCGGTGAGTTCTCAGACGGCGTTTATACAAAGGAAAATTTCCTCTCCTGTCCAATCCAAAGGAGAATTTCCCTGAGTGGAAACTAGCCTTAAGATCTAGAATACTAGCTTTGTATTTTTTCCGATAGACAAAGGATTTTGCGCAACAATGACCTCATACAAAGGGAATCCCAGATTCTTAGGACAGTCGAATCATATTTAAGCAACCGCAGCCAAAGATGTTGCGTAAATGCATGGCGAACCGTATTTGAGGCTGTTAAAATAACTTGTGCTGTACCTCAAGGTAGCAACTTGGGGGCACTATTGTTTTTAATTTACATTAATGACTAGCCAAATTGTCTTAAAAGAGCCTCTCAGTTTGCTGATGATACTAACATAAGTATTGCAGTAACATCTGTACCTGAGCATAAATCAATAATTAACTCTGACTAGAAAAATCTTCATAAATGCCTAATAGCTCATATATAGACTGAGTCTAAATTTGCTAAAACGGAATTCATGATAATCGGATCACGTCGAAGATTAAAGATACACAATGATGAACATGCAAATAAACATTGAAATTAACGGAAAGACGATAAAGAGTGTTAAAGATGCGAAATCATTAGGCTTATAGTTATATTATAACTTATATATACAAATTGACGAGATCTCGTATGGGCGCGACATGTGGGAAGCATTTCTAAAAAGATTGCTTCGGCTATTGGAGCCCTTAAAAGTATACGCTAGTTCATAGATTCAAGCACTGCCCTCAAAATTTACGGAGCTTTAATTCAACCGTATTTTGATTAATGTAGCCCAGTTTGGGATGGTATGAATACCTTGTTAAAAGATAAGTTGCAAAAACTGCAAAATAGAGCAGCGAGGGTAATTACCAAATCTCGGTTTGATACGCCTGAAAAAGCATAAATATGTAATGATGTTCAAAACTCTTAATGACTTAACACCGGATTATCTTCTTGATTTATTTGAAGTCTGCAGTACTGGATACAACTTAAGAAATTATCAAAACGCTTTATTTATGCCAAAACTGCGAACAGATTATGCTAAACGAAGTTTTAGTTATACAGGGTGTCCCAAAAAAAACGAAAACTATTGAAATCACTCATTGTTAAAATTTGAATGCCGTGTTCACGAATTTCAGCCCGTGGGGATTTAATGCAGCTTATAAAATGCTAAATGCTTTTTGCTGCTAGAGAAAAGGGACATGTCGAAGGACATGGTCCTTGAGATGCACATTTAAATAATGTTATCCATATTTGTAAATTGTAAATATTGTTAATAAATATCATTTTTGCGAACAAGCAAATTTGACCGCATCATGATGCATGCATAAAAATGCTTATGGCAACCCCGATTTATACACTTGTGGGCCCAACAGAGTGCTTAGGCATTCAAACTCTAACAATGGCATTGTTATGGGTGATTTCAATAGTTTTCGTTTTTTTTGGGACACCCTGTAGAGAGGCAGTGTTGTGGAATGAGTTACCTCAAAATCTGCGAGCATTATCCTCTCTTCACCAGTTTAAAAGAGAGATTCTCTCTTTATAAAGCAGATTTTGCAGAATCCCCAATCGATCCCGCGCACACTGGTCCACATAAAAAACCACTCAGGGGACTGTATTCTATCGTTTATTTAAAGATTCTATTTACAGCGTGAGTTCATGCTTCCTCTACGATCTGACTCAATGATGGTATCAAAATTCAATGCAAGCGTTAATTAATAGTGCTATATTACATTACAACGTGTCTTTGTGCCGAATCAACAATGTGTCCTTGTGACGTATTTACAAACAACTAAACTATATTTACATAAAGTGCTCACGTAACTGCTACACGCGGAACTGGCGGCGCTGCGCGGGGACCTACAACATCCCACCCACCTTGATTCATACACGTCTATGAATCAAGCATCGCCCTTGTCTTCGCTTTTGAAATCTCAGCAGCAGCTCGTCTCGGACGCTCATGCAGATCATGCAAGGAACCCTCTGCCTCACCTGAAGGGGAATTCCCTTCCGTCCCGTTCCCACCCGGTCGAGCTTGAATTTCCAACGGGTAAAGTTTCTGCACCGGTCTTTTCAGGTAAACTGGTTTACCCTTTCCTGCTATTCTTAACTTAGCTCCCCTAACCTCGCTGTCATTTCCTAAAATTAGCTGTTCTACCTTCCCTAGTTTCCACTTGCCTCGCTTCTCTCCTTCTCCATAAACTACAACTACTTCGCCCTCCTTCAAACTTCTTGCCTTTCGATTACCACTTTTATGAAACTCTCGTAACCCTATGAGATACTCACTTTGCCATCTGGTCCAGAAATGTTGTAATTTCAATGTAATATATTTGAATCTTTCTCCACAACTACTTTCCTCTCTAGCTACCTCCCTCCGTGGTATGAAATTAATTGCTCTTCCGTAAATTAAGTGTGATGGCGTTAATACATCGCCTTCGAATTCTTCATATTCTTCTGTCAATGGTCTGGAATTTAATGTGCCTTCTATCTCTACTAATACTGTGTTAAGTTCATCTACTGTTAATTTGGCATTGCCTAAAACCTTCCTGAGGCATCGTTTAACACTCCTAACCATTCGCTCGAAAAACCCTCCCCACCAAGGCGATCTTTCTAAGTTAAACCTCCAAGTTACTCGCTTCGTTAATAATTCTGCTTTTACTTTAGGTTGATTAAACAACTTCTTTACTGCTCTCTCTGCTGCCTTAAACGTCTTGGCGTTGTCTGACACTATTAGGCTCGGCATTCCTCGCTGCAAATCTTCTCATGCAACACAGAAATGTCTCCGCAGACAAATCACGCACTAGCTCTAAATGTATTGCTCGAGTCACACAACAGGAAAATAATGCGATATACGCCTTCTTGGATGCCTTGGTGCAACACCTAACAAACAATGGACCTGCAAAATCTACTCCCACATTAGAAAAAGGAGCAGCTTCCTTCACTCGAAAGCCTGGTAAATCTGCCATCTGTCTCCCCCCATATGCCCTTCCTTCTAATTTCTTACAGGTGACGCATTTACCTATAACTCGCTTTACCATTTGCCTTCCCTTCACGACCCAATATTTCGTCCTTAGCCTGCCCAAGGTTGCCCTAACCCCACAATGGTGCACTTCACTGTGACATTTTCTGACAATCAGCTCAGTTAATCTATTATCCTTGGGAATAATGATTGGGTGTTTCGTGTTGTACTCTAGCTCAGAGTTACGCAGTCTACCCTTACATCTTATGATACCTCCTTCTTCCATCAAGCCTAGACTGTTACTAATCTGGGCGTACTTTTTAGCCTCCTTTAACTCTGCCTGAGCCTGTTTAATCCATCTATTTTCCGCCTCGTCAAGCTCCTCTACTGTCAACTCTCCACAGCGCTTTTCCATGCCCTTAGACTTTGCTCGTGCATTGAACCCAAACCTAAGTACCCATGCTGTTACTCTGAAAAGTCGTTCCGCTGTCCCATAATCCTCCAGATTTATCACTTTGCTTATACTAGCTAACTCTTTACTACTAGCTACGACCATTACGGAAGACTTTCGTTCTTCTTCTAAGACCGTACTTGTTTTGGCAGCAGCCTCAAATATCGGCCACTCCTCCTTAGACCTAATAAGCCAATCAGGCCCCACCCACCATAGCTTGTTATCCTTCAATTGTGAAGCAACTACACCCCTATATCCGCGGGATTTTCCACCCCAGGACAATGTCCCCAATCCTCCTTGTTTGTTAATTTCAGGATTTCATTTACTCTGTGGCGGACGAATTGTTTCCACTCACCGTTGTTCATTATCCAGTAGAGTGCTGTCATGCTATCAAGCCACAACTTCGTATTATCTATACTAACCTGGTTTTCTAATGAATCTTTCACTGACTTTAGTAACTGCGCTAAGAGCCTCGCAGACATTAACTCTAACCTTGGAATGCTAGTTGTTTTAAGAGGTGCTACTCTTACCTTTGATGTTAACATGCGGACATAACTTCCTACATTTGTATAATAAACAACATATACTACCGCACAATATGCTTTCTTACTAGCGTCGCCAAACCCATGTAATGTGCACCCTAAAACCTCTTCCGCTGGATGTTGGTATATGCATCGAGGAATAGTGATTTCCTTGGTCTCAATCAAATCCCTATACCAGATTTCCCACTTTCTTAAAGGCTCTTCCTTAAAGCTGTCGTCCCAACCCGTCTTACTATTACAAACCTCCTGGAATAAGATCTTGGCACTAACTATCAATGGACTTATTATCCCTAGAGGATCGAACAAACTGGCTAAAATGCTCAGGAGGTTCCGCTTTGTTGGCGATAACGTCTCTGCCTTTTCTCCCACCTTGGAAATTTCAAATTTCAGTTCGTCCTTGTGGTTATCCCACACCTGCCCTAAAACCTTATGGCCCTTTGACTCACCCCCTACTGCTCCTAAAGATAACCTAGCATATGTTTCCTGATCATTGATGCTTTGTTCTGACGAACCCTGATCTTTTCGTGAATCTCTAGTTTACTCCTTAACACCTCACTGTTGGTCAACCACTTCCTTAATCTAAAACCCCCTTGTGCCATTCTTGTCTTAGCCTTATCATAAAGTTCAAAGGTCTTCTCTACCGTACTCTCACCACTGACCAGGTCGTCAACGTAAAAACTTTCCTGCAACTTTCTTACAAATGCAGCATCGATTTCGTTATACTTTGTTAAATGATGCCTTAAGGTTGCATTCAATAGAAATGGTGATGCATTCACTCCAAAAACTACTCTACAAAACCTATAAACAACTATCTCCAACTTATCACTTTCTATATCATTGACCCACAAAAATCTCAAACAATCTCTATCCGCCTTATCTACTTCAACATTCAAAAATGCCTTTTCTATGTCACCAACTAAAGCAATCCTATTTTCTCTGAACCGTATTAATATGCTGTATAATAATGGATTGAGAGAAGGCCCAACATGTAGGCAGTCGTTAAGCGATGTCCCAGACTTACCTTCCTTGGATGATGCGTCATAGACGATCCGGAGTTTAGTGGTCACTGCCTCCCTGCGAATTACTGCCTGGTGTGGTAAATAATGAACCCTTTCAACCTTCTCTAATGCAGATACTGGCTCCACTATCCCTCGCTCTACCTGGTCTCTGATGATAGAATCATACTCTGCTAACAATGCTGGCTCTTTCCTCAGTCGTCGCAGCTGACCCTTCATTCTACTTAAGCTATTTGCATAGTTGTCAGGCAACTTCTTATGGCTCTCCTTCCAGGGCAGTTTGACTGAATATCTACTTCCTGTAAATGATATTTCATCTAAAAACTCTTCATGTACCTTATCTTCCTCACTAATGCCTAACCCTTCAAAACTCCATAATTTTTGCACATTACTCTCCAAACTGTCTTCACTACTCAATCTCTGTGCTACAAAATTCACTTGGACTGGCTCCGCTCTCTCAATGTCTTGTACTCTCAGCGGTCCTGATAAAACCCACCCTAATTCTGTTTCTATAGCAACAGGTTCTCCTGATTTACCTCTCTTGGTTGTCCCTGTCTGAAAGCTCCAAAGGTAGTCTGCCCCTATCAGAACATCTACTTCTAACTCATCTTCTGACTTAGAAACATCTGAAAACCATATACCTTCCAGATGTTTATACTCCCTCCGCGCTATCTCTACATGGCTATTTCCTATGCTACATATTTCCGGCACTACAAATGCTTCCAGTGTGATAACCTTATTTCCGTTAAGAGGTTCAAGCTTTAATTCAACCACTTCCCTGTGCTCGGCTTTTACGCATTTTGACCGAACGTATTAATTCCTAACAATTCCCTTCTTATACCCCTGGGATTCGCGAGACCAGCTGCTTTGGAAGTAACAAAGGAACGATGACTTCCCGCGTCAAAGAGGACCCGCACCTTAACCACCCTTTCCCCCCTTAAAACGCCACGTGCAGTCTGCAAGGCAACCAGGCTACCAGTTCCAGCATGCAAGTTACTATTAGGAGTAGTCACATGCACATTCGTGTTATTGGGTACGTTTTTACATTCGTCATTAGGCTTGGGTATTTCGTCATGCTTACCCTCGCTCTTAGGACTCATTTCGCACAGTGCAACATGATGAGCCCCATCACAAACACTACATTTGTTCTCGACCTTACAACTACTGGCTCTATGACCCTTAGACAAACAAACAAAACATCTACCGTATTTGCGAGCCAAACTCTTTCGTGTCTTCGGATCCTTTACTCCCTCACAGTTCTCGTGTTTGTGGATCTTCAGGCAGAAAGCACAGTTTCCCTTCCTTTCACTCGCTATTAACGTGGATGCAGTTCCATGTTGTTGACCATATTTTCTACCCGACGCCGAACTCCCATCGTTTCTTTCGTACTCTCGACCCGACCTCGATCCCACCGCATCGTGCGCTTCACGTAGTTCGAGCTCTTTCTCAAAGGCTTGTAGCATTTCCTCCATTGACCACTCCAGGAAGTTCTGCCCTCTCGTAATAGTCAAGCGAAACTGCTCGGGCAGCTTCTCCATGATCGTCGGAACAACAATAGCGGAATACGAGTTCTCGTTCACCCCCAGGGCTCTCAAGGCGCGGTTATTCGTTTCGCAGCTGTCAAACAACTTCCGTAGTCTCTGCGTGTCCCTTTCTTTGTAAACTGCCGGCAGTTGTATGAGTTCATTCACGTGTGCTCGTTGAACTATGCTTTTCTTTTCGAACCGTTTCTTAAGCAATTCCACTGCACAGTTGTAGTTTGTCCCTGTTAACGCTAATCCGGCAATTGTAGACTTCGCTGGTCCTTCCAAATATCCGCGCAAATATGCAAACTTGTCAACGTCAGACAATGCGTCATTGTTGTCTATCGAGCTTGAAAACCCGTCCCAAAACTCGGGCCACTCACATACTTTACCGTTGAAGTTCTTAAGCTTTAGTTTCGGAAGCTTTGCTCTGACGATCTTTCCCGTACTGGCTGTCGATATACGGCTCTGGTCTAGGTTTCCTTCGTCTGGCGTCGTCAACAATGGCAGTCTTTGTTCACCGGATTCCCGCAGCGCGTCGTCGATTTTCATCAATGTCCTTTCAAATTCTGCGACCGCTTCGTCTGAACTTTCGACCTCTTTATTGAGCTGTGCTTCGGCGTCTTCATCTCCCGAGGTGCTTAGTATGTCAATGATCTGTTCATCGAGTTCCTTTAACCTCTTGACTTTCTCTCGTAACGTGACCTGGCTTTGTCTCAGCCATGTCAAATCCCTTTCTGCTTTCTCGTCAATCGCTCTCGGAATCGTTTCAACTATCTTCGCTACAAGTTTACTAGCCGAAGCTCTATGAGCTCCTCTCACCCGTCTTTTCCTCGTCAGATCGTCCATACCTTTCGTTGTTCCACTTCACGCTAAATCTTTTACACACGACGGCAGCGCAAATATCACTCGCTCTTTGTCCGCAGCCTCGTTCACCTTTCACAAATCCGGCTCGAAGGACCACTGTTTTGCAGAATCCCCAATCGATCCCGCGCACACTGGTCCACATAAAAAACCACTCAGGGGACTGTATTCTATCGTTTATTTAAAGATTCTATTTACAGCGTGAGTTCATGCTTCCTCTACGATCTGACTCAATGATGGTATCAAAATTCAATGCAAGCGTTAATTAATAGTGCTATATTACATTACAACGTGTCTTTGTGCCGAATCAACAATGTGTCCTTGTGACGTATTTACAAACAACTAAACTATATTTACATAAAGTGCTCACGTAACTGCTACACGCGGAACTGGCGGCGCTGCGCGGGGACCTACAACAGCAGACTCCCGCACGGCAAACTTGTAAATCAGTAATATGCGTCTATTTTAAATCGTTTAGTCTAGTGGTCTAGTGTAATTGCGCTCATTGACTGTAAAAACAATGATTTTCTAAAGAAATGAATAATGATAGTAACATAAAATTTGCATAGCATGACTAAATCGTCAGCCTGCATGGGTACGCCACTGGTACTGGGGAAGTGAGATCGTCCAATTTTAATTATTAAATTGCCTGTCCCACATCATTCGTGCTATTAATCACTGTATTCTCCACTTATGTTGATCAAGATCGGCGTATGGAAGTGGCTGTTTTCACAAGTGCCTTGTAATGATACCTTTAAATGTCGATCAAATCCGCACTGAAATCTTTATTGATATCGAGATGGATGTAACAGGGTTGGAGAAACTCTCTCGTAACAATAGACTTATACTTTTTCATATAAAAAATATTTATATTTTCAGATCGATCAACCCACCTGTTGGAATTGAAGGCCTTATTGAATACGTACAGACGAGGTCTGGCGTTTTGTCTTCTGCAAAAATGCTGTTTCTACCTAATGCGAGAAGAATATATGGAAATGCACTATTATGCAACAGAATTTAGAGACCTTGCAATAAGTTTGAACGATGCAAAAATGCTTGGAGTCGCACAATGTTTGCTGTCCAAGAAATTTGTTCTTGTTTCTTCTAATCGTAAAACCATTCTTTTCGAAATGAATTCCCAAAGTTTACAGGAAAGCCAGCCTTTCTTTGCGAGATGGAGAAGTAATGAACTATATAAACAAGAATACTCCTTGCTAAATCAACTATTCAGCACCGACAAAGAAGGTTGTGATTTTCAACATGCATTAGACCTGATCAAGCGACTTTTAAAAATCGCTTGCGATCTTGATATAACAGAAATGATAATTGAAGCCTTGGAAAACTTTGCGCACTTGTATTTTTTACTAGGGAAATATGAGCGGTCGTTCGACATCATGAGAGAAATGGTCCGTTGGAAAATTGATGAACTTGGCATAAAGTGCAAACTTGTTGTCAATTTTAGCGTTGTAGAGCTGGTATTGGGACGTAAGAATTGTTCTCTCCAACATGCTTTGGATTCTTTAGATATAGCAGAGCAAACAAAGACCCCTAACTATATTGCCTGTGCTTATGGCAATATCGGTTTAGCTCTTGAGCATATGGGTCGTTTCGACGAAGCTATTGAGCCGTACGAACAATGTCTAGAGTATGGTATGGAGCACAAAAATTACCGAGTGATCAATAATGCGTTGTGTAACCTGGGAAGAGCGTATGAAGGTCTTGGTAACATCCAGAAAGCAAAGGAATGTTTCAAGAAAGCGGTGAACACCAAACGTCCGCCTAAAGCCTCCTGGGGCGATACTGAAGACTTTCGCTTTACCGGCGAATATCGGCTGGCTAAGTTAGCTGTGGAAGAGCGAAACTGGGATGAGGCAAAGGTGCAATTAATGGTGGTCATCGAGAGATGTGAAACTCTGAGAAAGAGCATTCAGGATAGCCAGACAAAGATCACATTTAACGATACACAACGTAAACCGTTTCAGTTGCTACAGCATGTCATGCTTGAAGACAACAGTAAGATAGAAGCTCTTGTTGTTGCAGAGAAAGGACGTGGAAGAGATTTCTTTGATAAAATGGAAGGTGATGTTGGGATGTCACTCGATTCCGGGAATATTTTGTTGAATATGATAAAGAGTCAAAACATAGCTGTACTTTTTATATCGGATTTGGAGGATGTCGGCAAATTGAGTCTGTGGTTCATTTCATCCAAAGGCGAGTTACTGAAACAGTGTTTAATCCCGAGCAGTGAATGTAATAAACTATTGGCCAAGTTATACGGAGCGCTTCACAAGACACAAGGAAGGTACGAAATTGAGTTTAAGGCCACGGCATATGAGGAATATCCTTTGATTGACTATGCAATTAAATTATTGAATGACAGGCAATCACTGGAGAGTCCATGTCTGCAGGTGGACATTGAAGCAGAGAGCGATTCGCCATCAGATGAGTCGGTGCTTGCTAATACTTGCATGGAGCAACAAGAACAAGCTGAAACAAGCATGACGCTTCTAGACCTGATAAATGAACTGTCAATATGTATCTTGAAGCCGTTTAGACAGGAAATTGAAAACGTCATTAACGAACCCTCAACCGGCACAACTCCTAAACTTCTTGTTATTCCGCAAGGGACATCATTCAATATTCCTTTTTCAGCACTAAAACATAATGGAAAACCGCTCTGTCACCATCTGACTATCATCGAAGCATTTTCTTTCCATTCATTTGCTCACTCCACCAAAGAAATAAATGAGAATAAATGCCAGATAGCTGGTTTCGATAATGCTTTAATAGTTGGAAACCCAACCCATCCGGATGAACTACCGCGGGCCGAGGAAGAAGCCAGAGAAATTGCGAAGATTTTTGGTGTCGACCCATTGATTCGAGATGAAGCCACGAAGGATGCGGTGTTGAAACGACTTCCAGCTGCTCGGTTGATTCATTTCTCCTGTCATGGTGAAGAGGGTGGCGAAGCATTGTTAATGGCCAAAATCTGTCACATGAGGTAGGCCTAATAATTATATGCAAACACGATTGTATTTTATATAAACATTCTCCCACAAGTGACATCTTCAGTGCATGAGTAAGTAATAAGAAATTTCTAACAAAACGCGTTCAAACACAGTGAACATTGAGGCTTTAAATCGTTAAAAATAGCTTGCAAAAATTCTGCGAATACACTGGTATCGGAGCAGCCTCGAGAATGTAATTTCCAGCAACAATTTTCTGTATACAGTGCTCTTGTTAAGCCAGACATACAGAAAATATGTAGTGCATCATATCCAAAGGAATTGAAAGAAGAAAACTAGAAACACTTTTTAATTGAATTTGAGAAAAAAAACTTTTGGCTAAAATCTTCTTATATAGTCTTCTTAATTGAAAGTGAATTTTGGATGGGTGCTTCCTGCATGTGATTATCTGTTGAATACAAATCTAAAACGTTAATATCATATTTAAAACAACTCCACCGTTAACCTATTCTTCACAAGATTATCGTTAGCGATATATAGTTCATGACCATCAATGTTTTTAATAGCGAAAACGATTATCGCCTGACAGCAAGAGACGTGGAGAGTATGAAGTTGGACGCTGATCTTGTGGTTCTCAGTGCTTGCCATACAGCCCATGGTAAAATAAATAGTGAGGGAGTTATTGGATTAGCGAGAGCTTTTCAAGTGGCTGGCGCACGGTCAATCGTCACTGCCCTGTGGGCCATACCAGACAACGCGACTAAGAAGTTTATGGAAGAGTTTTATGACAACCTATGTCGTGGGCAGCCGGTTGCAGACGCAATCTGCGCAACTCAGGTGAAAATGTCGGAGTCCGAAGAATTTTACGATGTCATAAATTGGGGATCATTTAAAGTCTTCGGTGCAAATGCGAGAATATATAAATAATATAATGGTATCTCAAAAACAGTCGAAAACTGAAATTTGGCAAGAAAATCCTATACCAGTGGCATACCACTCCGTCGGTAAAAGTAGGCCTGTAAATATCATGTTTTGTGAGAACATTATGCCATTTTGGTTCGCAATACTACAGTTTATATCACCGGAAATTTGTTGCAAAATCCATATTATGGAATAGTCAGGGGCGCAACTAGAACGATAATTAGGGGGGTGAATATTCATTTATTTTGTAAACTATTGCACTCAGTAGAAAAGGAATCCGTCGGGCAGAAAGTGCAATAGCTTACAAAAGAAATCCATCGGTCAAACCCCCCCCCCCCCCCAATTATTGTTCTGTTACGCCACTGGAAATACTAAATAGTATGGATGATAGTATGAAAGTTTATAATGTTCAGTATATAGATATATAGCTATATATAGCGTTCATATTTCCATAGTTGAATTTTGAAAAACAATTCCAGTGCATGTTTATAAATATTCGAGACATGCAACGTTGGCGTTATCTGGGTTGTAGTTACAGTTAGTTACTGTAGGGTAGCCAGCCCGACAAATTTCATGTCATAATAGCTATTGGGAATTCATTGTTTTCACAGTAAATGGACACCAAAATATTAGCATAGCGGGACAAATCGTCGACGCTGCCACGCTGGTTATGTTATTTGCAGTTATAAAAAGGCCATGTGTCTATTTTCAGATAATTGTTTCGGCATTTCTAATAATTATGCATGCATTCAGTTTAATTTAAGCACTTGTATTCACGTTAGATGATTAGAAATTGGGTGAGCGAAATAGCGTCTGGTTTCCTCGGGCTGCCTACTCTGAACATTTCGGGTAATTCCATGTAACCTCACTGCATCGTAGCAGCAGGTACACTCTCACCGTGGCACATACCTCGCCCAGCCGTCTTCGTCACTAGACTACACGATCATTGCTCCAAAGCTCAAAAACGAAATAGATTAATAAATTAGCTTTAAGGTACACCATGTAAAGTATTTAATACTTAATACTGCAAAGCTTTCGGTCCGTTAACCCGGGCCTTCTTCATTGCACTGATGAAAGCCCGGGTTAACGGACCGAAACTTTACAGTATTAAGTACTAACGTGATGTACCTGAAAGCTAATTTATACTTATTGATGTAAACTTACGAGAATTTTATTATATGAAATAGATTAGCCTTAGTAAATACTTGAGGTCATTTTAACTTTTAAGCATGTAAAACATTTTAGAAAATTCCGAAAATCTTTATTTTGGTTGGAATTTACGATATTTTCATTGTTCGAAAAAGAAATCAAATGCGCTTAAAAACGAAAAAAAATCGTCTAGATCTTAGTGAAAATCAGTAAGGCATTTTCAGCACTTTAACACATTTTAAAAAATTTTGAAAGTGAATAAATAAGGGTAAATCGATTATGATTTTTTGCTGAGGGTAAATCGATTATGATTTTTGGCACTTCACTCGATGTGGGTAAATTCTAGAAGTTTAAAGGGTCTTAAATTTCGACTGGAATTATACACACTTCAAATTCAGGTTGATGGAAAAATATGAGTAAACAGTTAACTATAGGTCTCCCGGCAGGAATCGAGCCTACGCTTTTGCAATACCGGTGCAAGAGCATTGCACTGGCAAGAGCATTCCGAATTCTAAAACATCGGATTCCCAGATCCCAAAGCAAAAAATGTCGGATTCCGGATTACTTTACATGGACCGATAAAAGTTTAAAGTTATGTAGATATCTTCTCATATGTCACACTTACACCAAGTGTCATATTGTTATATGTTTTTTATTTCTTCTTACGCGAGGTAGGAGATCTTTACAATAGTTTTAACTAAAGTTCGCTAATGTTCTCTTCTTTCTCCGTTCTTCTCTTCTCTACTTCTCTATCTTCGTCGTTTTGCGTTCTTGTCCTTGGTCGTCTGTCCTGTAGGTTGAGCTTCTTAACGTTTCATAAGTTAATCTTTACTCCGTCAGTCCACTCCGCTAGTCTACTGAAGGTTCAGGTGCTGTGCACGCCCTTTTATAATGAGGGTTCAGTGACTCTTGCATACGTCATCAACCATAGTGGGCTGATCCTTATCCAGCCAATCAGCGTTGTACATGTAACCAGTGGGTTGGTCTTAGAAGCTCGTTCCAGCTCTCATATCTTGTTTATTTAAGGCGTTGTCGCACTAGTCGAGTTGGTCTTCTGCTCAATCGATCAATACTTAAAAATGTTCACAACTTAAAATATTCATCATCAACAACTAGTAAAATATACCAACAATACGTCTGTGAACAATATCTTTTAACTTAAACTATTTTCACTCTTATTTTATCGAATTGAACTTGTGATGACGTAATCTATTACATGCTTGACCGAGCAACATTTTTAACACAATTGATTGACATATGAACTTGAATGGCCTACAGCGCGCACACTTTTTTTAAAGAATGCGACCATTAAGATAAGTGACGACTTACGAATGTTTATCCAGGTATTAATTCTGAGAGGATTATATTTATTTTCACCTTATTACTTATTTAATCCCACGATATGTCATACATGAAAGGGAAAGGCGATTAATGGTTGCGAATGGGCCGAAATTATATTTACTCAGGCGTCTTGCGGCAAAAATTAATCACTAATCCCTGTCATGCTCTTGATATTTCTTTTTTTTGCAGCTATTTTTATATGCATATCTCTAAACACAATAAAGCTTTGCGTAACAATCCTCCTCACCTAGAATAAGCTGTCCCCAGCTTCGAGTGAGCTATAATGAACTTATATATGTCTACAAATTCGCACTATTTTTGAGCTCGGCGTGGCTATCACGGGCATATTACCAAATGCCTAATAACTGAAACTATACACATAGTACGTGTTGTTATTCTACGACGACACTACATAATCGATTATACGAGATACAACTGATCTAAATATAATTGACTTATGCCTACATGCACCTCAGGGGTAATCTAACTATAATAATGTCATATAATTATATTAAACACGTCAGAATATAGCAATATTAAACCAAAATTAGTGTGAAAACAAGGGGTAAAAAAATTCCTGTTTTCCTGAATGTATGTACCAGGGACTTTAGCGATATAATAAATTTTGTAGATGCAGTCAGAAAGTGTACCAAAAATTATTCAAATTTCATAAAATATCTTATCATTGCAACAGCGAAAATTGTATTCAGATTCTTGGTTGATCAACTCACATAACAGGAAATTATTATAAAGCTCTTCCGACAAAACATCTCTCCATAATAATAACCTAAACCTATATATACGTCTTAATAATTCTTCAAAATATTTCAACTTATGCAAACAAATTTTATACGTATACTTCTTAATATATAACTGAAACTCATTTTACTTTTTTAAACGTCATGCACGGCAAACCAAACTCCAAAATGTAGGTTTTCATCGACAATATTAATACCGAGTCTACATAGAGAAAACAAGAATTTGTCTAATATTTAAGCTTTTGGCTTGAAAAAGAATTATAATCCATTACAACAAGTTTGGGAGACCCTTGACTGTCCCGGGGGAAGAGAAAAATTTATGATCGACGAATGACGCACAAATAGAGGCGTCAGAATTAAATTTATATACTGACCCAATTAAAAACATGCATGCGCTATCCTACGGCAACATGTTTAATCAGCATGCTGAGTGTACCTAAGGAATTTTAGTTGAACAGCTATACTCTCGTGTTTGATATTATGGAACATAAACAGACAAATTACAAACATATACGTGTAACATGACAATAACAAAAGCTGATATATATTATACAAATCTTAAAATTCGTCCAATTTCATGTCCATGTACAAGCGTTCTAACCATCAGGAAGGATCCGGGGAACTCTGAGATTTTTCTGCCGCGTCTCAGTAGCCGTTGCATAACCACGGAGGCTTCCACTGGTGCGTCTTTAGCTGGATTTCTGGCATAGCCAACACGTTCGGATAAAGAGAGTACATGTCGCCAAACTCGTATTGGACTGCAGACTGAGGGCAAAACAACTGTAGTTTCAATTGTAGTTCGAGGGAAGTGTAGAGGTCGTGGACAGTTGTCTTGAACATATAACCAAAAAATGAAACAAAGTCTAGCATTGCCATAAGTAGAAGTATTGATGAATGCAGAACGTGCGTTTCCTTCGAACCAGTCATCAGGTCGTTTCAGCAAGGCCAGAATTCACCCGTTTCTAAGCAATGTTTGTAATATTGATTGTTCTGACTTCTTCTGAGTATATAGTAGACTGATTGAGTTTCCGAAACGTTTTGTAAGGCCGATCCTGCACCAAATTGTTATAAGGTTTTTCTAACGTTTCATATACTTTTTTTTATTTTCTCCGGTAGTCCACTCCGCTAGTTCACTCCGCTAGTTCACTCCGCTAGTCTACTCCGCTAGTTCACTCCGCTAGTTCACTCCGCTAGTCCACTCCAGGTTGTTGGTTCTGTAAAGGTTGAGCTTTCTTAACGTTTCATAAGTTAATCTTTACTCCGTCAGTCCACTGAAGGTTCAGGTGCTGTGCACGCCCTTTTATAATGAGGGTTCAGTGACTCTTGCATACGTCATCAACCATAGTGGGCTGATCCTTATCCAGCCAATCAGCGTTGTACATGTAACCAGTGGGTTGGTCTTAGAAGCTCGTTCCAGCTCTCATATCTTGTTTATTTAAGGCGTTGTCGCACTAGTCGAGTTGGTCTTCTGCTCAATCGATCAATACTTAAAAATGTTCACAACTTAAAATATTCATCATCAACAACTAGTAAAATATACCAACAATACGTCTGTGAACAATATCTTTTAACTTAAACTATTTTCACTCTTATTTTATCGAATTGAACTTGTGATGACGTAATCTATTACATGCTTGACCGAGCAACATTTTTAACACAATTGATTGACATATGAACTTGAATGGCCTACAGCGCGCACACTTTTTTTAAAGAATGCGACCATTAAGATAAGTGACGACTTACGAATGTTTATCCAGGTATTAATTCTGAGAGGATTATATTTATTTTCACCTTATTACTTATTTAATCCCACGATATGTCATACATGAAAGGGAAAGGCGATTAATGGTTGCGAATGGGCCGAAATTATATTTACTCAGGCGTCTTGCGGCAAAAATTAATCACTAATCCCTGTCATGCTCTTGATATTTCTTTTTTTTGCAGCTATTTTTATATGCATATCTCTAAACACAATAAAGCTTTGCGTAACAATATTAACAATGAGTAAGTAACAGGACGACGTGCATATTGTTTGTGTTTCGTATTACCATTTCTTGCTAAATCATTGTTGCCTCACGCCTGAGCAACTCAAAGATACAAATTGCAAAGGATTAGTTGAAACATCTATCGAATTTAAGTAAAAAGAATACGGGGTAAGGATATAATCTCTATTAGACACAGGCAACGAAGCAAGGTCAACATATAAGCTATTTTGCTATTGTATTATTTCAGTAAAATGTTTGGTGTCATATTGCCGAGCACGAAATTGTCTGATATGTTACCGAAGTTGGTATTTTTATAATGACTTGTAGCATGTAGCTCAACTACGATCATTGTTTTAACAATATGGACTGTCTAATGCTAAATCAAATGACATTAATATATAAACTCCTCCAGCAGTCCCAGTTCAACCTCGTTCACACAGAAGACCCAGGGAACGAGGTTGGCCCCTGTTATGCATGTACTTATTCCAATCATTCCACGGGCAAAATTCTTCAGCGAAATGCAAAATATTTCGCCGGCTTCTTTTAAATTGTGAGCCATGAAGTAGAAATGTAATGTATTCCAGCGGTCGCATTTAAAAAAAAGCGAAATATTTCGCAATTCGACGACGAAAAGAGCCTGTTGAATCACTCTTTAGAATAAATCTTTATAATGGTATTATGACATTACGAATACCGGCATGCCATGTGGGTACCATCGCGATCACGCGCGCTTTCCTTGTCGCTGAAGCGTCTCAGCGCTTTGTAATCCTACAGAAATACAAAGCATCGTCAGTCCTCTAAGCGTTGGCAACGTCTCCAGTTTCCCCTTGCTTTGTATCGCGCAATGGTATTGCATCTTAGACTCTTAGCAATTTACTATTTAAGACTTTTAAGTACTCTGTTTGCAGAGTTTCGGAACCCTCTTTTATTGATACATTCCAATTCATCAAATTTGGACTTAAAAACTAGCCTCAGTTTACGGCTTATTATTATCGTTTTTATCGTGAAATACTTTGCCATTTAATTACATTTTGTTCTTAGGACCAAAATTAGAATCATGATCGTTGAAATTATTTTATCGATGATATTCCTATGGTTCCTCTGGAGCACGACAACTTACTTGGAAAAACGAAAACTGCCACCTGGACCATTTCCGCTGCCTTTTATCGGCAATACTCTTCAAATGCTCAGCGATCCCAAAGACCCTTTTTCAAAACTGGTTAGGAAATACGGTGATATATTTACCTTTTACCGTCCAGCAGGCGCTGTGGTTGTTCTGAACAACGCTAGACTTATACGTGAAGCAAGAGTGGGAAAAAAAGATGATCTTTCAGGAAGGAGCCGAGAGCATATGTATCCTTTCACTGAGATATCCGGTACTAACGATGTACTGTTATCGGATTATTCACCAGGATATCTTTTTCGAAGAAGGGTATTCCAGTCTGCGATGCACGTTTTTGGAAGTGGCATCGAGAAGGCGGAGGATAGAGCAAGACAAGCAGTGGACAAAGCGATTGAAGAAATTCACAATAAACACGGGCAACCATTTTGTCCTAAAGAACCTTTAGAATGTGCGATTGTAGTCCAAATTTGGGAGTGGCTCACGTCAAAAACCGAACCTCTGGATGGCCCGACTATACACATTCTTCGGAAACACTTAGAGACAATTACAGACATTGGATACCAATCCCCGCTATACCATCTTTTCCCATTTTTGGGATATTTACCAACACAATTCCGTCGAAACATAAAGCGCGCGCAGGAAACTGTCCAATCTATTTTCATCCCAGAATTTCAAGCACACCAGAAGACATACACTCCCGGTATCGTCCGAGATCTAACCGATAGCTTCATCGCGGCCTATGAGAAGGAACTCGCAAAAGAGAGGGGCAAGGAAATTGGGTCAAAAGACGATATCCCCAGTTTGATGACGAACGTTCTGCTTGGTGGTACTGGGACGACGTCGGCCTCGTTAGCCTGGTTAATTTTACATATGGCTTTACACGAGGACATCCAACAAAAAATTCACGATGAAATCGATGCGGTTGTTGGAAATGAACGCCTACCGCATTTACGAGATGCCCCTGACATGCCATATCTTCAAAGTACCCTGTGCGAAGTGCAAAGAATACCAGGCGTAATCGCTTCCTCATCCTCGAATACGACACGTGATATTTTAATAGATGGTTATGAAATCCCAAAAGGTACACTAGTGTTGATAAACCTGAAGCAAGCACACCTGGACGAAAGAGAATGGCCTGAACCAAATGAATTTAAGCCCGAGCGCTTTCTAGATTCCGAAGGAAAGTTTGTCGGATGGACCAAACTTCATGGTTTTATTCCCTTTGGTTTGGGTCGCAGAGAATGTGCTGGTTCGTCGTTGGCAAAGGTTATGATGTTTACGTTCGCAGCCACATTGCTCCAACGCTACAAGTTTGAACTGCCGAAGGGATCAGAAAAACCAAGTACAGAAGCATATTTTGTATCAGCTGTTGTGAAACCGAAAGATTACGAAGTTGTGGCTAAACAACGTCTTCCCATTTAGTGCTTCATCGGGTCAAAAATTGTGCGACGCTGCATAGAATTGCCAGTCCGCATTTTGTAACGAACTGGTTTCAGAGTGAAATTGTACCCAGACGTATATAATTGAATGCAGAGTTCTTGAAACACCGCTCTAAACCTGTCTGGCCATTTTTACCGTGACAAGGAATTAAAGCACCAAGTGTGTTTAAAAAAACTATTGATATCACTAATAACAATGTATTTTTTTAGAATTTGATATATTTAATATTCAGACTACTATGTCTCAATTTCGAGTTGACCCTTACTGGAATCCAAGAAATCATGTGAAATCCAAGAATATACATGAATTAAAGTTTATAACGATCAGGGGGTGTACATAACAAAAATGTCTGTAGGATGCCAATAGTTTTTAAGACCGACTATCACGTTTCAGTATTCTACGTACTCGCCCCATGAATATGTCACAGCAGCATGAACATATCTAACCACATTCATAGATCTAATGACATTTTAGTAACTAGTAACATTTTAACCGAGCTTTACGAACGTGACATCTTTTTACAAATGTGGCAACATTTCCAGAAAAAAATAATATTAATAATAGTCTTCCTAACACATTTGCACCTAACGAAAGCATACTGGTATATAATATTCAGGTATAACAACATTGAACATTCAGAGGAAGGAACAACGAAGGCGAGAACAGTCAGTCTACAGACATTAGGAACCTGATGGAACTTAGTTGACTTCTGCTTCCCCACGTTACTTTATTGTATTATGACGCTACTTTATTGTATTATCACGTGCAAGGTTGCAAGCTCTATCAGATGACCGAGACTTTACCTTTTTGGTAAAAAATTTTTCGTTCCTGGCAAAGCTGGCATAATCTTTTTTCTTTGTATGATCTTTCATACTTCTATTTTCTTGTAGTTCGAATTCTTCAGTTTTTTATGAAGTATGAAAAGTGCGCATCCAAAGTGGAAAATTTCACATTTGAAATTTCCCTGATTTTAATCATTTTTAGATTTTATTGACATGAGATGGACTCCGCACATCCAAAGAAGTCGAATATGATGGTTAATTTTCGTTTTAAAAGTGCTCTTGACCAAATGTGATCGAGCTATTCAGAGCACAAAGATGGTTGACAGTTTTAATCGGCAAGTTTTACGGCACGCCGTGGCTCAAATTTGTCAATCTATGGGCTGGGATGCTCTTCACAAATCTACACACGACACGCTCACAGACGTTATGCAAAGATACTTAGAGGAAATAGGGAAAGTTGCTAATAATTACACGCAATTGTGTAAGTTTTTGATAAGTACGGACGACCATTAGAATGTTGTAGCTGTTATTCATACAGGGCCCAGTTGATCAAAGCATAGTATTCGTACTATTAATTTGCTGCAATCAGAGAAGTGAACATACTTCTGATCTATTGCATGATCTACTGCGCGTGCGTGGCACGATAAAACAGAATAAGTGAACGCTAAATAAATGAATGAATGGTACAAGAAATGCGCCTTTAACAAACATTTTATCAAAAAAGTGACTTTTTTAAGGCATAAATGCATAATACTGTTGTGAATTTGATCTTAGGGTAGTAGCATTGGTGTAACCCTTCTTATGTTTAGATGGACGTTTTACGATAGAGCAAGGGTGATCAGGTTACTGTTCTAAGAGCATCAGCCTACAAACTAACAAATTATATACACAACAGTGATAATATTAACACCAACAACATCTAACATCTGCTGCACTACCAGTAACTACTACTACTACTACTAGGTAAATATTGCCATGCCATTGAATTTGTTGTGCCTTGTCTGAATGCTATACATTCTTCTGCTGTTAGTACCAAAGAGTGTTAAAATACATTCAAGTGTTGATAGCCTGCTCAAGTTTTATTTCAAACTCAGGCTACAACCATGTAAATGACTTTGTAGACAGTTTGACTGAAGTACTTAATGCTATCAGTTGTAATGCTAGGGCTGAGATATATCTGCCCAAAGTAATTGGACTCAACTTCATTAGACTATTACATTCTGTGTAGAAGTGTAGAACACACTAGCCCAGCAGTAATGACTCATAAAAACAAAAGCTATGTGGTTCAATATGACACAAAAAATTTCTTCAATATTCCTTAATTTTTATGATTAATTTCATTAATTTTCTTGGATTCTTTTTTTTTAATTTTTCCGATGAAATTTGGATTTTGCATTGCTTTAAAGCAGAATATTGTTACATGACAATAACTAGTTAGCCCAAACTTATTGAAAATTTCACACAATACCATAACACTTATTATGAAGGCCCGGGTTAATGGACAGAATGCTTTGCAGTATTAAATACTTATGTGGTTTACCTACAAGCTAATTCACTTGCTTGAACTGTAATATATTTAATATGTACTGTAATACATCTTAATCATCTTCCATTAAGAATTTAAGACACTAAACTGGTGTGTCAAAACAGAGTTGCAATATGAGTGATATAAAAGTTTTTTTAGGTTTAAAGCTATCTGGTGAAAAATACAGTTTTTAATTTTTTTGTAATGGACAGTTATCCCACAGTTAAATTTTTTCACAAACAATCCGAAGAAGGGCTCTCTTATATGCATTAATAGTTCCAAACTGCCAAAATGGCCTATTTTTAACAACTATGATGTAGGAATAGTGGAAAAAAAGCTATAGCTAATATGAATAGATATTAGTAAAATATTAGATTAATAGTTACTAATTTGCAAACATTATGCTGCCAAGATGCACCAACTAACAATCGCCTGATGTTAGAGATCAGGGGGGAGGGGAAATAGGTTGTAAAACTAAAGTGTATACTACAAAAAATAGTTTTTTGGTCTTGTTCATATTTATTTAAAAAGTTGTGTGATACAGGAATACTTGCATCTAACAAAATCATAACAGAGTAAACTTGTGCATAACAGAATAGGTAGCTTTTAGCCTCTCTATATCATCGATCATACATATCTTTAGAATATTAGACAAAATTTCAATAAATTTCTCCATGGCTGCCTTAACTTCAAAATTTTAGCCTATGGTATGTGGATGCTCTGAAGATTGCCCAAATTACATACCATGTCCCTATTGATAATGATGCAATCTTTTTCGCATTTAAATTACATTTGAGCAACATAAAAAAAGTGCAAGTTCATGCAGGAACTGAAGAAAATCAAGAATTCTTTTACCTCTGCATTTCAGGCAGCCGAACAAAACCTAACCTAGACGACTTGCACCTAGCCTTCCAAGATACTGGTGTGGTACTGCAAGAGTTGGAAAATTTTGTGGCCCAGGTAGATCCACTCCAATTTATTCATCCTTTCACGGCGTACCCAAAGTGTCAGCCATGCCGACTACAACATCCAAGCAAGGGAGATATTGTAGATCGAGCGGAGTTCTACTCTGAGCATCTTCCTCCCCTTCCAAAAATTTATCAAGAACCAACAGGTTCTGTATGGCTACGGTCTATTACTTTTTATTCATGTTATTCTACTGTACGAACGATTTTTCATCACTTTTCCCTTTCAGGTTTTGTGCGGCTATATATAGATTTTTGCCATCGATATTTACCTGTAATTCTTTTCAACCCCTAGGATTAATCCAACCTATAACATGCATGGCCTAAAAAATTAACAATACTTGTTTGCATGGTTGTCTCGATAAAAAATACGTTTTTCTACGGATGGTAATATTCGGTGGTTTTGTTTAATAATTGCGCTATCGGGACTACGCCTACTGCATGTTTGGAGGTGCTTAAAGGTCTGCTCGCACGATCCAATTTTGTTGGATCCAGCTAACTTTTGACGTATGAAATATAGTCGGTTATTGATAAAGCAGTACTGCATTGACTTCAGTGGATTTGCTGCTCGTATACATTACCATACAACGGACCATAAAACATCCATTAGAAGTGAATTGGATCCAACAAAATCGGATCGTGTGAACAGACCTTAAAAGGAACATGCACCACCCCAAATCCTAGTATAAATTCAGCTTAAATATTCGTTTCACAATGGTATATTATCCTTAGTCGGTATGTTGGTTGTGCAAAACATTCCTACATGCAACTCATTTATGTTGGGTTTTTCGCTAGAATCTCTTTGGATTTTTTTCCTGTCCACTAAAAAGCGAAAATGTTAATTCGGTTTTATAGGTGAAAAGGAAGAGAACCCAACCACCGAAAATAACAGCGTCGCCGGCGCTGAAGAGGCTGAAAAGATAAATTCGACTCCTTTAAAGGAATCGAATAATGTCATGGACACGAGTGACAATGTGGCGGTTAAACGCCGTCACGAAATCGGTGTGTTGTTTCCAAACGATAATAAACGTTCAAGACTTGATATTCCGGCAAATTTAATTCTCGAGAAGAAGGAAAACGTGGAAAATACGGACGGAGAATCGTTGTCCCCGGCTACTCCAGTCTCTCCCTACTTGCCACAGGACCTTCCTAAGCTAACGGAAGAGCCGGTAAAACCCGCAAGCACTACGAAGGTAAAAACAGAGCCCAAGCAGTTACCTAATTTAACAAAAGAGATGGTTTTACCCTTAAAGAAATTAACACCACCACCTGAGAAAAAGGTGAAGTCGGAATCGTCTCCGAGTCCGAAAAAACCTAAAACAAAGAAGGAAAAATCGATCTCTCCGAATGTTCAAAATAAAGCAGCGCTCTCCAGCCCAAAAACTGATGTTTTGTCGCCTATAAAAAGTCCGCTGAGCGTAAAAAATTCAACCGCTGGAAAAATAAAATCCCCAATTAAGTCGCCATTATCTGAAAAACAAGTAGTTAAAAAGACTAATAAAAGTAATGAGCATAAAGCGTCATTTCTCGGAAGCAAAGGTAGTCCGTCCACAGAGACCTCGTCAAAAACTTTCTCAAAGAAACCTCCACAGAAACCTGTGGTTGAGGCAAAGAAAGATCTTGTATCACCCAAAATTAAAGATCGTGAATTCAACCCGGCCAAAAAGAAAAAGAAAACTTCAGTCGAAACAGATAGCGGAAAGTCGTCACGCGATGCGGAAAAAACTAAAAGTGTTTTGAGCGCTAGCACGCCTAAATTAATGATAAAATTACCAAAATCAGAACAGCATAGTGAATCGCCCAAATACAGTCCTGTGAAACCGAAGATTATCACGACACCAGTGAAAGCAAAGACCCCTAGTAGTCCATCGCCCACGAAGGCGATTGGCTTGAAGACGAAATCATTCGAAGGTGAAAGCACTACAAAAAGCGAAAAGAAGCTTAAAATTTCAGGCGATTCGTTAGAATTTGCCATTTTGAAGAAAGAACACAGCAAAAAGAAAAAGAAAAAGAAGGATAAGGATAAGGACAGAGAGAAGGAGAAAAGCGTTCATAAAGAAAAACGCAAGGTATACGTTACTAGTATTAAACCTTTGCAAGCAAAAAATGTGGTGAAATGTAGGAAGAAAGTCAAGAAACGTGCTTTGAAAAAGACGACTTGTAATCTCAAAATTTGAGTTATATATAAAGCAAGACGACAATTTAATTTACGGTGATATTTCGACTTTCGAATTTATTTCACAGTTATCACCAGAAATTGTTACCTTCTTTTATATAACTCATATCTGGAGCTAACATATCTTGTTGCTTCCTACATTACTAATCTTTCCCGAATTGTTTTATATATGCAACTGTGGTATACATTCGAATTTATAAATAATTTAGAGCGAAAAAATCGAACCTCCAATACCCAAAATACGGTTTAAATTGGATCCATCAGGAGAATCAAAGACCAAGACTGGAGAATCGACGACCTCCTCGTCAAAATGGTAAGTTTTTTCTTAGTTTTTCTTCGGCAACAGTATTAACAGTCTGCATAACAGATTCATAAAGTAAAGCTTTAAAACTATGGAGGTTAATTCCGATACCTTGTCTGGTTTTACAACGGTAGGAAAATATTTATATGTATGTATATAACAAACTTCCCCTGCCTGATACTTTCAACACTATAATGCATAATTCTACTCCTTTTCCCTCTTCATATTCTTTTTATATGGTGGTCGTTGTAAAGCTGGTGTGTGGAAAATGTGCTTGGCTAAGGGCCTGCAGAAAGTTCTCTATTGTAGCAATTAACTTCAATATACGTTAGTCAGACAGCCAGTCTTCAGCCACGGAGATATGTTCAAACTTGTTGCAGTTTACTTCACTCAGCCAGGGAGTATTATAAAGTAGAAAGGGAAGGCAAAAGTACTGTAGTTATATGTAGAAATAAGGAGAAGCGTTGAGTTATTATTGACAAAGAAAGAGTTAGAATTGTAGAACATAATTTTGACAGGAGCATAGCACACCATATATGGTTACTATGGCTACTATGTACCATAAAAGTGGGATGTAACAATCAAAATACATTTGTGTTTCGGGATGAAATCGGCATATGTATATCTCAGCGAAAATTTATTATCAAAAAACCAAAATCTTGGTTGCAAAAGTCTGTATAGTTTATAAAGTTGCGTAAATTCAAAATGAACCTGATAAAGTGTTTTTATTGCACTTAATGTCATCAGATATGTAGACAAATATGTAAATAGATTTACAAATATGTAAATAGATTTGAAGTAGCACGTACAAAAACGTTCATGTAGCACGTACTGTCAGTGTTTCTTTGCAAGAATACCATATAAAATAGCATAGTGCGGAATAAGTTGTTCTACTATTGCTGTTCTTTGATCGGTCAAATAATTTCTGCCGAATTTCACCCGAACACTAATTTTAGTTGATTTCATTTGTTCGGTCATAATGTCAAGTGAAAAGCAACAGCTATAGATAATCTTCAGAAACAGTTCAATACCAAGCCAGGAGCGAGATACAACAATTTTTATTGCCTTCAATTTGCAGATTAACTACTTTTATATTCTGTAGAAGTAGAGAAATACAGCATGCCGCGTAGCTTCATTGTCCAAGGGTGCAATGATAACCATGCTGGGGCTAGTTGAGGAAAACTTTTAACTACATTTTAATAGTTAAAACATAGTTAACTAGAAATTACATTATTCTGATTGGCTAATTCTGCCACTAACTAAAAAGTTAAAGTTATTAAAAGTTAACTAACTTTTATACAACCGGCCTCAGATGCTTAAATACATCATCTTTATCATTTTAAGTGGTACGTCAACTGGTCAGTCGTCTTCAAAGAAATCATCTATGGTTGTAATAGAAACTGAGAATGTCAGATCCAGCGTCTTGGTCGAAACCTTGTCCAACAACACTCTTGTATGTATATAATGTCATGACTTTCTCCAACATTCTTTTATGCCTCCTGGTTTATTCTTACTAATTCCCATTGCTGCAGGAATATGACCCTGACCGAGCTTATTATTGTCCAGTGTGTCATAAACAAGATGATGGTTCTCCAATGGTCGGTTGCGATGGCTGTGATGAATGGTGTCACTGGTATGTTTTAGCGTGTAACAATTTGATACGAACGATATGCTGAGAAAATATTTTGAAAATATACTGAGAGACATTTTAGCTCTTTTGCATATACACACCAAACAAAAATCGCACCAAAAATCGTGGAATTTTAAAAATGCATGCAAGGTGTTTCCTGGTTATTGATTCCTAATTTACTTTATCATGATTGTATATTTATGAAACTTTACATCGTCACTTCTAGGTCTTGTGTTGGCTTAATGGCAGCTCCTCCCAAGCATGAAAAGTGGTATTGTCCGTTGTGTTTGTTGAAGAAAAGCAAAAAGAAGAAAGCTAAAAGCAAGAAAAAAAGCTAGCCAATGAATGTTTTATATATTTGTACATATGTAAAAAAGCACACGAAACTCGCGATTTGCTTCTCACAACGATGGAAAGAAGGCAACTGCAAACGTTTGAAACCAGGTCAGATTCACTACGTACGAAATACAGGGTGTCCCAAAAAAAAGTCCCCGCTATTGAAATGAAGCTTTTGTTGGAATTTGAATGCATGATCAACGCAGTAGTGTGTAAATAGCATATTTATTAGGTTGAGGCATTCAAATAAAGCGTCTTGCTTTCAATTGGGTTTATCATAATATTAAGGCAATCAGATTCGAACAAAGGCTTGATTTCAATAGAGGGGACATTTTTTTGGGACACCCTGTATACTTGAAGCAAAATATGACCTCCATACATGACCTCTATACAGGGTGTCCCAAAAAAAAGTCCCTGCTATTGAAATGAAGCTTTTGTTGGAATTTGAATGCATGATCAACGCAGTAGTGTAAATAGCATATTTATTAGGTTGAGGCATTCAAATAAAGTGTCTTGCTTTCAATTGGGTTTATCATTAATTTAAGGCAATCAGATTCGAACAAAGGCTTGATTTCAATAGAGGGGACATTTTTTTGGGACACCCTGTATACAGGGCAAGATTACCTTATTTCAATGGCTTTTAGCTCAATGGTCACGATATCGTACATATTTTCCAGTACATAAATTATTCAGTAGGTAATTTTCTACAGAACACTTCACTCAGAGTGTTTTAAAATGTCGGAAAATTTGACGCAAAATTAATAAACCCGGCTCTTAAAGAAGATGTAAAGATGTGCATGTGGCCACGCTAACGTTATATCATATGGCAGCCTGTTATCAATATGGTACGAACAACACCTCGAAATGGTATCTCATGATCAAGCCTGTGAATAAACTACTCATGCAGTACCTAAGGGTACCTTTAACCCCGTTTTAATACACTCTACTGGATTCGCTCGTCCCGATATCTTCGGTTGCCTTTTTTCTGTGTAGCAAATGCTTATTAGTTTGATAGATTTGGTACATTTATTTCGATCTCTAATAGTAAAATTTGTTGTTGCCTTTTAATAGCTATACAAATTTTGACCCACTCCTGAAGCAATCCGGTATAGTGTAAATGGGGCCTTGAAGGCCTCTTCGCGGGTACGCTACTTTCCCGCAATATGTCGCCGATAGTTACTAGCTTAATTAGGATTTAGGATGCGAGATGCGAGACAACACATCACTTTAGTGAAAATATTCAAAGAGCAATGCTACGATATGAAAAATAATTATGTAATTGGATTTTACTGGTGATTTTGCTGGTGATAATAATTTATGCTGTTATTGCTCTTGTCCCTTAACGCTACGAACCACATGCATTAAGGCTAGTTCATTAGAAATTGAATTCCCCATCGTCAACGAAAAAAAAAAGGGTGATGGAAATTGGAACGTAATGTCAAGACACTTCAAATTAGTTATCCTGTGTATAAGTGCTGATGATTTAGGTATATGTTTTTTATTATGAATAATTGATTGTCGCATTATTAATAATAGCATGGCATGGGCAATAAAGCTACGCGAAATTAATAATTCAGGAAAAATGCGGACGCTGTAAACGCAGAGTATACGAATGTGGTAATAATAATGTTGTTTTGTGCGACCGAGAACTTGTGTGGTAAGATGTGCGCGTACACGGTTTATAGTTCTTTCCTATCAACAATATTCCGTTGGTACAAATAAAAACTCATAACTGAATGAAGAAGCACTATGATTTTCATTAAATATTTTTAAGTTTCTGTATCTCTCTACCTGGATTATATTGACCAATTTCAATATATTAGTCCCTCTTATTGGGAATGTCATTATGTCGGCCATCTAACCTTCTGAAATCCCCCTACCCGAGGCCATATTAACAATAATAAATAAATTCGAGGTCCTGCGGAGGAAGCTGCGTGCATGTGGTGTGCATAAGAGTAATAAACAATGTTAAATATCTAAAAAGGGGGAGTGATCTGCAAAATCGCAGAAGTTGTTGCATGCATGGGCGCGAAAATATTTTAGATTTCCGTTTTTTAATCGCAGTTTTCATGACGACAAATGTCTGTGCGCATGGAGCTGTGTATGATGCTAAGCAGGTGGCATCTTCGTTCCAACTACTCGTTGATTTAAATTAGTCACAGCCCAAACAATTAGGTAGCGATCCAACAGGTGGCTCCTCAAAAAACCCGTTCAGGATCCAAACCTACCAATTACGCTAGCCTATCATTTTATTGTTGGACTAAATCAAAAGCGCGTGTAAAGTTGGAATCAACTTGTTACCTCGTATTACGATGCGTGTTGCCACTATATGAGCAAATTACTTTGGATAGGAAGCATGCTATACACTGCGGTTTGATGTTTTGATTGGAGACGGTATAAACACCTTAATTATATTAAACTTCCTGGGTATATGCAGCGTCGCTTCGCACAGACGTAGTTAGCCAGTCAACGAATTAGGAGCGTACAAAAATCTGACTTTTTATATACCCTTCGAAGGCTGTTGCAAAAATGTCTAAAGCAGAATTAGCTCAAAACGTCTTTAGATCACTCCTTAAAGAATTAGGGGCAACTGTTACTGAGGAAACAGTCGAAGGAGTTCTGACTTTGAAATCGGAAGAATGGAAATTCGCGCTGAATGTGCACAGTGAAGAAGGCAAGTTCGATAAAGCGGTCTTAGAGAAGCCGGCCGAAGGTGGGGAATGCTGTAAGAAGTTTGAAGCGGTCGTGGACGCCTTGACCGAACTGCTGAAATCTTTTTCGTCCTGCGATAAGCCTGAAGCTGATGCAAAACCCGAGGAGGAAGCCAATAAAACTGAAGAGAAAGCCAAGGAACCTGAAGAGGAAGCCAAGGAACCTGAAGCGAACGAGGAAAAGAGCGACGAGAACAAAGAAAACGAAGCAAAGGAAGAACAACCTTCTGATGCGTAACTGTATTGCAACTTCATACTAAGATTTAGGCAATTGCCTTTTTTAATTCGCTATTCTTTACGTATTGGAATTTACCTGTTTTCTTGAAGGAGAACGTGTTATTATGATAATGTTTTTGAAATAGATGCAATATTAATAGGATTTAATAGGCAGCGTTTAGCTATAGGCACAATTGGATAAAATTTATTGTGAAATATTCCTTTCCAGACGGATAATTTTTTTTTCAAATTAATAAAATTTCTTTCGGAACTGTTGTGCGACTAGTTCAAATGCCAGTCTCCTATCCAGCGCTTTAGTAGAATATAAAGAGGTATTGAGAAAAAATGAGCGGGGGGGGGGGCTGCTTGGGGAGGTTTTGAGTTTTGACAAAGGAAGCTTTCCCGCTAAACGAAAGCACCCCCGCGCGCCTGCTTTTTCTCAGCTGACCTCTATACAATAGCTGAATACAACATTAAACCTTTTACGACTAAAGCGCCTGTTAGTACGATCACACAATATGTAATTAACACCAATGAATGTAATGCCGATTATACATTCACTTTATTGATCTCTAGCGGTTTAAAAATTTTCATGAACAACGATTGGATTAGAATGAATTATTTTTTACGCGTCTTATCCCTAGATTTTTATGGCCACCATATTTATGCTGTTAAATACGTGTAGCTTGAGACGATAATGATTGATATGCATATTCAAATCTTTGACATTGAATATGTGTTTCATGCAATTCGCTGTCAAATTCGCTTAAAATTATTCATATTTTTACGCATATTGGTCGCTGGCTTACACAAATGATACCTCGTTTCATCGTTATGAGCAATAAACGGTGTAATATCAGTCCTTTGTTCGCGTTTTCCAATTAAGAAATAGAAAACATTTTCCATCTTTCTATATAGTTATAGAAACACTTGTGGGAGTTTGGGAGAACTCGAAATAACGTGGAAAAGCTCGCCACGTTATTTCGAGTTCTCCCAAACTCTCACAAGTGTTTCTATAACTATGTAGAAACAGAGGATAGAAACACAGGAAAAATGTTTTCTATTTCTTTTATAATATAAGCCAATAAAAAGATTTTGTACAAATCATTATATATAATTCGATTTAGTTACAAATTCTCATTACATCGCTTCGCTTGTCAAGTTCGGCCCATGTTTCTATACAGTTATGGAAACACAATAAATGTTAAATTATAATAAACCCTTGAACCTTCAACTCTTGAAAATGGCGTCTCAAGCTGACGTGGCGGTAGAAGCGAAGGAAAAACAGGAAAGCGTGAAAAAGTTAAGTATCTTTGCGAAGTTTAGAAATTTTTACTTGAGGAATTTCTTGCCAAATGGGATAATTTTATCCATAATCGTCGGGATATTTCTGCCTCAACCAGCAGTCTTTGTGAGCCAAAGAGTTCCAATTGTTAAAATCTGCATCATCGTTATCTTTTTGACCATTGGTATCCGATTTCGTTTTGTGGAAGCAAAAACGGCTGTTCGCTCTTACAAAGAGATTGCATTGGGTTTATTCTTGATAATATTCGTCGGTCCAGTGTTTTCAACGTGTGTATTGAACCAGGCTGAATTCGACTCATCCGTTGGCGTTGGGCATAATCCACTGAACTTAAAAAACAATTCAAACAGTAGCGGTGGAGAAAGTGCACTTTTTGGTCCAGAGGAATTTCGTCTGTCATTGCAAATATATCTCATGTCTCCAAATACCCCCGCAATCTCACTGATTATGGTAGGTTATTAATTAACTCCTTAATCTTTGTACCTGTGCATGTACAGCGTGTCCGAAAAAAAGGTTCCCCTAACAGAAATGATTTCAATAGAGGGTACTTTTTGGAAGGGGGCACACGTTATATAAACTTTATAGGTAATTGTCTTTTTAGCCTGCACGTTATGCATGGTGTGCTCGCTTTGCGCGAGGCTTTGGAACTTTGGAGAAGCATAAAGGCACGCCTGCATGACACGTATGAATATCTAAATTTGAATATCTAAATTTGAACGTATTAAAACGTTAGAAATGGTCCTAATTTCCCTAAAAATTCATTCGAATAAGGATTTGTCTATCAATATTTCATATAGGTGACAAAAGCAAACGGCGATCGAGGCTTGACTGTCTTGGTTTCAATCCTATGCATGATCACTCCTATCTTTACTGTCCCTCCCATGTTGGATTTGTTGGTGCCAACGATGCAGCACGTCCACATCAGTGTTGGGAAATTACTGCTGAACATCGTAATCAGAATCTTGGTGCCATTGCTGGTGAGTATATTATTCGTAAGAACTAATGGGCTCCACCCACTCCTTCAGTCGTTTTCCTGTTTTCGTGAACAATTACTAGATGAGTACCAACCCTTTGGCTATGAGCAATCAGCACTTCAAATTTTCTTGATAATTTTAAAATTAACATTTGATTATATATAATTTTAAAGGCTGGAATGTGTTTGCGTCGTATTAGCACTGTGAAAAAATTCGTGACGAATTGGAACAATACCGTAAAATACGTTGGAATGATTTTCCTCGTATGCATTTTCCTGGTCAAAATCAGTGAGACGAGCGCAAGTGGAAACTTAGAAAAGGTTTCCGTCGTAAAACTCTTACTTGTAATCGCTCTTGGAGTAAGTTTCACAATGTTCAATCTCCTATCAAACTATGGTCTTCTTTCAGTATTACCATGTTTGTCAAAGAAATCAACTGTGACATTGTCCATTATGAGTTGCCTTAGAGTTGTTAGCTTTCCGGCAACCATTATCGATTTTCTACCTGATAGTGCAGGTGATAAAGGACTTATGATTCTTCCAATCGTGTTTGTATTCGTCGCCACTATATTGATGCTTAACTTATTCACAATCCTTGTCAAGTTAAAGATGAGGACAGCGAGGATACGGAGAAAGGAAATGAGATCAAAGATTCCTGCGTTATGTCAAAAATTAACGAAGGCGCAGTTTTTACAATCTACACTGATACAGTTTTGGTGAAAGAAGAAAACAAAGACTGAGAGTAGAAAATGCAGATAGCCCGTAAGACACATTATAGACTATCTCTATATTTGGAACAATGTGCAGCAGAACGTGTAATTTGACAAAACAGCTATTATATATTAAATACTTGTTTATCGTACATCCCTTTGTCATGCTACTGTGTATTATTGAAAAACATTGAACTTAGTATAGGACGATTTTTAATCCATTCTTCGTGGTATTTACATCGCTGTCTGACTGTATATGTTGATAAATGAAACGTATTACGCCCGGCTAGATTCAAAATCTTTTTACATTGTTTTTTTCTCCCACATGCATATTTCGTTCTCATAAATAACCATTTTTTGTACAACTTCGAGCTGAAGCTAAAGCTATTTTTTGCACTAGTAAATCAGAAAACACTTGCTTGATCCGGCTGCGTCGTTTCAATAGATTTAAATTATTTTATTATAGTACAATTACATGCAAGTAGTTCGTTCAACTTCGTTGGACCCTAATGTATTCGTCTCGTCAAATACTGGATGAATGGTGAAGAATTTAAGAGGTAAATTGGAGTAGACAAAGGCTATTTCCGACGTTCAAGAACTCGTAAATTTTAAATATTTTCTCGTTATGACAGCCTTTCTTAGTACTCGAAGAAGTCAGTGAACAATCATTCAAAAATGTCGGTCTTCTGAGAACCTTTCCCAGAACTGCCCAGATAGCATAATTAATTGGCTGCTGATGATACGCTCATGACATTACTTGCATGCATTTTAAATCTGAATGACTTTTTATCGTCTATTATATACAACTCCCTTCGCGTTATCATGCAATCTTAATGTAGAGATCCCCTACCACATGAAAACGAACCGACATCAAAAGGAGAAAATCGCACATAAAATCCCAGCAAAAATTGCAAGTGTAAACGTTATTCACTTACTTTTTTCAAAGGTAACATGTATAAGGTTTCAGTAGACTTTTACGTGCGTGTACGTGCGTATCAACAAAAACGCGTAAGTCGAAAACAGCCTTAAGGCTGTTTTCCACTGTCACGTTTTTTGTACGTACGTATACGCACGTAAAAGTTTAGAATCATTTAAATGATACTTATGAAATCAACGATTGAATAGATGCATAGGGTTGGATTCTGTTGAAAATTTGGTGTGTGTTTTACTGGCATAAAATTAATTACACAACAGCTTAGAAAGCTTTTAGCTTTTACGTGCGTGCACGTACGTGCAAAAACGCGACGGTGGAAAACAGCCTTTAGTTCCCGTGCGTCATCAATCTTAATAGAGTGCTCCCAAGCGCATTAAACGAATACAACCATCTATACTTATGTGTTGTTGACATTAGTCTGCGCTATATACACCTATATTATTAATTATACCCATGTCATTCCCAGCTCCTGAAATACGTTTTATCGAACATATATATACCGATTTATTTCTTATGTTCACTAGCCTCAAAGGGGCGCGGTTTTCCTCTCCTCAACTCGCGTTAAATATCTTCTGTAATGTTGAACGGCAACGTGAAGGCAATTAATAATAGGTTCTAAATCATGAGGGCTTTCTGTTTATATCACTGATTCATTAGATAGCTGCATAAAAATTTAACAACGTTGTCGCATGTCTTGGGTACTAATTAAGGGTGTTGGGAGAAGATTATATTAGAATACCGATTATAGGTGTCGCCTTGGTTTCAAACGCACAGATTTTAAGATGTATTGGACAGGAACGTGAACAACGGCAGCTGATCTCCAAATACATGTGTATAGTCCGTATTCTTGTGACAAACTGTTTTGAATTGATAAGATTAGCAAAGGACAACAAGACTTAGATTTGCAAGTTTGTCATCTTACATCAATCTTGTTACATCAAACCGTTGTCCTAAATTAGTTAAAAGAACATAAATAAAACAAAATGAGCATTAGTAAAAACATTCAAACAATTCTGTGTATTCATTGACTTTTCAGATAATGTGAAGGAAATTCCACGGAATTTAAGGAATTTAGGTAAGGGCATGGTTCAAAGTTGACAAGTTCGGTAATTGTCGACTCGTGACTCGTCGTCGCGTTTGTTCGCAGGCTGTCATATTTCGGAATATTTTACTTTGCCGCTCTTTTCTCTCAGAAGATGGCAGATTTCATGTTCGAACTGTGTCAGGCCAGAAGTTTTGGGGCGATTTCGCATGCATGATGCATCCGTTCATTATTTAAAGGTACCGTTGTTTATTTTCATTTATTGTTTGTGGAGGAATTGTTGCACAAGTAATACAAGCGAATCTCAGGTATATTTAATGGAAATATATAAGGTGCAATTTATTGAACTAGCCGAAGCCCCAGAAACGGACGTGTGTTCGCACGTGTTTAGCTTCGGACGTTGTATAAACTTATATTGAAAGCTATTCAGGCCTTTAATATTATTATTTGTTACTGTCGAGATCGTTTTGCCTATACCAAGGTGTTTGCTATTGCAGAAAAGTATAAGATTCTTGTGTGATTTTTGTATATTCGCTATATAAGAGTAAATGACTTACACTGAGTCTCTTATGTACTGTAGTAATAATTATATTACACTTGTAATGACGTACTTCGGGGCAGCAAAAACATTTGCATGCGTTATTGCTTAATCCAACTCCTCGCCGTTGCGCACCAGAAAAACAAAAAGCAAAATTTGAGCAGCATGCAGCTCATGGCAGAAGAATGCTGTGATGTAACATCCTTTGATGTTAGTAGTTAGCTAGGTTTTAATATAAAACACGATGGCGTCATGGCGGATAGCAGGTGTTTTTAACTGTAAATGTCAAGCATGAAAGGGAGGAAAGGTATAAAGTCTGACCTGTATCTGAATCTAAAGGTAAGAAAAGGAGTATAAGTTTTGTAAGGAGTGTCAGTCAACGTTATAACAATATAAAAATGATTTAGAATAAAATAGCCTAATATGCCTCATCAAATGGAAAGTTGAATTGCTAATGTAAAGCCCATTGACATTGTTGGTGATCCCTGAAGAGCAAAGTCTTTTGTTACTTTGTAAGTAAAAATTTCTTTGTCACCTGCCATAAACCATTCTTCGCCGGGATGCCGAATGTCTGCAAGGAAATTCTCATTATACCGTGAAGTTGACAGAAGTTTTTTTTATCATGCATAATTTCCAGACAACCTTTAGGATATTCCAACCATTCTCCTTATCAGCCCATGTTGGAGGATTTTTTACCCTTTTTTTATTTTTAGAAGGATTTTTTACCCTGCAAATGCTATTGATGGAAAAATGTAAAAAATACTGCTAATCAATTCTTCTGAAAAAAAATTCAAAGAACAATTATGCAGCATTTTCTTATTTAAGTCCCTGCGCCATTAGCCGAAATGGCCGAAAAATATTAGAAAAGCAACCTTGTACCCTGTTAAGAAAAGTGTAAGATAATGCAATAAATGTATCGTTGATCGTGATTTAAAATCTTCGTCTGATCTACACGATCATTTATTATTTTGTCTTAGAAAAATTTTGACATTTGCTAATGCGCGGTAAACTGGCCTTTCTAAAGGCTGGTTTTCGTATGACATAATTCGTCGCACTTCACATGTCATAATTCGTTGTTATGCGAAATCCCAAATATCAAAATCGAATTCGTAATTAGCGCTTATTTATTCGCAATTTGGTCGATATTTTAGTGGGAAAACTGAATAGTCTCGCCCTGAAACATTTAGTCGCCTTTCGGAAGCCATGTTTTGCGAATTACCAATAGGACTGGAGACTTGAATACTCTCAGATTTAGTCGCAATTGTCGTTATTTACAACATGTTGATTACGACGACTTATATGATTAATTATAAACCAGCCTTTAATTTGGCCAATATAAATTAGGTAAAGTTTACTGAAGTTTCCATAATGACAATAATACGTGGTATGTAAAGTGGTAAGTGTAAATTACGAGTTCCCCTTCATGCAGACTATTCTGCGAGAGCGATATAAATAATAACGGCTAACATTGCAACGATAACCATACTGCCAAAAATAGCATTTCGGTGAACTGAAAACCAGTTTGGCTCTTCAAGATCCTCTTGTTGCTTACGAGGACGTCGTTTACGACCTTGCTTCTTTCGCTCGTATTTCTCGACTTCTTCCTAATAATAAAAGAAAAACGTTTTGATGAAGCACACAGACTTGTGAACCGTCACTATGCAGGAAGAACCCCGAATTAAATTTTATGCAAACCTTATGCAATTTCATTTCTTCTTCCTGTTGAATACGTTCCTGTGCTTTCCGTTCATTTTCGTTGTTTTTCTGAATTTCCTTGCACTGGTCATTGCATTCAAGTGAAATAGATTGAGCTTCGTGACATTGGTAGTCCTGCCGAAAAATTATAATGATAACACAATAGACAACATTATTTCGATCTGACTTTTTATATATCCTACTATTCCCAGACTTACCTTCTTTAGTCTTTTACATGGGCATCTCACAGTAATTCTCTTAGAACATTCATTAGCATCAAGACATTTCCCTGGATGACATTGCAACGAGCATTGGTGACCACATTTTAACATTTTAGGGCAACCACCTTTGCACGAGAGAAGCAATTTTTTTGCCGAATCGTCAGATGTAATCAGAACACTGGGAAAATAAATAAAAAAAGCCTGTTAAATATAGATTTATCCATCCGCAACCGTAAATATATATGACCTATTACCCTAGAAGCACTTCAACGAAGCAATGCATGTCCTGTCATTCAAATGAATGCTCTCTCAAATATTACAATGTTTCAAAATCAAATTTCCAAACATTCACACACCTGCACTTAACATAGATGGCCATGGAAGAACAATGACATTGTTGTTTAACCATTTTTCTACAATCGCCACATCCGCCTACGTGGAGTGAAAGGTAATTTGTTAGAATATGGATTAAATTTTGTGCATCAATTAATTAAAGATGTTACCTGGGTGACACCTTCTTAAGCACTCGTGTACACATCCTGGCTGTCTTGGTTTGGAACAAGGTCGATCACATTGTTCGCATTCTGTACCACTCTATGGGACATAATAAAAAAGTTTTTCGGCTTTGCCCTGTCTTTTTAGCGACAATAAAGTAATCGATTTGTGATAAGATTTTTTTACTTCTATCTGATGGGCAATATATCACCTGAATATTGGTACTATAATATTCTACAGTTTTCGTGCAAACATTTATGGTATTTATTGGTCCGTATTTTTATTGGAACGTATTTAATTAATTTGCATATGTGAAAGCTAGAAACCAATATTTCACAGTCATAATTGCATGGTCAACTATATTAATTGTATATTTAACTTTTTTTTAATTTTTCTGATGTATATACTAATAAACATAAATGTATTGAATCCAATATAAATCAAGGCAATAAGGTAATAAGAACGTGATAGAGGTAAATTTGTCGCAAGTCAATTCCCGTTTTAACCGCAATGTACATAATATTCATTACCCTCCCTTCATCTGGTGCTTGGCTAACAGTATGACATTGTAGTTGACAGCTGTGATTATCACAAGACAGTAAACGACCACATGGCCGTCCACAACTGAACACTCCATCTTTAGAACAAGGAATTGATACCGTCTAGTAACGAAGATTACAATATATGTGCAAGTACCATTACAATAATTTAAAAAAAAAACGCTTGTTTAGTTCCCTGCTATATACCGTAGTAGTACTGGGAAATGGAAAGGTGCAAACACCACTGATTATTGCCAGTAAAATATTTTAATTTAGCATACCTCGTGTTTTCCCAAACAACGCCTTAAAGAAACAAACGTAAAATATAATGACTCGTGCGATAAAATCGCCAGTCAAACAAAACGTCCTAGTTTTTTACAACGTAAAATAAATGAAGGGAACTATCTAACACTGTGTAGTTGATAAAATACCTCATCACAGGCACAGCACAAGGCCCACATTGTATTGGAACCGTTTCCACTTCCTTCTTGTTCGTCCATGGTGACGTTGAAGGTGATGACTGCAAAAGAAAGGTTAACGTTTTAAGATAGCAAATACTAAGAACTTACTGACTGAGAGTGAGGTCTGTACGGTAAAATATCAAACCGAGGTCGTGCCGTATTGACCGAGTGATAGCGAGGTCAATACGGCACGACCGAGGTTTGATATTTTACCGTACAGACCGAACAATCGAAGTCAGTAAGTTATTTATTATATGACTTAATTTGGGAAAACCATAAACACAAATAATAATTCATTTCGAATTGCTGTTGTTTTTCCCGAGGGCAATAAGAATTGAGCGTATTGCCCGTGGGCAATATGGGAAAATCCCGCCTCGTCAGCAGCCAATCAAATTGCAGGATTTACAAAAACAAACACTAGTCATATAATAATTCACCTTACTTCACCTAATACTTCACCTGGTACCATAATTGACAAAATTTGACATTATTTACCAATGTCAGCAAGTTCGCAAAAAACTACTACTTTTTGAAAAAGTCTTTTTGATGTAGACAACGGTCCTCACTACGCAGTTATAGGCAAACGTGACCTCAAAGCGCTGGTGGCACAGGTGCGAGGTAACTGCTGCATTTCGCATAGATCAGATATGAATAAAATATCTAACCAGTAGAATTCCTAGGTATATAAACATGCAGCAGACGACATGGCAAATATCATAAACGCCAGGAAAACAGGGGAATGATACTGTACCTTGGTTGGAGTCTTCTTGTTGTCGTGGCATTCCATTTGACATGTATGATCACACGATGGCAAGTTATTTCCACAAATTTGCTTACACGGTGGACATGACCCGAAGTGACAACGGTGAGGCTAAACAATTAAAATTGCAAGTAAAAAACAGCATGCGCATGACTAACGCCCGGGGTAAATGCATTGTTCTGAAAACAAAGTTAAAAGAATTGTACCTTTCGTATTGGGTGGTGGCAATTTGAAGGAATTCTAAAAAAACAACAAATAATGCTTGTAAAATGGATGTTTGGTAAAATGCATGTCTTGCGACTTGTGAGGCGGCTAGACTGGACGGTTAAACAACACGCAAAAAACATGTGTAGCCAAGTTTCTTACTTGCATAATTGAGAGCATTTAGGAGGTTTTGTAACACGCTCTCTACCACATGGAACAGCCAGCCTAGTAGAACCACAATTACAGCTAACGTCCTTCGTCAACGGACAAGGGTAGCAGAAACCTATAGGAATAAATCAAAAGAGTTTCTCTTTCAACACCGAAATCGAACCTGTGATTACTGCAATACCATTGTGTATTAACCACAGAATACAGTAAATATCACACAGTTATACGTCTATAAATTTGTATGATAAAAATAATTAAAACTTAACTATAATTGAAAATGATGCACGGATGCTTACCTCGGTGACAAACGGAAGGACATTTGTGATTTTTGCAACTTAATTGACGACCACAAATCTGTTCACATGGCGGACATCTACCATCACAGCACTAAAAGTAGTGTATTATTATATTCTGCGTAATTAAGCTATTGGCAAACATACATGAAGTTAATTATTTTACTTGCATTTTATATAACTGTAATATATCGCAGTAGAAAAGTATTATTTTTTATGTGAAACATACTTTCCTACGGCACTGATGTCTTTGACAGTTCCTTAAGTTGGAGCACTTGATATCACAGGTAAATTCTTGCGCACATTGGATTGATTTCTCGCGCTTACCACAGCGACATATTTTGTTAACCATTTGTCTGCATGTCTCGCACGGTCCTGAATGGCAACGACGTGTACAGCTGTGATGCCCACATGCCAACAGTAACTCACATGTATCCCCGCATACTGGGACATCTTCAGTACACGGCAGATTTGAAGCTGAAAGAATGGAATAATATGATAAAGTTGCTATTCCGATTGCTTTTTTTTCTGCATAGCGTTTGGAACACTTCATATGGAAATATTGAAACGACATCGATTTTTTTTCGACCGAGAAAAACATGCTGGTTTCGAGTGTTTCAAGATTTCTTACAGAGATAAATAGTCTGGAGGTTGGCAGAACCGATCAGAGCGAGCACTATAATAGTGAATATAAAAGCAATGAAAGGACAAAATTGTGAACCCGAACCCGAATATTGCTTTCGGAACTGGAGCACGTGTCACTGCACTCTTTAGCGAGGATAAGGTGCTATCACAGAGAGTGGAACATGCCGGACGATATGACATCTCATCTTTTTTCAGAGTGGGAGGCGGAATCGAAAATGTATAAAACGTTTGAAAACGTTTGTATAGTAGCTAGATAAGTTGAGCTTGTATACGAAAGCCGCGTTGGATAGAAAAGCCTCGCATAAAAACGTCATCTACTCTAAATGCAAAACATCATTGAACGAATTTGGGAAAAGGAAGCGTATTATAGAAGATTATTGTGACTATATATCCTTACTAGTTTTTCCACACGGGCAAGTTCGCATTCCAGATTTCGGGCAAGGCAGACATTTTCCCTGATGACAGATGTCAACACAAGTGTGATTAGCACACTCAAGAAGTTTTCCGCAAACCTGAAAAAAATTTATTCGAGTAGCTATATCAGTCAATCTTTTCATTGGACATTTTTATATCAAAGGTCTAATGATGATTTACTTAACCGTAGAGTTTCATATAGATACAAAGTACCTCAGTACACATCCATCGAGGCTCAGCACAGGACCTAATAGATGTGTTTCTGCCACAGATACAACTTTGAGAACTTCGTTCGGGACACGGTGGGCAAAGACCTAAGAAAGATAACTTGCTATAAAAACGGTGCTATTTGCTCAACGTGACGACGTATAGTGAAATTTGCTCTACTTTAAAAGTGCATAACAATGACAATTACATACCACCATGACATGGATGTTTACACTTGTGGTGTTCACATGCAAGTACTTTTTCACAGGGTTTTCCACATGACCATTCTTTGGCGCTACATCGACGACTGGTAGGCGGTTGGGAGCCACAATGGCATCTGGTCTGGACCATTTTTGGACATGGAGGACATGGTCCTAAGTCGATAAATTATCGATAACGCAAACATAGCAATGCAGGTGTGGGAAAAGTATATTGTACGGTATATCAACTTCAACAAAGTACACCCTATAGTTATACCTGGATGACAGAGTAAAAGACAGCTGTGTCCACAGTTGGGGGTTAATTCGCGTGCACATACTTCACCACAAGAATGGGGCACAGACCATGGGTCAAATTTTGGATTAACCTAAAATAATCAATGCATTCGCAATTAATTAAACAAGGACGGCGATGAAGATGAGCAGGATGCGAACAGTTAGAAATTCTTATGTGAAATTAAGCGTAAGATTTGACGGGCGTACCGTTTTCCCGCAGAAACAAATGTACTCTGTTGGTCGTTCAGATTGTTGATATTCACATCGGCATTTTGGGCTGCGTTTAAAATGATAAAAATGTTAAGCACTGTTTGCAGTGCTGCATTTCAACCTGTTGTGAAATGTCGTTCTGTTTTAAACTGCAATTGCAACGTTTTCAAACAACTCCCACTTCTATACCAGAAAAGTCGACATATTCCACTTACCAAAACCATTTGATGTCTTGGTTTGGAAGGTGTTCTTGGGACAAAGGCAAGTTCGGAACAGCACCGTCGTTCGACCATTTTTGAATACATTGCAGGTGGAAGATGCTGTAACACTGAGCGCAATTCCAGATCTTTGAAAAAAGTAAGAGAAGATAAGAGTTAAAATTGTGATGTATGTATAAATCAAATCTGAAATTTAAACATTTGCTTGGATTGTAGTAAATAACTTCCAGTCTTATGCGAATACAAGGAAAACACATACGGCATCAATATGTTTTACGGAGGCAATACAAATCAAACATGTCAAAGCACGGGAATTGCAACTTTCTTGAAGGTACTGCTTTATCTTCTTTAAATTGTCTCCATCTCCTAAACGAAGAAAGGTTTATATTAAAGGTGGAGGTGATACCAGTTTTATTTTTCTATCACTAAAGCCAACCAGGTCTAGTAACTGTTGACAGTTGGTACATAACAATATAAAAACGTGTATATACGATCGACAATAAATTGGTGGCCAAGTGGTTTAAAGCGTATATGTTAAACTTCGTGATACTGAGGTGTGAGTTCAAGTCTGCAAGTCACTCTTATATTTTTTGGGTTAGAATTTTTCTTCCTTTCTAAAAATTTCTATCAAATACTATATCAAACCAAACAATACTGCCGAAACAACACTATTTGGTTGGTTGGTTATTTGATTATCTTCTTAATCAGAATTCAAGATCTTGTAAACAGAAGCTGATATTTAACTGCGCAGCAATAAGGAACGCTTTTGACTTTCTTACTAATACGTGACTAGACTAGACTAGACGCAAATCGCTTCTTCAGGGCAAGAAGATGCTACTAACTCTCACCAAGCAAAGAGAATAGCAAACTTACAATGGTTACGAAATATCTTTAGAAAGAAAAGAATATTGCCACTTATACTTTTGTATTAATTGTATTAAGTACCGGAACCTAACGAGGGCCATTCATATTAAAGACTTCCTTATTAACTCGTGTGCAAACAAAGCGTCTTTCCTTCTCGCATACCTTCCAGTTTATCACACAATGCGGTTTGGAGGAACATACAATGGAAACTTTCACCCCTAACTACCCATGGCCATACCTCCAAACGGCAGGCTTTTTAGGGTTCTTTGAAAACGACTTTTAATGATCTTTACCTAAAGCTTCTATGGTTATTTGAGTATTTTTGACTTTAAATTCACCCATTATTTAGAATATTTTATTTTAGGTTGGATTTCATGTGAGTTCTGACTTCAGAGTAAAGGAGTTCGAGATTTGAGATTTCGCGTAAGACGAACCAAACTGCACACGTCACGACACCTTATATCCTTGGGCATGGGGTTAGAGGGCGTATGGTAAATGGACAACGGTTTGTTTAGCAATTGGTGCATTGTAATATCAATATTTCAATGCAAACCTTGGACTTGGTAAGCGGTCAAAGTGTTGCGCAATATTTCATCATCATTTATGTCCTCATCGGAATCGGAGGACGATAAGTACGTGTCATCAGTAAATTTGACCGCTGCCTGTCGGATTTCTTCTATCTTTCTATGTCGATCGGATAAATCCCCGCGAGAATCCTTTTGATCATTCGTAAGCCTAGCCGCAGCGCCAGAATTCCATGCTGACGTGTTCAATTGTGTCTTTGTGTCATTCTTATAATTCGATCCTGGTTGAAATCTCTGCTCTCTAGTACCACGACCTCTTCCGCGACCGAGGAAAGCTGGTCTATTCTCCATGAGAAATAACAAACCATCACGATCGTAAATATCAACCTTCAAATTTTTTCAATATTTGGGATGATTCCAAATATTGTAACTTTTTGGCGGCCATGTTGTGTTTTACTTGGACGTCATGTAGAGACTAATATAGTGACTCATTGTGCTGTCGCCATGACAACACAAGATGGCGGCCAAATATGAACTGTTCATTTACTGATGAGCACTTTCTCTAGTCAATCGAAAGATGGCTATGGAACAAGTGCAAATTATAAAGGACACACATTGTAAATCTATTACAGCTGTAGGCTATAATCCAATAAAGCATGAGATATTAGCTGGATTTGAAGGTATTTTGGGCAATTTTTGGCTATATCACGATAGGCCGTCTGACTTAATAATACACGTGTAGTGACCTGTGCATGTGTTTCCGATGATCTTTCATCTTTTCAGCTAATTAGAATTTTACAGTAAGAGTTAGGTAAAAATTTATAACAATGTTCAAAAAACCTTGATCGATCATTCCATAATTGGACCTATATTTCAATTCTTTAAGTCACAAAGGTATGCTGTTTCCCACAATATAGCCGCGGACAAGTAGCTAGTCAATTGCTCGAAGCAACAGTCATCTGCCTAATTTTTAAAGCGAATTTGTTAATTAACACTGTTTTGAGGCATATTTTCGCTACTAATATGTATGCACATACTTTGAATCTGAGATGGGTATATAAAAACGTTTCTTGACAACAAGAGTATGTTGTAAAATCGGTGAAAACAAATTTGCTATGAAATGGACGTACTTTACAGGGCCGTAGCTAGAAGCTTAATTGAGGGGTGTATATTCATTTATTATATACACAAGCGCTGGATATGCAGTCTGATTGCGAGCTACTAGACAGATATTAGCTCGAATCTGTCTATTAGAGAAACATTAAAATCAAAATGGCCCTGATAGCTGAAACTTGCAAGGTAATTTTTGTTTGCCACTTCGCGGTATAGTCGAAGATGAGAACAAAATGTGTGTTAACAGTGTTTCGGAGAAACTCAGAGGGTGGAATGAATTCGAACTACGTGGAAGTACAGTTTCTTGAGGTCGACCTTGCAGTTTGCGAGTTGTCTTAGAGCAGATAGAGGGATTTAGATATCACGACGCGACGTCAAAGACGACGTGAGTTGATCGAGACGGTCTGCGTCGACAACACCGTAGTCTTTATTTGGATAATTAAAAATCAATGGCAAGATGGCTTTTAGTGGTTATTTACTCATTGATGTGTGACAAACCGGAAGAAAAAGTTCAGATAACAAAGATGAAAAAAATCGACACCAGGAACGCTCATGAATATTGTACATATCTTGTCGTACATTATTAATGTTTAAGCGACTTTATATTTTATTCGTGAATAGATTGTTACCGGTACTGTAGAATAACGTGTATATACGACTGTAAATATAAGAATTTTTTGCCGTTTCATTGCTATTATTTTGCTTTGTAAATTTATTTTATAATTCGAATTCAATGTAATCTGCATTCAAGACAATTTAGAGTTACGCTGAAAGAAATTTGATAGAAAGTTGTAGTTTCATTTTCACACAGGAACTGAGGAAGTATCGGTATTATATTCAAAATATTGAAAACAATATACGTTGAATTATATATAATGAGCGAAGCTGAAGATAACGGCAAGGACGAGACAACGGTATTTAACGAAGGAAAAGACAAAGAGAAAGAATGACCAGATTATTAAACATAACGACCATGATTACGAATTGATGAACAAAGGGGAGAAACATTAGACATTATGAATAGGTTAGAAAGAGCTTATATGGAAAATAGTGACCAAGTGAATGCGATGAAAACTAGTGGGTGATAAGGCTGATGCTACAGTTGATCAATTCGAAAGTGTAATCTGGCTCGTTAGCATAAAAGTTGTTAAAGATGAATTCAGTTACAGTTAGGAAAGATAACGAGGCCGACGGAAGCCAGGCGCCGAGATTACAGGCAAGAAAAGAAGGCTGAACAGTGGGCACCGTTACGAAAAGAACGAATAGAAATAGTCAAAAGGGAAGAGAAGAATATGAAGAACAAGAACGATAGTTACTGGAAGGAAGGGAAGCTAAAGATGAAGAAGAAAATAAATCTCAAGAATGAAATGAACAGGTTGATAGACAGTTGGTAAATATCCGGAATGAAAATGAATGATCACCACGCAACAATGGAATCATCAGAGATCACGAATCATCACGAAAAAGATCAACCAGCTTTGAAGGAGATCGGAGCAGCTAAACCGCAGGCACAATTCGAGAGAGTTCGGATCTGTCAGAGTTTGCAGGTAACAAGATGGATTTTCAAAAGTGGCACGCAGCATTTACGAGCTGTGTGGATTTAACATATCTTTCACCTCAGTTTAAAATGTCTCGTTTGGAGGCGTGCATTACGGGCGAGGCGGCAGATACAATAATAGGGTTGGGATATTCGGCGGAGGTATATAAAGCTGCAAAAACATGACTGGTTTGTAAGCATGGAGGACGCCGTTTTCCCATTTGGAAAGGCTAAAAAACCCATTGAATAGAACAATTCAAAGGACGTATTAGAACGAGCTGTTATTGCACTAAATAAAAAAAGGGTTGCGAATCAGATTTGGAGAATTATGCCCTCCATATCCTTGTATTGAAAAAATAAGACCTAAATGGTTACTTAAACAGTGCTACAGATGAATAAAAGAAAATCATTAGATCGATTCTCTGGAAAAGCTGAAAAATTAAGTGGCAGAGAATGCAGAGTATCAGATCCAAGCAACCGAAATTAAAAATGGGACTGGTTTGGATAGCGAAAAAAGGAAAAAAACATAGATAACAAAGAACCAATCCATGTTCGGCTTGTTCTGGAGGTTCATGCTCTTGAAGCCGGTTGTCAAGAAAACCACAATCGAGGCCTCAACGGAGATAAAAAAGAAGGATACAAAAAAAGCATTTCAATCCACACATGACCTGAACGGAGATGAGGGAAATCATTTAATAAACATGGAAACATTAGGAGATCATGAGGGCGCGAAGATTGCCTTGCGAACAGTGCCAATTATCGTCCAGAGCGAGAATGAAGTTGGTTGGCTATTAAAAATCAAGCAAAATTGGACACACTTGAAAGATGTTCAAGTTAGAGAAAGGGAATGACATTGATGTTCTGCTCGGAGCCGACAAATATGAATTAATGTATTCGATAAAAGAATTCCTTGGTGCGAAAGATGAACTAGTTGCAAGACTCTGTCCTTTGAGATGGACGGCGGTATGGAATATCGGGCAGCGTAAGGAGCAGGGTATACTGGATATCCTGAAAGTACCAAAAGAAGAAGTAAAACCGGAGAAAGGGTGGTTTCTTCCCCATTTTTCATTGGTTTGTCCAACAGTTGACAAGTACCAAGATAAGGATCGTATTCGATGGTGCTCTTTACGAAGGCAAGAGCCTCAGCACTGAAGCATTATCTGGCCCAGAGATACAGAGCAACGTGGTTGACATGTTGGTCCTTCCGCCGAAGATGTAAGTCAGATGTGCCATCAGTTGTTACGTGCAGAAAATCGGCTATCACAATGATTTTTGTGAAGAGTTTTGGATTCTTTAAAAGAGCCAGAAGTATACGGATTTCTCAGATTGTTACTGTCCGTCCTGCGTGCAATATACAATACTGTATATATATATATACAGTCCAGTTGTCAGCGTATCGTTACATACTGCTGTCACGCGCTGCAGTCTATTCCAGAATACCAATTCGAGTCAGTTTTTACACGTCTGATTGCATAAAAGACGAGATTGGCCTTTTGAAAGCAGTAAGTATTTGGAACTCATGGGAGCATTGATTTGAGTACGATTGGCGAAACGAATTTCATTGTCCTTGTAGAAATACCAATGGAAGATGTAACATATCTGTTTGGGTCGATAGAATGATCGTCCACTATTGGATTCATGGACGAAGCAGTGGTTATAAGCCTTTTGTCGCCCATCGAGTTGGCAAGATATACGAACAGTCGAGTCCGAGTTAAATCCTGCAGATCTGGGCACGCATTAGGTGAAAGTAAATGAATCGAAAAGCAACCAACTGTGGTGGTACGGTACCTAGTTCTTACAGAAATTAAAAGTACTAAAAGTTCAAGCCCCAGATCAAGTTGATGTTGCGACAAATATCGGTGGCCCTATAGTTTCGTAATAGAGTTCAAGTTCAACAACAGAGCAGGTTGAATCCATCACAGTTTTCGAAATCGTATAGAGTTAATAACGATAAGAAATTGGAATTCGGGTATTGTCTAGCACGAATACATGGTTGCATGGGTTCAACGATTTATCAACAACTGTCGCCTAGCGAAAGGTTGGGGGACTCGAAACGGATGAACTGCACGAGACTGAAAGAAGAGTTTTTCAAGAGGCACAGTTAGCAGCGTATCCTGAAGAAAATAAAGCTTTAAAGGAGAAGAGTTAACCAAAGAAAGGTGGTATGCTTGCTTTCACGCCGATACTTACGGATGGTTTGTTAAGATCTAGTACAACGTTACTTTACTAGTACGAAATGCCTAAATCGGAGTGTGTGGTACAAGTTCGTGAAAATATGGTGTGCGTTTTTAAGATGTGGGATTAATTAAAGTACACAATTAGTAAACAATCTTTTACAATTGCTATCGTCATATGTATGTTGCGATTGAAGTTTTAAAGTTTAGCTAATTGCAAAATCACGGCGCTTAGTGGCATATGACAATCGACGACAAATAATTTGCCCTGCATTATAAATATCAATCGAAGGCGCCTTTCCGTATTGGAAATTGAACAAGTTTGAATGTGGAAACTAGGGGGATGTGGAATGTTCTGTGGAATGTTCTAACTGTTTTTATACAAGTTGCTTTTTAAAATGATGCATGTAGTTTCATACGTTGTATACGCTACCTTGCACTGTGTAATGTGTATTTATGGTGAGCCGGCATATCCTTCGGGGGTTCACCTTCAAAGGCGGTTTAAAGATCAGCACCTAACAACAAATGGAAGCACACAAAAGAGCAATGAGTGAGATCAGGGTAGCATGGAATGGATGTTTGGTAACATCATAATAAAGTTTTTTTACTTCAAAGGAAAAATGAAGGTAAATTTAGGTCCATAGGCAAAATGCATATTATTTGTGCATTGCCTAAAAATGCTCGTACATGACTTTATGGTAACATCATTTGAAGCCTTTTACACTTGCATCACCTTTATTATGTGAGTATTTAATTGTGGTAATAAATAACACGTTTCCATCTTGTTGTAACTTGTATCTATTGCACCCAGTTAAAATTTTTCAAATTGACTCAACATTGATTTAATACATAATATTAATAATTGTTACAGACATTCCATTCGAAATTCCATATTGTTTCCAAATATGCAGTAATTTATAATATAAATATTTGTACAATATATAGATATTTATTATATATTAATATAAAAAAGGTAATGCCATAAATCCTTTGATATAACGTAAACATAATATTATCGATATAATTATTAACTCTCGATGCATTATATGTTAATTGTGGTTGTTATTGTTACGAGCCGATCCTTTTAATTACTATTAAATGGCTCCGCTTTTGGCTCAATTCGCTCGCAACAAAGTCTGTGGAACCGGTTACTTTTCAATTATTTGTTCTTTCTATTCATATCATGATAGAATGTAGGTAAGCAAGTGTAATAAACTTATACACATTTTAGATGGTGTTATTAAGGCTTGGGATTACTCCACTGGTGAAGCTGGAAAATCTGTACGTTCTGTTCACGAACATGAGGGCTTTGTCACAGCATTTCTTTTCTGGTAAGGAAACAAATAAAGGGACAGAAAAGCAGTGATCTTTATCTAACCCCTAACCTAGTCAAAGGCGTGTTTGCAAGTTATGAAAAAATCCAAAAATATGATTTATGTATAATTGAAAGGTGAACGTTTATTTAATACTTTTAAATATACAGTACCCCGAAATATGCTAGGATATCATTGAACGCATACTTTTAGTAGCGAAAACATTCGTTTCCGATCTCTTTATGATATCTGACAACTTGCTCGTCCTGAAAATCTGATTATGTGCATATCGCTGCTTGTACTTTACATTCTATTAGTATTATTCTATATAGTTGTAAATAATGGCTTCCTTTTTTACTATTAGCTGTTAAATTTGATCAATGCCATAGATTAGCTGAGACTGCATTTTTCAATAGAGATTCCAAAATTTTGTTTTTCGTTAGCGCTTTTTCACCAAAAATTTGCAGGTCGGAAGCCAAACTGATGTTTTCAAGTGGTAACGATGGTACGATTATTGCGTGGGGATCTGGAGGAGCTGTTTATGACCAAGTTCATGTATGTAACTCTTACAAAGATTAAAAGACTTACACCGATATAATTTAATTTTAAGGTCATGTCTATGAAGGCAATTTTGCTTCTAGTTGCAAAGCGTTTTTTAACACATGGTGATGCTATGCAGGAGGAATAATACCAGGAAAATTACGATAATGATTATTTTGATCGTTCTGTTGACAGGGGCGAATTTGACATGGTAGCCAAACTTAATCGAAGGATTATTATTATACGGAAATCTCTTTATTACTCCATTTATCTTTTTATACGTCGTCAAGGTCTAACTAATATTTTAACATTCAAAATTACTCCAGCGGTACCTCGTTCAGTACAGTGTACAAATAGTCAAGAAACGCGGGTATTTGCGGGAGTTCAAATTTTTAATTCGAAATTAGGCCGTGTAATTTATCCTGACACCCTTATTCCGCTACACTGCCGTCAACTTGTGTTACAACTAGCTTAAACAACTAGGAAGACAAAAAACCCAACCACAGTGACAGAACATCGGTTTCGTTCCGCAGGTTAGTTTGTTTTGATTTGTATAAAAAATTTGTCGTAGCGACAGATTAAAAAAAATAATTTAGACGTGATATTTGATGTACATTTGAACATGCACTGTATTGAGGTTTCGATTATCTAAACAAGTCAAAAAGTAAATTATATACCTTAAACTGACTGAAAAGCAGTACCTTACTACTTTTAAATAAAATTTTCTATTGAGTAAAGTAAGTAAGTAGAGTACATCTGGGATTATTTAGATATATGCCTGAGCAGGGACCACGGAGTGTTTTTCGTATTGCTGAAGCTCGGAACAGTGCGCCTGCTAGGAGAATCCGGGAAGGTTTTGGAAATATACATAGGCCTCTGCAAATTGAAATGGTCCCAAATGCCTCTCAATTTAAGGATTATTGGGAAATAGTAGATACTTTGTAAAGTTTCCAGCACGTTTGGCGTTCATATACAAACATTAAACAATACAAACAACCAAAGAGGCCGGAAACCATGCTTTGGTTATGATGTCAAATATTTTGACATGGATAACCACGCAGGTTAAAGGGTCTAATTCTGGTGCTATGTGAAGTTTCAAGCATGTTTGGTGCTCATATACAAACATCTATATAAAGTTACAACTTCGAATATGGCCGGAAAACGGCATACTCGACCATGATCGAATATACCGGAAAACGATATACTCGACCATGGTCGAATATGCGGAAAAACCGTACACTCGACCATGGTCGAATATACTGGGAAATGGTACACTCGACCATGGTCTAATTCTGGCCACGCAGTTTTAATGGTCAAATGCCATGTTCCTATGGAAATTTGTGGCGATATACAAACATTAAACAATATAACGTATATGAAATGGATAACCACGCTGTTTTGATGGTTAAATGCTTGTTCTTTTTGTCTCTGTTTTTTTTCATTTTGGCCAAATATATGTATTGAACATAACTAATTTCAATCCATTTGTAAACATAGCGGATTTATTACGACAGATATCGTTGGAAATTAGAATACTCATTTCCTTTACGTTGAAGAAGTAAAAGTTACGATAGTATTCAAGATAAGATACCCTGCGTATACTTGTAAGCAAAAAATAAAAATTGCTAAAAATATTGCTTGTAAATTTGAGCGAACTAAAAATATTCGAAATTAAAGACTATATACGAAAAAACTCTTGATGGGGCTAAAGCTCAGCGAGCCACCCTGCTCCGCGGTCCCTGATGAGCAAATAGTATTCGCTATTTCATGAATGAGCAATAATTTGAATCAATAATTATGCCATTCAAATCCCCAATTCTGTACTTGGATATCTTCAACTAACCTAGCACGGTGCTTAGCAGATTGAAAAAAGCAATTAGAGCTTTAAACAACTGTCCAGAATGGAAAGCGACGTATCCTAGCGCATATGCAGCAACCATTTTTCACGACAAGACATTGTCTTCCCAATATCTGACGGAGCAGACGAATCAACGAAATTAGAAACAAGTGCAGTACCAATTAACGAAGAAAGAAACTTCGAAAGCCCTTGTGGTTGTCTACAACAGTCATATTTCTGAGAACGATTGACCGCTTGTGAGATCTACTGAATTCAAGAAACCCAAAGAGAAAAAGGATTCCAACCGCTTATAGATCGCGTATCGAATCCAAAGGCTAAGATTAAGAAATTCCGAGATCTGCATATTTTAGAAGCAGCCGCATTTTTATTTACCTAAAAGAAAATGTCCGAACAAGAATTTCTTGTCCTAAACGAGGCAAACAAGCGAACCTCGATCGCTGATTGAAAACAGTACCTTGCTGAGTTTAACGTGAAAAAGTCCTAATGCTCTAATGGCACAGTGGTTCTGGAATGGAAGATTTATGCATCATCCAGCGACGATTTTGCATATTTTGTAACATATTAAGGCATCTGTTTAGAAGATCTCATGGATATTTGTTGATAACATTGAACCATCTTTGGCTGTTTGATGACCAATCAAATGTAAAAAAAATAAGAGCAACAGCATGGTCAAAAAATTTAGGTGCGAAATATCGTGGATCCGCCCCTGTTTGCTGATATTTTTCTCCCGAGAAAAAGAAATTAATGCAGAAGACGAAATTAAAGCATGTCATGCACACAGTAACAGATTTTCTTTACTAATTTTCACACCTCCCAACGTGCATGGTTTGATCCGAGCATAAATTTCCTTGCGTATAACATGACCTTGCGGATTATAGATCACTTAAATTAAAGTAAATTTCTTCCCACACAGCTTGGAAAAAATATATTTATCGGCACAGAATTTTGAACAGAAAAGTTGTTTGTTATCATGATTAAAATTTGTGGCCTCTTTGAGGATCGGGGATGATAAATTTACGTTGAAAGACTAAATTAATTTTTAATCACGATAACCAACCATGCACTTTGTCTTTGTTTTAGTTCAACAAATTCGATGTTTAAAATCCATAAATTTGAATCTTTTTATTAAAGATTGGTATTCCTATTTATGGTATGGCTTGGCATTCACGAAAAAACCAATTAATTGCTTGTGCAGGAACAACAGTTCAAGTCTTTTCAATGAAAGATCCTGGTAAGCATTTATTATTTGGTTTGTATTAATTTCCCCCTATTTTCCTCTACACAAGTTAGTCTTCGATAAATAAGAACACAACTTTTTAAAACAATATAATTACTCTGTTTTACTAGGAAAGGAATTAGGTCACGTCATCGATACTAAAGGTAAGTGTATATATGAACAATATTTCCCCCTATTTATCTGTTAGTCGGAAAACCATTAGCTGTACTTTATTAATTCAGAATTTCAGACCAATAAAAATGGCTCTCCCTTCAAATAATTATTGTTTACAGCGTACATATGTCGCGAGCATACTGATATAGTGAAATGTATAGCTGCACTGGAAACAAGACTTTACAGTGGCGGGTAAGTTGTCAGAAGAATTGCCTTAGGATATAGGAGTTTATCTCAACCAATGCACTCTGGTTTTGATTAATGAAAGTAATCACCACACAAAGATATTTACATTCACGACCCAACGTTTCGACACTTCGGTCTAGTGTCTTCCTCAGGGGTGATCTGATGTTGAAACATCAATGTTGGGAGTATATAAAGATCAACGTCAGATCACCCCTGATGAGGACACTAAAGACCGGAGTGTCGAAACGTTGGGTCGTGAATGAAATCTTTGTTTGGTGATTAGTTATATTAATCAAACCCAGAGTAGCGATAATTAAGATGGTTTATATACCTAGTTGCCGTGACAGAAGTTATTAACTTCAATTCGTTGCGTATAAGATATGGCCAAAATGATCATGTTCAGGGTATATAACGATGCCTGGTTGTCGTGAACTTAATTATTAACTTCAATATAGGAGTTTGTTATTAGATATCCCCTGCAACACGAGTTTTGAGGGATATAATCTAGGCATTCCTGGCTTCTCTTTTTTGTTTCCTTGGCAGTTTTGACAGAACCCTCATTGTTTACGAATCATTGTCTTATCCTGGTGCTAGAGGATTGAAAGTAGCGACGTGGTGCGTTAAATTATTTTTTATTTAGATATGACAATCACATGTGAGAAAAAATGTTAGAATCGTAAGCTTAAAAACTTTATAATAATCAAGCAGAGTGTATATATGAAGGAAGAAAAAGTGAATGTCCAAGTTGAGATCCCTGTGGAACACCAGTGCTGATTTTCGTTAGAAACACTCAAATCTCATCAATTTGTTTTATATGCCATTCTTTCCTTTTCTTTGATCATTAAATGGCTACTTTTTTTTCCTTATTGCAGTATTAGAGACGCTCACGAGGCAGGAATTACCTGCTTGTCAGTAACTCGCGATTCTGACAATAATACTCTGTAAGTTTTATTAGACAATATTCTTTGGTTTGTATTCCAAAATTCCGTCTATTCGAAAGGGTAAAATCGTGCTTATAAGCTGTACGTTTGTTCTAGTCTTACAAACTCTTTCAGTTGGATTAGAACATACCTAGAACGAAGTAATTATTCGTTAACTTTTCAACAAGATTTGACTTTGGTTAAAGCACAGATTCTCATTGAATTATTAAGGTTATTTACCGGTTCCTTTGATAAATCTGTGAAGATATGGACTCCCGATGGTCAAATTATGCATAGATTTGATGGATTTAGGTAAGGTGGAAGAGACTTCGATTCATATTTGTCGTAATATAGCCCCGCTTATTTCTAAATGGCAGGTTGAATTAGGCACACTATAAGTGACTAGGGTAGTAGTATGTAAAAGATCAAATTTTCCTGGTGCTAAATCACATATTAAAGTATACTGGAAGGAATCTGCCAATTTTTTTCAAAATACAATAACATGATTGCCCCGGTTATTTTTTCCTCAGCAAGGATGATTACTAGCGTAGTTCTACAAGAGATAAAGGATTTTTAGTTCTATACGTGCCAGGAACACGAATTATAAAAGAGCAAATATTTATTTTATGCCTGATATTTCGCGAGCATTTGTTGATTACAATTAGTGATACATCGTTTTTTCGTTTGAAAAATTTGCCGATCACGCGTACCAGCTGATGATTACTTTCTCAATCCTTTTTTGTTGCTATAGTTCAGTAATAACAGGTTTGGTATATGTCAGACCAGCGAAGACAATATGGATAGCCGCAGGCGGGTTCGAGGCGCCCATGTACGATCCGAAGTCAGGCGAAAACGTACGTTAATCTTTAATGACGCCTTAATTCAAAGACAAACGATATAACGGTGTTACCCTATCCCCTATAACCATAATGAAAAAACTAAACGCGTTATTGTAAACTGCAGTGGTCCTCGCGAGCATGTTAATTCATTTATCATCATAACCATCCTCATCGGTGGTCCGATAACCCGTAAAAATACACATATTTTTTTTTTAAGTAGCAGTTCGGTGACATAAGACGTGATATAACGGCTTTTTTTTTCAATTGACATTGGGCAGTACATCCATGGTGCCCAAAAAATTTATCTTCGTGCTGAATATCAAAATTTACGTTAGCATTTCGTTTCTGAACAGGTCTCAGATTTTATTGGTACATTTCACACACCCAACGAAAATATACTGTTAGAATTGCTGGCTTTTATACCAGAGCTAGGACAAGTGATAGGTTTGTTTCCGTCAATGTTAATTATGAATTAACAAATTATTAACTATTTGTTTCGCATCATAATATGTTTGTTTTGTTTCATGTCTAGGTACTAATATCAGACGGCAACTCATTCTTTGGAAATTCAACCCCTCCGGTTGTTTAACTACCTTGAGACATAATTGCCCTGTTGAGTCACTTGCATATAGTGAGTGGATAAGAATCGTGTATAATTTATTAGTCATTTCGTTTTTTCTGAGAATTAAACGTTTATTGAAAGGCTTTGTGATATAATGCTAGTACAAACGCAATTGTTAATGCTAGTGTTTAGGATAGTTTTTAGGACTGAACACATGCAGTGTTCATCAGAGTAGGCTGGATCAGCTGATCCATATTTCCTTAATGCAACTACCATGAATTCCAAGCAAAACAAATTTAATTTTTTGTATAACAGCAGCATTAAGCAGTGCTTTCCTAGCGACTAGCGTTGTAAACAATATGAGGTTCCATAAAATCCTGCTAGTAGAAAACGAATTATGGAATTATTATTATGGAATTACAACTCAAATGTTGGAGTTGTCTCAGTAACAATTGATATTATATACATTTGTTTTTCCAGCTCCTAAGGTCCCCCTGCTGATATTTAGTGGTGGCAGCGATGGAAATGTCACAAAGTGGGAACGACTTCAAGCCAGCAATTTTATCTATAGGTAAAGGGATCAAAACTAAGGAAATTGTAATAGATAAATAGCCATCTTGAATTTGATTTCATGTGGATATAATTCTACCATTGAAGTTTAAAAACATGAACATGCTTAATTATAAGCAAAAAATGTTTCGTATAAAATTGAAACACGTATAAAAAATTGGCCAATGGGAAATTAGAATTCTCTGGCCTACATGTTGTCATTGAGAAAGGCCCTCTTTCCACGTTTATTTTAGGCAGTTGTCGTAATACATTAGATAGGGTGTTAAGAAAAGACACTGCCAGTCTTCTCCCTTGTTATTTGTTTAATTGCGACTTTGAGAGTTACAATAAATGTAGACCTAGAAACCATGACATTCACGATCATTTTGATCTTAATTGAATGCAAAGAATGAAAACATTGTGCTCGGTAACCCCTTTCTTAACTGTGTACTTGTCTGTCGGATGAATGCAGATTTTAATGTAGTGGATACATGCCCTTATACCTTTAGTAAAGAAACATTTCCAAGGAGCGAAGGACTTGCTCGACTTGCTTACCAGTTTACTGAGAAGTATGAGAAAATTGGTGGAAGAAGTGAGAGAAAAAGACCAAAAGAATTGTATTCTGCTTCCCCTGATTGTGGTAAACTCACGAAAATGGTAAGTAAAGTGAAAGACTCGATGATGAGGCTCAAGCCTTGCAGGAAATTAACAAATTTTAAACCACTTAACTGTGAAGATGTCTTACATCTAGAATTATTGTTTAAGAAAGGGAGACGAGTTCAAGGGTTTAAAATAAAACGAGGGTGTATGTTTTTTCTGTTATTTTGTAATTGAATAAATTTATTGCAGAGTTACTCAAACCCAGACTTCACCAATGATGTGTCCATACTGAATTCTTTATTCGTTGAAAGTTTGGACTTGTTAGTGTTTGCATCAGAGGACAATAATATTTGTAAGTACAGTTCGATAGATAAGACGTTTACGTGCAGGTAACAACAAGAAACCGTTAAAGCAATGGCAAAATGTGTAAAATTATCTTTTTTTCTAAAATATGTATAAATTTCTTTCTGAATTTCTTGGTAGTCTTTCTTAACATTTCCAAATGTGTCTCATTCTGCATGTAGATGTTTGGGGTTTTGACAAGAATGCCGTGGACGTTTTACAGAAAATGAAACCGGTCGATGAAGTTTTAAATCACAGATATGCGATTTTACTAGATAACGGTGGTTGTATGCCTGAGACAGAAACTGGTGTAAGTATAGAAGTTCTTAAAAGTAAGCCTTACCACTTGTTTCTCTATCACCTCGTGTTACTCCTCTGCTTATGCTCCACTTCATACTTTACTTTCTTATACTTCACCTTTATGCTTAACTGCGTCTTATCCTCCACCACTTAACGCTCCGCCTCCTCGTCTTTTTCTTTCCTATGCTTCCTTCCACCGGCCTCCTGCGTTACTACTCCGTACTTTTCCTTCTTATGCTTAAAATCCTCTTGCTTTATCTCCTCATTCTTATCCCCATTATGCATTCGCCTTTTCTTCACCTCCTCTCGTAATTCAGAGCTTAATGGTACAGTAAAAGTACTACATTCCACCGAAATTTTATTCAGCCGGAATTCTTTATCTGGTTTAAAGTATGAGTCGAATAATATCTTTTCAACATATAATCTATTTATTGTACAATCTTTATATTACATTTATTACACACTTAATATGTTCACCAACTCTTATAATACATAAAAAATTGTTAAATTGAAATTTCTTATCGCTGTCTGATACATGAAAATGATATCAATATCGATCAATCCTGCAGAGATTTGATTCTGGATCATTGCTCAATTTTATAAGGTATCAAAAGGAAATATTGATTCCGTGACCAACCGAGTGGCTGGTTTTATATGCAAGAGTGTATTTAGCGAGCATAACAACTGTATTACTGGTATAGTAGCTGTGGAGAAAGATCATAGAGAAAGATATAATACAACATTTTTGGTAGGTGTTTCTTCCACAGTAAAATATTTCAATTTCTTGAAATGTTCATGATTTCGTCCTATGTGCGTTGTAGATTAGCACAGGCTGGGATCGAAAAATTCTTATATGGGATTTAGAAAAATTATGGTAAGGATTGTAATGCACGCAGATCTATGAAAATTAAGATAGTTAATGGTAGTTACGTTCTTTGAAAAAAAAAGTGTGTCTTAAGTCGTGAATTAATCTTTACAACAGAGAGAATTTGCAATAAAAATGCCATGATAGAGCAGAGTTTGCATGGCATGTATACATTGTTTAGAAGACTTTCTGACTATAATAGTGCTTCATGTAGGAACAATTTATTCACCTATCCTTTTGCTTAACTGTATGTGTTCGTCATATTTGCTCTTCTTTCAGCCTTCACGATGTATTCTATAACACAGCAGACTCGAATGGAAATACATCTTGTGCAGAACTTTCTGCAGATGGAGTCATTATGGACCTTGCATATAGCCCCGAAAGGTGCTTTAGGTTTTTTGTGAATGTATAATATTAATCAAAAGCACAACTTAATATGTGTTTTCTAGTAAACCTAGGCGTGCAGGAGAACATCACACTTGGTGTGCTAGTTAGCACACCTTTTCATATAACAACACCCAAACAACACCAAACATTGATGATTGGAATTTAAAACGGATTTGATTTTGTTTACTAGCGTGAATTTATTATTATTTATAATTAATTATGCATGTCGCATTTCAGAGATGAATTTGCATACGCTGCCTCGGACAAACTAGTCTACATTCGACAATTTTCCGATGAAGGCTCGAATATGAAATTGACCGGAATTCTTCAAGGTCACGAAGCTGACGTAACACAGGTATTCTCCTGGTCTACTAATATTGTAAGTTTTACTTCTTTTATCTACCGTGCTACATATCCCAGCTTGGTTGAGAGTCGCAAATAGGCGGGGTTAAGAGTGATCGAGGGATTCTGATGGAAAGCGCGCGTTATTTTGAAGAATATGCATTTACGCTTACTGAGCGTGAATAAGTTAATGAATAGGTTCTAATAGACCATAAAGTTTCTATCGTGTAGGGAAGTTCAATACAGCTAAATAGCAATACATTATTCTATAGGTTAAGTGGAATGCTGTGTTTTCCAAGTGGGTAACAGGCTCGGACGATGGAAGCATACGGATATGGGTAATGGCCTAACTACAGGGTGTCCCAAAAAACCAAAACTAATGAAATCACCATATAACAATGCAATAGTTAGAGTTTGAATGCCTAAACACCCTGTTTGGCCGACAAGTGTATAAATGTTTGACATAAGCATTTTTATGCATGATATGACAGTAAAATTTGTTCGTATCTACAAATGATTTTTATCACCAATATTTACACTTTACAAATATGGATAACAATATTTAAATTTACAACTCAAGCATCATGACGACATGACCCCTCTCTCTGGCAAACTGTCCGCAAATTTCTACCGTTTCATCAATGTTATAGAATGACGACGGAATGCAATGTGAACAGCAAATCAGCACTCAGGGAGCAATCACAGCACTTTGTATCGACCAAACAAATGGCTGTGTTGCTTTAGGTGTGCAGGATAGAATAAGGTATGTATGGAAGATGCAATAATACACTCGATGCGCATGCGCCTTCATGAATACTTCTTCAGTTTTTCGCCAAATTATGGAAACGGCATTGGAATTACAATCAGTTTCTGAATGCATGAAGTGTTATTTGATCCCATTTAACCAGGAAGCAGCGTGGCAGCTGAGTGTCTTCAAACAACAACTTCGTTTCAAATGTGGAATAACGATTAACTGCGTAAAATAGACAAAAAAGTTAGAAGAGTTAATATGAAAGTTTTACTTTGGTCCATCTACTTAATGCAGATGTCTAGTCGTATAATGTAAACAAACCCTGTGTTTACATTTTGAGCTGTTATATTTTTTGAACGACAACGTCTACTTATCTCACACATCATTGCTTTCCTGTTGTTTTAATTAAATATGATCCTGGGTCCCGCAATCAGGGGTGCAGCTATCGTGCTACTCACGCTACTGCCCGCAATGTGATGAGCATAACTGATGCGCAAACGCTACTGGGCAATATCTTTAATCCCAATTTCTTTCCTGCAAAAGTTATTAAAATCGTGCCATTTGGCTGCAGGAGGAGCGAAGAATCGCTCCTTTTGTATTAAATACGGACATAACTTTTCCGTATATGACACTTCAGTCGTGACACACCGAAAAATGAGGCACAATGACCTGGGATGATTGAAATGTTTAGGTTTTCATTACAACACCACTGGCTATATAATGACCTTTTGTTACTATAAAGGGTTTACGATCCCGATTGTCGAAAGTTTGTCCAAACAAATGTTGGTCACAGTGACTCTGTAAGAAGCATAATCCACGTGCCGGAAAGAGGGCAGGTTTGATGTTACTTCATAAGAATTTTCTGTTTTTTGAGCAAAATTTTAAAATAGATAACAGTATTCCGTCTGTTTTACAGTATATTTCTTCTTCTTGGGATAAGACAGTTCGAATCTGGAATGCATACAAAAAAAGTACGTATACAATTTAATCAAGTTGTTTCCCAATGATGACAAAAGGTTTCAACGATGTTGTCACAGTTATAAAAGCTTAACTGAAGTGAAAGTGTAAGTGTAGCACAACACAATTTTCCATCAACCGAGAACAACTTTTGCGTGTTAAAATGACAGCATGCTTCTTCACACAGTTGGCAATGCTTATTTTATTCATTCCGCGAGTAAGATATGCTCAGTATCGAAGATGTTTTTATTAGCGCTCTCTTCACGTACAGCATTTTATTCAGTTTGTTTTTACCAGCAGTTTTATGTTATTCGATTATGCGATTCTATTTTACCTTCAATTTCTTTGTAGAAGTTAAATGATGGCAGCATGGTTTCCTGATCAGGAGTAATAAATACATCCATGCCGTAATGAAGAATCTCCAAACAAAAATTTAATTATCAATGGTAAATTTGTGTAAAGAATTAATATTATTTTAATATATTTTTGTACATATTAATATTAACGACGCTTTAAACTTTTTAAAACCTGTTTTTTCATGTGTCTTGAAGAATCGATAGCTTTCATTGCCTTGGGGTACGCTCAGTCATTCGGCGAAATCGAAATTGATCCCACTTTACGTTGCACGGTCCAATCAAAGCAATACTAATAAAACACGATTATCAATCTGTATTTGTCTAATATGCACGCTTCAATCTGCACAGTAGTTCATTACAAAGTGCTTTTGCGTGGTCTCTAATAATCTTCTTTCTTTGAAATACAAGTAATGGAGCCACAGTCGATTTCCCGTAAAGAACAATTAGTATCCATGGGTATACGATATAATAAACCGTGAAGCTTGAGCCGTTCGGAAGAGTAAACATGTTCGTCACAAATGATGGAAAATATGATATAAGAATAACTGTTATTATGATGTAACTAGTTATTGTTGCTGATATTACTTTTTCGCGCTTCGCTCTCGCCATTTGTACTTTCTCCTGCTCGAGTATTTGCCGTTTGTGGTGGAGGACAAGTCGATGAATCCAAATCCATATAACCGCCACTATGACTATGGAACACATTATGCTTGCACCTGACAAATAGAAGTGAATAATTGTCGGGTAAAAATAGTGGGAAATCGACACCATTATTATAAAGGACCAAGATGAAACCACGGATACTTTCAGCCGAAATCGATTCACAATATTCTGGTAGTGATACGGATAAGCCAGAGTGACGAAGCGTTCCACGCTAAGAAAGACTATGGTCACCATGGAACATCCGCAACATGCGTATGTAGTGAGCTTAGCAACTATTCCTGTTGCGCAAACATCCGAGCCAAGGATCTCTTGTATTTTTTTAATAATGCTGATCGGTTGTACTATCGTGGTAACCATCAAATCAGATATTGCAAGACAGACGAACAGCACTGTACAAGAATTTCGTAAACGCGTGTTCTTCAAATACATTGCAACTAAAAGGAAGTTTAAGATCATCCCTGGTACCGAGAGCACAGCATTCAATATTATAATAGCGATGTTTGAATAGAAGTGAAGTCCTGTTGCCGACAATGTCAAACGGTATTCGTCCAGTACGTTGTCGCACTTGCTGTATTGTTGCGTAGACATTATTATATTTTGGCTTGTATCACTTCGGCAAGGTCGTGTGTGTGCATTTGTTTATGCTATAGATTGTCTAACACGTATATCTGCAGCTGGAAATCTTAATAGTTTTTTATTCATTTATATTGCATGTCGTGTCTCATTAACTACGATTTTTGATGGAGTAGAAGTTTTTGCTTGATTTTAATTGCGAACGCGAGATCACATCCGGGCGACAAATATCATGCCATGTGATGGAGTGCCAGTGCCAGTGGTCGTTTGATCAGTGAGGTTTGAAATTCTCATAGAAAATGGTTTGAATTGACTCGCACGAGAAAAAGGAATAAAGGTTTATTTAATTCACAAATTCTTGTGCAAACAAAACCATATTAACATTTTACATTATTCTCAATTTTTGTTCACGTCATAAAACGTGCATGCAGTAATTATAGAGTCGTCAACTTTATTAAACAATAATTTACAAAATTTGATTCTCAGACATTGGATATATCGTATTTTTTCTTTTCCACTAGGAAGACATTATGTATAGTGTAAATTTTTGTGTGCATATATAATTTTCAGATCCGGTTTTATTATGCAACACTAGTATTTTAAACTTTTATAAAAATTATACCTATACACGCGCATGCATCGATATGAATTGAAAATCGGCAATTAGGCGTACGTATAAAAATGCAATTATATTTCAAAAAAATAATAAAATGGCTTCTGAATTAAATATTGCGACAAATTTGCATATGACGGTCAAAGAGGGGGAGGGGTGTTAACAAACACAACTAGAAACGTGTCTCAAATATAAAGCCAATCAGTGGAGGATTGAAAACATACTTTATACATCAAAATCATGCAAGCTTTTGTTAAACTTTTGGGAACCAGATCAGTCAAAATGTACCCTCAATCAGTCACACTTAGCAGCTTTTGAAAACGAACATTCTTCACGATCTGCTAACGTTTTCAAGCATTCCAAACAAGGAGGAATTTCGTTTTAGACCAATCAGGAAATTTGTTTATGATTTTTTATAACCCAATCAGAATGTATAAATGTTGACCACTTCCGATAAAAAGGGTCATGGTTTATCGTTTTACATTAAGTACTAAAAATTTAGGCATTCTGATTGGCTTGACCTGTAAAATGTAAACAAATGGGCCGATTAGTTCAAAACGAAATCCTCCTTGTTTCATTTGGAACACTCTTTACAAATTAACATATACAGAAGCGTAAGCAGTCTCACAGTGTATGATCTCGTGGATACAATCATACAAATTAAGGTTTTTCCGGTTTTTTTATACACCCTGTAATAATCATACTTTTACCTACTAGAATACAATTAAAACCTATTGAAATTTTTGAAGGAAATAATTCTTTTGTGATTGAAGAACAAAGTAAATTTCTTGGTGGAGATTGCGTTGTTTATACAACGTACTAAAGGCCTAGGTTAAACGTCGCATTTTGGTCGCGTCGAATGCCATTCAAACAATAGGCAATGAGATAGTAATGAAGCTTAATGAGGTTTACCATCTCATTATCTATTGTTTGAATTGCATTCGACGCGACCAAAATGCGACGCATAACCTAGGCCTTTAGCGCATGCAAGCCGTCAATAGAACAATGGCTAAGGGAGATTTAACTAAGGCCTAGATTAAACGTCGCATTTTGGTCGCGTCGAATGCAATTCAAATAATAGGCAATGAGATGGTAATGAAGCTTAATGAGGTTTATCATCTCATTATCTATTGTTTTTATTGCATTCGACGCGACCAAAATGCGACGTTTCGCCTAGGCTTAAACAAAACAAAGTGTTATTCATTTTTATATATTTTGTTCATTGATCTATTTGGCTTTAGAGTTTAGTCTCTCATTATTTAGCTAATAACAGTTTGTCGCTTCAGGTAAAATCTTGCTGAGAATGATTTAGTTTCGAAAGAAGCAGGTTTTGGTAACTTTTGCCGGCTTAAAGGTACATCATTTAGAGGGATATTTGGTAAACTCTTTCTGAAATCTTTATGATAATTTCTTCCAGGGCCTATTGTTTATATTTAACAACATAGACATGTCTACAGCACTAGCCTTTATATCAATTAACTGAATTCTTTTTGGTTAGGTTTCATGCACATTTCATATGTCTGGTGTCATGGTTGGTGTCCCAAACATGCAGGCGTCGTTTTGACTGAATTCCGGCCACGTGTAAATAAGGTTTGTTTGCACGCATGCATTGTGGAATAGAAAACTGCATCTGCTGTGCACATATCCAATTTAGTTTAGATTCCTCTATCATTCTGACATTAAATTCCATCATTCCCTGTCTCCAATTAACAGAATTAATTTTGAACTTACCTAGCTGCGTGCACGTCCTATTAGAACGTTTTAGCCTGCATGAATAAAAATGTCTCCCTGCCGCTTAATAAAAACCCTTATACTTGCTCAACGATTGTTATAATACACATACTGCCCTTGTCAAGCGGACATTGTATGTAAATTCGTGAAAAAATTATTACGTACAGCAAATTCATTAAGAGAAAAGATAGAATACAAAGAATTTTGCGGAATTATCTCGAACTCGATGGATCATGCAAAACCCGTGTTTACATATTGAGCCGATGCCTGTACTGTAATAGGCTATAAGCTTCGGAACTTGATTTCGCAAAATGATTTTTGCAGTGCAAACGGACTCGATTTTACTCCATAAGCACTTCGTCAACAGTGTAAAATAATAGCTGACTTCTCAATGGTACCGTGGTGATTACAATCCTGCACGTTTCATGTGGCCAAACAAGAATTGTATATATAGCATGCTATATCTCGTGCTATTATAGTTTACACCCAACGTCAATCATGTATAAACAAAGCAGGATTTTATCAACACAGCTAAACAAACGATGTGGACGCAGCTTAACAAATAAAGGATACTAGGAACAAAGGCCTGACAAGAACAGTGTTTTTCAAAATGCCAGCCGATAGGTATGTTTTCATTGTCGCTGTTATCTCCATTTGTTCTTTCGGACCGAAAAAGACAAACTCGTTTTCTGAAGGGATTTTTAGAAACATTAAAGGTAGTATACTGCATGGTTATGAGGGGTCTCGTAGTTTTGGGGTTCATTCAATTCACGAATGTCACTTGTGTGTCATATACGCTTTCATTCGGTATATATATCAACTATATTTAAAGACTGTTCAGTTTCGAAAGAAAACTATTCCATTGAAAGAATATTTCGTCGTCGTTTGCCATTCCATTGGAGTGGTCAGAAATCCACTGATATATATAGTTAATACACCACATGCAGTCCAATTGCTCAACATTTCGCTAGAATGAAAATTCAGAACGCGATATTCTTCACAAAACCGTTTATTCTGCAATAAACTGTTATATGGTAAATATATCAGTTAGCTAAATATATATATATAGTTACATTTGCCATAAATTTCAGGAGATGTAATGCATGCATGGAACGCTCGTATTGAGTTTATACTGAAAAATTGGAAGTTGAAGGTGTTCATATGTTTTCTCAGCTGATGACTTAAATCGCACCAAATGTTGACACCATAATGTTCACTGTATTTATGGCGTATTAGAGTATCGAAAACTTATGAATATACTGCTCTCCAATTACCGAATTACCGAAAGCAATTATTGATTTTGTTTTTTGTTGTCGTCCGCCGTTTGAAAGTGTTGTCTCTTTAAACCCAGTTCTGTTGTTTTCGTGAAGAACTGAAAAAAGAGAAAATTCTTTAATCAGGTTCTTGGGATAATTTCGACTCGAATCGAGCCTTCGTGTTTTAGGCCGGTTTTCGAATAGGTAAGCGAATTTATAGTGGAAATTAACCTTAGTTGTCCAAAATTTAGATACAACTGTTCCGCACCGAAATTGCTTCATTTGATCTGCAATATAGTTTACTTTTTCAGTCATGGCCTTTTCTTATTCTCTACCATATACTACCATACTCAAACCTCATTCAATGACCTGCGTGATTCCGTCTTCTAATACACTTCTAATAGGGCATGAATTTGAAATGAGGCTCTCTCCAAAGGCAAAACCATGCAATGCCTTCATTATATTATTTTATAGCTTTTCGGCAGGAGCGAGGCTATAATACCGAATAACGTTATGCATTTTTTCCAAAGGTGAAGACAAGCAGCTTTATATCATTGCCAAGAATGTTGCAAGGTCTGTTCGGGAATGTGGGCAATTGTGTATTCGAGCGAAAGATTGTCGTTACTTCCAGTATCGTGCTGGAAAATGGGGTGAATCTAACTGCAGACTATGCAAAGAGACACTAAGGCCTATACAGATAATTCGTTCACATGGCGACTGGAGAACCTACGAAATGTTAAATTCCAACACGGTAGGTGCCTGCATGTGATTGGCTTGTATAGCTATATTCCGATTGGATTGCAAGAATTACCATTGGAGGGGGCAAATCAACTTCACACCATGAATATGACAAGTACAACCTTATGTGACATATGCTAAAATTCGAGGTACATAATTCCGCTATTAAAACGGCAAGTGTAGAATTCTGAAATGTTTCTTAGTCTAGACCCTATGCGAAAATATTTATAGCAATACGTCATAATTACACTAACTATATATTTTGCAGGGTCCTTGCATTCCCAATAGATGTAAAAATGGTGGTTCGTGCATGAGGGACACACGAAAAGAGAATGGATTTACATGTGTCTGTGTAAATGATTTTGAAGGAGAATTTTGCGAGATGGAAAAAGGTGATATATAATTTGATTTTAATCACAATTTAGTGATTTTGTCATAGGAGATTAATTTCGCATTAGTAAAGGCCCATATACTTGCCATTACAAACTCCGAACTCTCTCGTGCATGCCAGTCTGAAGAATGAACATCCATATAGTCATGACTTATTTTGTAGATGTTTATCTGTCTTGCAGTGAGGCAAAAAGACGTAATAGCAGGTTAGTGAAATCTTACCAGATTCAGCTTCTTGAGGCATGCGAAGGCATCCCAACTTATTAGAATTTTTGTGCCTATATGGACGACGCGTAATCCGAATTCGCATTTATTTAATTTTCTAGATGGACTTACAAAAATGCGCGTTAAGCTCTCGCCCGAGTTTATACTGACTAGAATTGGTAAATTAAATATTGGTAGCAAAAGCGACATCATGATTACAGCAAAAACAAGATTTTTGTATAATTATGTGTAACAGCCAGAAAAACAACCGTAACTTCGTAAGCTTTTCTAAAAAATCGTTGAAAATCAAATATATTCAAAACTGAGTAATTTTTACGAAAAATGCACCGTTGCATGTAAGAAGTGAGGAATTTTTTAATATGGGAGGAATTATATTCGCACGAAGGCGTCTAATTGACTTTATACTACCTATTAGCTGCAAAGGTTACACGGCCTGGTACCGGATTCGCTCGTCCTGTAGTCCCGCGCTATATATATGCTAAATATTGTAGTGTTTATTGACCGTGAAAACAATCGACCTCTAAGGAAATCAATTATGACAATGATGACCTAAAAATAATGTGTAAAGCGAGACTAAATCGTAAGACTAGCTATGCCGTAGCATCGCTAACCAGCTGTCAGTGCATGGATAGCGCTATCCGGCCGGTTTTCACACAACCGGCCCCAGAATTCAGCGCACAAAGATGATGGGAAAATTATGACTGCATGTGCATTTTAACTTGACAGTTTGCAAGATGGCGTGTATCGAATTCGGGTTAATACAAATTCTGGGTATATTCGAATGTATTGCCACATGAGTCGATTGAAAGGTTGTGAAGGCAGTGGCTGGACAATGGTTATGAAGATTGATGGTACAAAGGTAACTCCACGAAATACTTTAATTGCATGTCTTTTAAAAATGTCAAGTGAAGTGAAATGATCAATAGCAAAGGAGCATGCAAATAAACCTTTGAATAAAATTGAGATCAATTACGTGAAATTCGTTACAATCATTTACTAATGCACGAAAAATCGCCTATCCTCATTACTGTTATATAGGCTTGGAATTTATATCAAAAAGATATACATTCAATTTCATCCCTCCACGAAACGTTTTCACATGTTACGATTGTTGAAACTTGATTTAGATTATTAAAAGCGGTATATCTCCTAAATTAATAGATTCAGATCTTCAATTGTCGATTCCTTTACGGATCGAACCATAGTCACAATATAGGCAATGCCGAATTATATATTTCGTCTTACCGTAAAAAAAACAGCAAAACGTTTTAATCCTCTTTTAATTTTTTTTCGTCTCAGCTTCCGAGATTTTTCAATTAAATGACATTTTTTATTGTCTCATTTCAGAGAGTGCTTAAATCACTTCTAAAATCTTATTACAGATGTTTTATATATATATATATATATATATATATATTAATATATATATATATATATATATATATACTAATTGTTTCTTGTAATATTTTTATTTTAATTGACCGTAAGAAATCAATTGCCCGATAATTTGGATTATTGAAGATATATGCATGATGACTGCATGTGTAGTTACCTGCAAGATTTTGTACAGATAACTTTTTGATGGTTTGAAACCTGATTTCTTTTTATTTACCTCTATTAGCTCAGAGGGTCCATAAACTGCCTGCCGCTTATTGCGGCGAAAAAACAGAGTTGTTTTACCAATTCAATGATAATGTTAGGTCTGGCTAGCTCAGCAAATTGTTTGCTTAGTTTGAAATAATGGAATAGGGCAGGGTTGCTGTCATGTAAATACGGTTTGTGTCTTCCAGGCCCAATCACATGTACATGATTATCGAAATTATTATTATTTAACCCTAAAAAAGTATTTTGTGATCGCAATAGCTACCTTTTATACGTTATATAGACAACGTTTGACTACAACTCACAACTGTGGTTAAACATGAAGAGTTATAATGCAGAGGGTGGAGTCACAGGTTTCGATTATAATGAAACGAAACTTCCAACGTTTTGGAGCACCCCGGCCAAAAGGATTTGTCTTGGAATGTCATCAGGAAACACGACCAAATTCCAGTCGTTTAGTTTGTACTATGGCGGAAATTTATTTCATCCACTGTATGATTTTTTTGTTGATGAGACATTCAGGAACGTCCACCTAAACTTACAAAAATGGAGGGATCTTATTGTGAATTCGTCAATTAAAGAAAAGTGTTCCCGAGGAGGATTCAACGTGAAAGCCGACAAACGTCCCGCGCCATATGCAAAGGTATACGTCAAAAAAATTATAGTAACTTTTAATCATCGGTAACGGTTGATTGTTTATAGTAATATCAATGAAGGTGTCAACACTGCGGTAATTGTACGCGACTTCGTTCATAGAAACGTCTATGTATACGTATCAAGGCCCATGCATAATGCGCTACGAATCTCCATAAGTCAAAACCTCCCGAATTTGCGGGGCGCGCTTCATGCAGATATATGGAGATTATGTGCATGTGGATCTTTACGAATTTTTCCCCCAGGAATTCGAAAATCACTATAAATACAGCAAATTAACATGCAGTTCATGCATGCATGAAGGGAGCCAGGTTCACTGAGAAATCCCGGTCTAAAAATTTTTCTTGAATATACTACCCGTATGTAAATGATTGATATGATACTGACTGAGACAGACAGAATCTGAGACGATGATATTCTGCCAATTTTTTTATATTGTATTTGTCAGAGTTTTTATCTTGTCTGATTTTAAGGCTGTTTATAATCGGATTAGCTAGGGGGAGATATTTGGTATACTCTGAGTCCTTGTATATACATAAATCATTCAGCTGTTATAAAACATCATGATTCAAAATGATGAACGTGCATGCTCGCTGTTTCGCCAAATGATCTCGCGTTGTTAGTTATAATAACTGCCATTGTTTTGCCGTTTGTCAATATCGGAGTAAAATTGCACCACTTCTCAAAAGAAATGTACAATTCTTTATTTGCACTGTAGGAGTTTGGCCTTGCATTATTACTACCTCGACATTGGACTACCTCGTCTATGATAAATCATGTTCTTTGCTCGATTTTCTACTATCGACTCTATCACCTGCATATGTAAAAATCGCGCATTTGTCATTTTTAGATGTATTTCATAAGCCTTGTGATATATCGGTTCGAAAATATCTTTATATTTAACCTCGCATGGAAAGAAAACTATGTATATAAGCTCAAATCTGGGGAAAGTAAACATATAATTATTATGTTATAATTTAAAACACTTTTTCTTTCTCCTTTGATTCGTCCAACCTATATATAAACTCGTTGAACTTTTGATATATGTACAACACTTGCTGTCTTACGTGCTTGAGAGTCAGTACAACGTAACTTGGTTTTTGACTCGCAAAATTGATAAACTTTGATTTCATTAATTCTTCTGCACTTGAATATGTTGCAGTTTATATTTTTCTCATAAAATGTCACACATACATCTAAAAAACATTGAATTAAGTAAAATTTATATATAAAGCGCGTTGAGTGAATTAATAAAAAATACAAAAAAAAAGTTGTTAAGTTGCACGTTGAGTTACTCGTTCATGCAGTTATTTCACTTTTTTATCACACCGTAAGACGTATTGCGGAGAATTATCGGATTGTTCCCCTCAGTTATGTGAGGAAAAATTATTTTCCTGTGAAAATCCATTGCATTTGTGACTGTATCAGGATTAATTGTAAAGGCAATGTCAACCATCTCTATCTCCAGGTTCGTTTGGGAGTAATTGGAAACGATGAAAATCATTTGGTCACGCCAACTTCTTGGTTAGGATTTGGTGGCCAATGGGATTGGTCTCCCCCATGCATCAGGCACAATAGAACTAGTCCTAATCCTATAGGCCTACCTGTGTGTGGCAATGTTGACAAATGTAATAATAATATCAACAATGATCGGATTATCCCAGCAATGGGTTATATCCTTGTACGTTGATAAATAATATGCATTATGTACAGGTTGTCCCAAAAAAACCCCAAACAATTGAAATCACATTTTGTTAAAATTTGAATGACTTGTTCGCAATTTTTGTTCGTGGGAATTACAAAAATTTTAATTTTGCTAGAGAATTAAGAACATGTCGAAGGTCATTGTAAAGCATTATTGGTAATAAATGTTATTGGTGGGTATACAAACAAATTTTACTGTCATCATGCATAAGAATGCTTTCGTCAAAAATTTATACTCTTTATACACTTGTGGGTCCCAACAGGATGCTTAGGCATTCAAACTCTGGCTATATTGCATTATTATGGGTGATTTCAATGGTTTTGGGTTTCTTTGGGACACCCTGTACAGGGTGAGTAAAAAACTGACACCTTTAAAATTCAAATTAGCCGCGAAGTTATGGCTGGAATTTGACAATTCCCATGACAGACTCATATGTACAATCAACAGGACGTGGTTAATTAATGCGAAAGTGTTTAAACGAATTGAACTAATTTAACGTGGCACGTGTGCTGGAAAAACGATTTGATAAAACAGTTCTTTTTTTATTTACAGAGCTTCGAATGCATTTTAACTCCCAAAGGGAACAAACTTTATGTTTTAGGTTAATCAATGGGTTCACTTATTTGATATGCTTCGTATACCCGTGAGATATTTTAGGCAACTTCTGACACATTACAGCTGCTATGCGGCTAATTTGATATTCAAAGGTGTCAGTTTTTTTTACTCACCCCTGACCCCTTGTATATGCATGGAACCTACATTAATGACAATTAAGTCTGTTGTGAACCGACAGGCTGTCCCTAAAAAAACACCATTGAAATTATCACCAATTGTTAAAATTTGAGTGACTTGTTTGCGAATTTTTGTTCGTGCATGGGGATGAACGCAACTTATGCTAAAAAGGCCTACAAAAATTTAAAATTTGCTAGAGAATTAAGGACATGTCGAAGGTCATGGTGCGCAAGTTGTAAAGCGTAGTGGTAATAAAAGTCATTTTTGGGTATACAAACAAATTATACTGTCATACATCTTAGGCATTACATTGCTATGGCCTATGGGTAATTTCAATTGTCTTGGGGGATTCTGTTTTTTTTTCATCAAAAACAATTAAAACTAACAATAAAGTCGAGTATGATTTGAATCATGTCTGACCGCGCAGCTTGTATTATCTGTTATATTAGTATTTATTTAAAATAGCCGAGAGAAAGGTACAGGAAGTGGTTCGTGCCAACTGCACAAACGATAGACCGTGTCGCTCTCTGAAAAACATTTCAAGTAAAATGAGAAAATAATTAAACCAGAAACAGATGATAAATATGTATCAACTATCGGTCCGCCGGCAGGAATTAAATGCTCTTATTTAAATGCCAAATATAAAATAAATGTATATCCAGGGTTAGGCATTATATTTTTGGGCTCTCTGTCAACTCTCTCACTTATTGCATACTAAATTTAAATTTTATGTTGGAAGTCATGCCGAAACGTCCACTTACCACTGCTGTTTCCTTTAAAGCATTAAAAAAATTATGTACTTTAGGTTGCCGCAAAATTATGTACTGCAATCAAAATACGAGTTATTATCTAAAGCATTTAGAACTCATAACCAAATCGTTGGCTATATAACTATTACTTTAATGCCTCAAATTTTCGGGGGGTTATTTTAATAACATTTTTATTCAGTTCAAGTTTTTCTTTGCTTTTCTATTTTAATTTAAGAACCACATTAAATCTTTAAATTATTTGTTTCCCTCCGTGTACAAGCCAATATCCTCTAACCTAATTTAGTCCTGCTCTTAAATGTGTTTATGTTGATATAATGATATCCTGAAATATGTTTGCTTTCTATTTAATTATGAAATGAATTATTTTTTATCCCAGCGTACGCAAATAGATCTGAAAATCTATTTTTACAATTTTGCATGAGAAGTAATTAATTTGCTTAATATGTATACACAATCGCTTTTAAAAGTCTAGGAATCTTTGAAAAGTTGTTTACTTGTATAAGTCATATTTTTCCTGGTGGGCATTTTTAGCAAGGATTTTGGATACAAGAGAATTAATACAAAGGAAATTAAAAGTAAATCAGTTCAGTTTCTCCAATCATGATATATATATATATATAGCTACCGAGTTACCGCAAAGGATGTAGTATGCGTCCGGTTAATATTATATATAATTACACTTTGATTATGACAAAGCTATATTTAGTTGGAAAATAAGCGCCTAAACCTAGTCGAGATTTGACGAATTTTGAAACCGAGTTTCATTAGTTTTGCCTCTATAATCGTGCGAGTGAATAGACCTTTTTTATAATGACGTCAAACGCGGAAAGTCTGATCTTACACGAAGTTTGATTAGCTCGATAGTTTTGTGGAGCCAATCAAATTCCGTGTATCATCAGACTTTCCGCGTTTGACGTCATTATAAGAAAGGTCTATTAAATAGCATGCGCTATCCAGTCTCAGTATATATGTCAGTGGTTTTCATCATCCTTAATATAGACAGACGTTTAAATTAACGGCGATTTTCGCGAAAATTAACTTAGCCATGAAATAACAAAATGCATGGACCTAGCGAATCATCCAAAGTCGAAGTAGTTTATAATACAATAAATATATTAAGCAGTTACAAATTAAAGAAGAAAAGAGAAATCACTTCATATCGTAAAAGCAAAGGAAATATTGTGGAGAGACTCATTGCGTTGACGGAAACTAGAAGCAGTTTCTTCATTGTTTTTGATTGCAAAAATCTCCGAAAATAATAATTAATAAGGTATGAGGGAAAAAATTAATGCCTTTTCTTTTCAACAATTTTATTTTACTACGTTTCTCGACAAGTTGTCTTCATTAAAACTAATAAGTAAATAAATAACAAGAATTAAATAACAATTAATAACATAACAGTTTGGTATTTTCTGGAAATACCCTAATCCATTGTAATCACACTTCTTCTGTAGTTATTTGTGATATCCATTAGTCAAAATGCAGAGTTTGCCGTCCAAAATTTGAGCGTTAAGCAGAAGGAACGTACAATCTTCTTAAATGAAATCGCGAACCCACGTGACATTATGACATAGATGAATGGATTAGAGGCACTGTTGAACACCATCAATATTCCTACGAAATGATAGATCGTATAACGTTCGATGTGCCCCAAGTTCCACCGTTTGCCTCCCAGGATAGCGAACGTGTGCAGAATCCATGCTGGAGGAAGTGTTATCAGCAAAACGACAACTGTCGGTCGAAGTATTTTCAACATTTGTGCACTGAGTGATAACTTTCTTCCAACAGACGATCGCTCCTGAACCCGGAGACTACCTTTTAGGGCACGCCTCATCTTTTGACACATCCACACGATACATGCAATGGAAAGAGCGTAAAGCGCTTTCTCTACGATAGCAAAAACAGAATAGTTTATGCCCGAATCTCGGTACGTGCACCTTCCTGTTGTTTCATCCAATTTTCGAAGAGGAAAGTCTAAAAAAAAATACAGTGTGAATACTGTACACCAGATTAGAGAAATGGTAACGAGTGTTTTTCTCGTCGATGGCTCCGAGTCGAAGACGGAAATTACGCATTTGTATCTGCGATAGGATATTACCACCAAAGTAAGTACCGCAACAGTGAGAAATGTCCGCGACACCGGTGGAATGATCTTGCACGCCAGCTCCCCGAATATCCAACGTCCTTCGTTGTAAAGTTGAATGGAATGAAACGTATGACGCATCAGAAGAACTCCGAGGTCGGAAATAGTAAGACTGACAAAAAGAGCCTTCATGATCGGATTTCGAATCGCCTCGTAGTTCAGCAAAGCGATTAATGTCAAAACATTTCCAACGACGCCAACGAATACAGTAATCCAATCTACGACCACTAAAACCTGAATGAACCATTCCTTATAAATTGACATACTTATCAATGTAGACAAGTTGTCAATCGCAATACCCGACTTGCAAGTCCACTCTGCCTTTATATAAACTCCCTTCCTCCATATATAAGCTCGTGGCGTGCATATCACGATATAATTGTTTTCCCACCTCGAAACTACACGACGCTTCTAGCTTATTTCTTTTAATTTGTATTAATTTGAAATTTGATAACATTAAGCAGATGTGCATGAATCACAGACGACTCTTTATCGCTCTTATCCGGCAAAAACGGAAAAAATATAAATTTTCATATTTAATAAAGCCGTTTTTTATACCGAGAAAGCAGTGGGTCGGGGGCTATAATCTATAAACATAATTTACGTGTTTATAGTGGATCTAAATAAACACGTAAAACGGCAATACAATGGCGACAGCTATCCATACAATGGGGCATTAAAAGAAATAAATAATTTAAAAGCGCAAAGAAGCTTTAGACGTTGCACTCTGTTTACGAATACAAATCTTGGGAATTGGGATTTTGCGTCTTGTGCATATTACTTGCGAATACTACTCTAGAAGAAGCATATTGTAGTACTATTGCAGTTTTCTTTTTTACAAGGCATTAGCATAAATTTGAATGCTTGATTGAGGATACACTGCACATCGTTGAAGATCCGCACTGCATTTCAAACATATATTTCTGTTATCATAACACCATTTTTTTGTGCACTTAAATTACCAAAAAAAATTTCATGATGTAGTTTCATGATGTAACTAATATCTTGACGGGCTGGATGAGATGGCAAATCAAAGTTACGGAAAAGTATTAAAGTATTACACATAAGTTTGCTATATTCATTGAGTAGAACACTTTTTCTATAACGTTACATCAACAACAACATGTTCAGTGCCGACAGTTATTAATCAATTGAATTACTATAATTACTCTGAAGTCAGGCGATGAAACGATTGTGTCATCAACGATGAGACAGAACACTTCAAGCCGGCGATGAATCGGTGCAAAAGCTAAGGACGCCGGGCGCGTATATTTCAAGCGACGAGAACCGTCGACAAAAAATACGTTCATTGTGTCAAGACCTTCATATAAATGAGAAACCGCGGGTGGGCGGTAAAAAAAAAAATATATTTGTGATTTATACATTCAGTATATCATATGATATAGATTATTAACTTATGCTTAACTGAGCGCGAGGTCCTTACCGTGAATTTCGTGGAAGCATTCGATGAAAACAACAACTGAAATATTTCATCACTTCAACCTGAAACCACTTGCACGCAACTTATTGACTAAAACATAAATAAGTTTGACATTTGTTTTTGCTATTCTCTTTCGAAAATTCTCGATTTTTTATCTCGTCATGGATCACAGGTCCATTACGGGAAATTAAAGGACTGCTGAATCACAATAACAAGGCCCTATCTCACCGGAAGTGACGCTCGCCCTGTAATAACAAATACTTCTTCCATTGTTTATACAAGTAGCGAAGATTGCCTTCCAATAACACATAACCGTGAACTTTGAACACGAAATAAGAGATGTATAGTGTACGTTCTGAACTATAGTGCTCTGTTCGTTAAAAATTGTTTTCAGAACAATTAGTGCTTGTATATCGTACATCTCTTTTGTTCTGGATATTCTTACAAAGCCAAATTTCCAACTCAATGAGCAAAACGTTCGTTTAAAATAATCGTTTTAAAGCAGTTATTTGCACTGCTACTCAAACTTTTAATTAATTCATAGGACGAATAATGGACGACAAGTTTTCGTTATTACCATTAATTTCAAGATGGTTTTTTAGCCGTTGTCGTCGCGTTGCCTTCCCAAATCTTATCATAACGCTCTCTATTTTTTGTTTGCAATCACAAGACAATTTTTCTAAATGACGGGCAATCACACCGCTTCAGGGGTCCTTTCATGGCAATTAAAGAAAGATAAACTGTAAGGCAATCAAAATTTTAGGATTCAAAAGCCGAATAAACGCTACAGTGTCCGTTTTTTGTTACACTTAAGTGAGTTAACTATCAACCGACATCTCGAATTACGTCAATGTAAAATTGACTTCGACTGCGGGCTATTTTAGTCCGGGAACATGTGTTTCTTAAACTATCTTTGACAACAGTATAGTTTATTAATTTTTTCTGATTTCTTTATCCTAATTAGTCCATTTTATGACGTTTTTGGTATTGTTTGTCTTAATTTTTTCTCATAGACAAAAGTAATAAGTTTCGGAAATTCGGAAAGTTTGGTATAACTCTTTGGTATAAGTACTATGTTCTTTTGCCTCGTTTACCATGTGTAACGGTTATTCCTATTTCCTATGGCAGAAGCGTAAAGCAGAGTGTTTTAAAAAATTAACGGAAGTCCACTACTGTAAAAAACATTTTTCCTTAAGTTAGACAACATTATCCTTCCTATATTACTAAGCAAGTAATTCGGAGCTTAGAAAAGAGGAAGAGCTGTATGAATGTGTAGTCACAATAGTTACGAACACCAGACTCACCGATAAGTAGCCAAGCTTTAACGATAAAATGATGGAATTTCTTTCATTTACTTGAAAATATTTTTTCTACCCTATAACAAATGAAACTGTTGCAATAACAAAGGTTTGGCTGGCTATAAATATCGATTTTCGTCAATATCGTAATTATAAATTTAAAAAAGAGTGGATTAACAGCACTGCTACTTATATAAGATTTAAGATGACTTCCCTGTTCCCACGATGTCCATATAACACTTTCATCGTGGCATAATAGACGGTGCATTGGATCTTAATTTTACCTTACAGGGATTCTTTTAGCAGCACTGAGGTGTCCATACACTAATTATTATAATTAACCTCAATTTCACCCACAATGGCTATCGAGAATTGATCGATCAATTGATCGACCAAGAATGCATGAACTGAATGTGGTTTTTGTTTTATCGGGCCGAAGTAATTAGTACAGAAATCCAATCAGTCGAAATAGGTTAAACTACATCTGTGATATTTGACAATAGACGTAACGATTCGGAAATATATGAAGCTTTTAGTTGGTTGTATTTATGTACAGTGTATGTCGTTTCAAATAGACAAGTTAAGTGACAATTTGAATCAATCAGTTTGTTTTAGCTGTATCGGAAATAATGTATATGGTTTTTTTTACGAGTACTTGAGAACCTCTGAAAGTATTTTGATAACTGTCTGTCGTCTTCGCACTAGTAAAAATGAATCAAGATTGCAATTCATTGTTATTTTCTATTCAACTCTTTCAAAACACTAAGTCTAAAAGCATATTAATATTTTTTGCATAATTGTTTGCCAGGCTGGTGTAAGACCAATATTTTAAAATGTTAAAACCTTTTAATTTGGGATTTTAAAAACTGTAATACTCTATGTGACAATTTCAGATTTCAAAAACGGTTAAATGATACTTGAAGAAACCGCGGTAGTACTTAACATGAACAGCTCTACTATACTTCACTACATATTTCATGAATTAGCTTCATAATAGATTGGATATTCTTTTGTTTCTCGGTGTGTTTTGAAGTAATTACGTAAACTCAAGTGTAGGCTACTCTGGAAAGCGAATATTAAGGTGCTAGTTAATGCTCGATTATGCAATTACCTAGCGATTAATTTTTTGCAAAGCGGATATATTTTGTAAAGCGAAGCATAGATCAACAACTGCTTCAAGAAGCAAACGTGTTTAAATAGATACAACTATGCAATTTGAAAAATGACGCGCAAGTTGCCATTGAGTGATTGAAGTGGCTTGATTGAGCAGCCATGAATCAAACTGCTCGACTTGATCCAATTTATAGGTTTTTAACAAACTATACGGGAATTTAGATCTTTTGCCTTGCTTTTCCAAAGCTCGTTTAGAAAATAACACAAACGTCTCAATTATGCTGAGAAACTCAGATCTCTACCAGCTAATACACCGCTCCATGCATTCACGTTAAGACCTTTTTTATATTTAATCGTAAGTGTCGCGAACAAGTCATTTTCACCGATGAGAAATAGCCAAGTTTTAAATTTGTCTCTATTTCTGTATTCAAATCGTGCCATCTGTGAGAATCTGAAGGCGTAGTCGTCCAGGCAGACGGACTAGTCTTATATTACGCCTGGTTATACATCAAGGTTTTTGATTTACAATCAAGATTTTTTCTTGTTACAATTTATTATAACTGCATGCGAAATTTAACTGATATCTAGCCTCGGCTTTCTGGGTCTAGCTAGGTTATAGAAAATTGAAGGTTTGATCGTAGCCTCAAATAGCAGTTATGCATGTCGTTCCCAACCGCATGCAAAGGATTAAGAAACAATATGGCCTCGGCCTCCCCATGACACTATATACTTGATCTGAGTCAGAAGCGACAAATCGCTTTTGGGTGTGAAGCAATGATTCGTTTTAAATGTTACTCTAATAATGTGACAGATTTGCTTTACTCAGTTTTTGGACATTATAAATCTTCACTGCCTTTTTGACCCGTTCCGATAGCTATCCGGTGTGTAAACACGGCCTTGATAAATATGATTTTTTGACTTTCACTATAGATCGCAAACCTACATACAGACTCCTTTCTTTTGGGGGGGGGGCGTCGTTATTTGGGCAAGACTGGCCATGCTATTGTTTGTCATGCGTCAACTGATGCGTCTCATTTTACTGTCGGGTGAATCCTTATCGTATGATTACGTATTTTTGAGAATAGAAACCCGAGAACCCCTCAAATATTGCTGCATAGTAGGAAATGAAGAAAGTTATCAAATAGGACCTTAAATGTTGAAAGATTTATCATCATCAAAAAATTATTAAAAGGTCTTTAAACTTCTAATTATTAAACTTCTTATTCCGCTTCGCGCCTCGAGCTCCCTCCAGGTTTCGGCCACGTTTGGGACAAATAATGTACCCTGTATTGGCTAATTATAATTCTGGTAAAAAAAGGCACGCTTTCGAAATTATGACACATGAAAACTAAAATTTTAATTAAAAAACTTCCTGAATCGTACTAAATAATTCTTAGAAGTATTCTCGCCGTTAAATATATATATGTATCGAAATCAGTTATATATACACAGGTGAATCAAAACAATCCCAAAGAAGAGTCGCTACCTGTATTTTTCATACAATCTATTTTCAAATCACCTTTATCAATTGAAATGTGCGATTCGAAGATTATTGTGTGCTTACGTTAGGTTATACCATTTTTCAATACGGTTATAAAACTAAATAAACTGGTAAACATGCTGAATATATTGAGAAATAGAATATTATTTAAAATGAAGTGTCCTCTGGAGCAGCATGGCCGTTGCCAGGATCATTTTTCTTCTCGCCCATGTTATCCAGGCCGATTTCAGGGACTGTTGGATGGGAATCTTTTCCGTGCCCGTAACCGCCGTCGAGTAGAACCGCCTCGTACGTCTGATCAATGGCAAGCGGATACAGAAATACCACCGCGAGTGCATCTTCAATCATGGTGCCGCTGATTTCGTATTTTGCACGAGCACGGATTCGTATTCCTGTGGTGTAGGCGAAGAAGCCGCACAAGATTACCCAACCGATGTACGCGAGACCGTCTTCCAAGATCTCCAGAATGAGCAATGCGATCCAACCATAAAACAACGTGCCAAGCGTGAGCATGTGTGGCCATGCTTCTTGACCATAGACCTTACCGGCTGCTTTGCCGCCCAACCACCAGGGTGCAAAGATCGTGACGATCACGTTGATGGTCTTATTGAGCGACGCAAAATCGAAGACAGCGAAAAGACTGCTGGGGAAGTAGCGAGCATTGGGGTCGTTGTCGCCTGCTTCTTCTTTCATAACTCGCCAAAGGGCAACGCACATGAAGTTGAGGATAATTGTGTAGGCCAATCCGCCAGCAATCGACACCGTCTGCAAGGCAGTGAGCGCCTTCGATCCGCCGGTGTAGAGAAGTGCTGTGGCGCAAGCGCCTTCGGTCAGCGCCCAGAAGATACGCTGGAGAACTGGAGGCTCCGGATTTCCGTTTGCCGATAGACAATCAATAATTAACGAACCGCTGTCCGAACTTGTCACGAAGTACAGGACCATGGCGATCAGGGATACGACACGAAGAAACCCGCTCAGATTTTCCCCATATTGGTCGAGGACGTCGAAATACATCTGCGTTTGCTTTCTGCACGAAAGTTTGTAGAGTTTATCGAGACCTTCGGTTGCGTTGGTTCCTCCCAAGGCCGAGGAACAATTGACTCCCTTCAAGACAGCATCCCGTTCCATTCTCAAGCCAGCTCCGCCAAAAATACAGAACCAGAGGAAGGAGTAAAGAATCGGTGCGGTGAGAGTCCCATTGATGAAATTTCTCACCGTTCTTCCGCGGGAAATTTTTGCAATAAACATGCCAACGAATGGTGACCAAGCAATCCACCAGCCCCAGTAGAAGATCGTCCAGTCATCCATCCAGGTCGGTGCTTGCTTTCCGTCCGGAGCATTTCCGAGCTGCGCAAAGGCATCCGTGTGAAATCCGAGTTGAATGATCCATTGTAAGTAGTAGCCGATACTTTGAACGTAGAGATTCAGAAGGAACCAAGTGTCGTCGTAGAAGAAGACGAACATCATCAGGAACATACCGAGGCAGAAGCATAACTCACTGATGTACTTGATGCCCACTTTGAGACCAGTTACGACCGAGACGGTTGCCATTGCCGTAATTGCCCAAATGCAAATAATTTGGTTGTCCGTGTTCTCTTCGATATCTGGATCAATGCGATTCAACGCGGAATTGATTGTTATAACGCCAATGCCAAGGCTGGTGCACACCCCGAACATTGTAGCAATAACGGACAGAGAGTCGATCAAATCGCCCATCCAACCATAGATCCTATCGCCAAGGAGGGGATGAAAACAGGAACGTATCGTCATAGGAAGTCCTTTTCGGTATGCAATGAATGCCATGAGCAAGCCAACAACAGCGTAAACGATCCAACCATGTATTCCCCAGTGAAAGAGCGTAACGTTGACAGCATCTTGAGCCCTTTGATTGTCAGAATATCTGCAAGAAAGATTTTAGTGCTTAGTCTTGAATACACCCTTAAACGAAATTATAAAGCGAATTTAATTTCGTACATCCCTGTTGCTATATGCCTTATTTCTGATTTATTTTTCTTGCCGATTTCATTGTATTTCCTACTGCCTTCCCAGCCAGGTACGCGAGTCCCGCTGTGAATAGCAATTATTTTATATTGGAGTATTCGCATTGACCTATCCAATCATAGGTCTTGAAAGGAATGACTAGATTCTATATACAGATTATATCATGGTTACATGCTACGCCATCAAAGTTTAGATGCTAAATTTTGTAGCAGTATATTAAAAAATTTCATCTATTCAAAATGCTCTGTCACAATCATTAACCCATAGCGTGGCAAGAGCCTTTGTAATTAAAATTAGTAATAACCTTCGTTTAGCAATGCACTGTTGCGAAGTAAATGACCCAAAACGAGTATGGACTGACTATTGCTGTGTTTCTATACACCCTTTATCAGACAATTTGTGGTATGGACTTTGTATCTTTAAATAATATTCGAACGCTTTGCTTGCAAAGTTTGTTAGTTATTGAATTCGGCACTTGACGCAAAGTTATTCGTGCTTGTAATTGTCTGTATGTAAAGCGTTTATCCAACCGACATTTTTTCACATTTTTTAATCTCTAGCATTTTCAATATCCTGAGCATTTGCATCGTGTATTATTGCTTTGTCGATGAGCAAATCATTTTAGACCAATCTAAGGTCCCCCAGCAAGGACATTGCAAGGGAACTATATAAATTATAGGAATGTCAAAAAAGGACGCCATAATCTGCATGAACACAAATGCAGGAAAAGCCGTTAAGCCTTAAATACTTGATCGATAATTAAAAAGTCAATAGCGGTGGCTCTACCATCTTGCATTTGCCTATAATGCACGAAATCACTATACCTTACATCAATTTTAGTTTAATTTTGATGTTACTAGGAAAACAATTAACTGTATTTGAGTTATGAAATAGTGAATTTAGTATGCGGTACATAATCCCAGGTAAACAGACGAATAATTTCATGCTAAGAGTAATAATCAAACCTTGGCCAGAACATCAAATAGTGTGTATGCCTTACACCATGCACCAGATCGGCTGTTTTATGGTCGTGTTTTCTATAACACCATATACAGCTAACGGTAACAGTACGGTAAACATGTTGGTAAATGAGCGCACTGCGTGGTTTTGAATGTTGGATTACCGGTATACTAATGACATACTTACCTTCCCCAATAACGGTTGCCGTATTTTCCAGGCTCGTAATGAAATATAGGCTCGGCCACACCGAAATAAAACAGGCCTATCGCGATGCCGGCCGAGAATAACATGGTAAAATACGCCGCGTCGCTAAACTCCGGTTCCTCGTCATCTCGACCGAGTTTCATATTTCCATACTTCGAGAAGTACACGACGATAATGAAGAGAAACCATACGTCCTGCGTGCCAATGTACAACCAGGTGAACTTGTCCGTGATCCAGCGTTTGCCTTCGCTCATATATTCGGTCACGTTATCCGTATCGGTCATCCCCCATATCGCAAACCCCCAAATGACCGAAGCCGATATGAGTGTCACAACCGGGTTGAGATTGATGTGAAAAGGACCAAGGTCGAACTTCAAAGTGCGACACGATTTGCGTGCTGTCTCGGCCATAAGGAAGAGAAACTATGTCTACAGCGGTGTACACTGCAATACTGTATCTATTATGACTTATCAACCATTTGTATAATGAATTTCTGCATTGAAGCATGTCAAGACCTCCTATTGCCAATTATATTGTTTTCAAATTTACTATCAGCAGGGGCTATTAAGATGAAAAGCTATTTTATAATAAAAAGAAAAAGTTCCCTAGGTTATTGATATTCTCTTTGCATTTCAAAAATTGCAGTATCAAGGAGCTCAAATTTTCGAGTTGAATTCATAAAAATATTATGAATTTGGCCAACTAGCTCCTTGTTCGTAGTTGTGTTTCAATTATACGACCATGACAACGGTTCTTATATTCAGTATTGTTTAACAATTTCTTACCGTGTTGGCTAATTTCTTCGGCCTTGTGAGTTAATTTAAGGCGCTGTTAATCAAAAATCTGAGGGAAGTTAATTTGTGAAGTGTTCGAAATGCTAAGAAAACGTTAGCAGATGAAATTTTCGTATTTGACAACTTTAGATCCATCAGGATTAGAGTTGCATTGCAAAGTTGTAAGGAAAGTTACAAAGTGTAACACCGCCTTCACGAGTTCCGCGACCGTAAATCAGTTTCCTACTTAGCGGCAATATTAAAGGAATGTTCCAATGCAATTCCCATGACAACGCATCATTCCTAATTATCCGTCTAATCCGTCCATGTAAAAGTGCCAAAAAAATCGAATGCAATTGAATTAGGTTTTATCACAAAATTAACAAATATCGTATCATGCAAAATGCCTAATTCCGTAAGTGGAGGTTGGCATTCTCTGCATACTTTTGCTTATCAGATAAAGTAATTAAAAGATCCTAAGGAATTTAGATCCCCCGTTCGCTCCCAGTACACTTCGATTTTATTATTCTTATGTTCGGTGTCATCATATCCTATCTTTGATATTATCATATCCTATCTTTGCTATTATCATATCATATCCTATCTTCGTAAGGAATTTTCAGTATCATTAGTAACATTCTTATTTTCGATATTACCATATCCTATCTTTGGTATTATAATATCTTATTATAATATCTTGAAAAATAACTCTTACAGACAAAACACCAACCGAGTCCATTGAAACAAACTATTTTAAGAGCAATTAAAAATATTTGCTGTTTGGGAAAGTATGTATGTATCATTTGAATAACTGCATAATTATCCTCCACAGGAATACTACGCGCATATTTTGCCATTAAGGTATTTTCGAATTGTTTGAATGTTGATTTAAGTTGCCTATCATAGGATTACGAACGGAGGACAAGTGAAATTCATGAAAATGATTTTCTTAATGTATGACATTTAGTGGTTCAGAATACGATAAAATCATAAACGTACACGAAAAAATATCCCGTGAACAAACTTAGTTAAAAGATATCCGGTAAGATTATCATCATATTTTACTATGAAACCAAACATAACCTGAATGCTAGAGAGAACATTGATTAAATTAATTGAAGCTAATCACAAATGTGAGACCAGTTTTTGTCAAAAGAGACATGGAAAAACATGGAAAAGGACATGCATGTGTTGTTATGATGGCATGAAGCGTGATAAAAACAGACAATACAAACGAATAGTCAATATAATAGTCAAGAAGAAGATATTTGAGTAGTATATCAATTTAAGTATGCAAAGTAACGTTCAATTTTACTAGAGATGACGTTTGTGAAGACGCTGTAAATGTAACCACGCGGTATATAGGATGTGTATCAAATTTGACTTATTTCGTCAATACGGGGACTGATGTTGATTTGAACAAAATACAGGACGAAGTGCATTAAAGGTGAGCTACTGTCCGTAATGTAAATAAACGCTTTGTTTACATTTTGAATCCGTGTATTTCCTAAAATATAAAGAATCGAACTTTCACTGACTCTGAGAATATTTGACACGCTTTTAGTTCGCTAACGTTATGAGCATACCCGATGCGCAGAAGTGATATTTGCAATAATGATATAATGCAGTACTTTTGCAATAACTCAAACGTCTTTTCTTGAAAATTGTTTTGTTGAAAGCGATTGGATTAAAGGAATACCAAATGATTTTCCGTGCAGGATTGCGTGATCCATGCACGCGGGATGTTGCGAGACTTTCGGAAAGCGTGAAAATACACGAGCCGTAGGCGAGTGTATTTTCACGCTTTCCGAAAGTCGAGCAACATCCCAAGTGCATGGATCACGCAATCCTGCACGGAAAATCATTTGGTAATTGTTTTATAAAATAACTGTAAAATAACTGTAGTGAAACAACGGTTAACTTTATTAAAATTAAATTTCGCGTGCAGGATTGTCTAAAACGCGTGCAGGATTGTCTGATCCTGCACGGCTATTGACCAATCACATTGCGTGTTTCACTATAGTTATATATATAATAACTTTTACAAAGTATTTCCCTCTGACTATTCAATACATTGTGTAGATCATTTGCTGAGTTGATTTTCCCTTATAAATCTAGCGTATTGTTTTAATTACCTTAAAGTCTGTTTTTCACTTTCCCGGGGGCGTGGACAACGAGTGAGAATTGGGAGTGTCACATCACCCCACACCATGCAGCCGGTCTCCCCGCCTCTGGAATTTCCATGCAAACATAGTGCACGTATCAGCAAACTAAAATAATAACCTTTTCAATAATCACTATAGGTTCCTAGCGAGACTGGATAGATACCATATCTTAGAATTTCCAGGTTCTGTGAAGCCAGATCAATGATGGAAACAAGGATTTATCCATTCCGATGGTAGTTTTCGTCTACTTGAAACCTTTAGGAATTTCCAAAAAGACATTTCCATTCTCAATTTGCATTTATTCTGCACACACGTATAATTATTCTTTTTCATCAGCTATATTGACACGTTTAATTTGCGACAATTAAACGGACTATTTTTCATCGATGAAAATGTCTAACTTGTTCACGACAATTACGATTGAATGGAAACCAAGACTGAACCTAACAGCAACTGTATTAATTAACTCGCATTGCGCAATGCGCAAGCGAGTTCTTAAAATGCGTGGGAAGCGTTCTTAATATTTTTATGGTCGAGAATTTCACGACCCGCAAGGTGCGATAAGGTGTGGTGAGCTACGCAGGCGTGGTTGCTAAGCTAACGTGCATGCTGCACTGCTGAGTGCATTCGTTCATGACGTTCATCGTTTTCTTGTGGACAAAAGACGGTAAAAATTCAAAATATTTCGAAATGTGGCTTCCAAGTGCCATATTTATCTTAACGCTAACCTTACATACAACTGCACACGCCGAGCACAGTAGCCCTACACTAAAAGATGTCGAGCGTTTTTGAAACGGGGTGTTCTGTTGCTCTCATGCTTTTCAACTATTATTCACTATGTAGGCAATCTTCGTTTTGTTTGGTTAGCCACCTACAAATAATTCCTACAAATAATAATTTCTGGTATTTTGTAATTGTGATGTCATATCTAGAGATACTAATAAGTTTCTACAGTTGTTAAAGCCAGCAAAAGCCATTTTGAACGATAATTAGAGATATCCATCCTCGCTATCTGAGCCTGAAACAACTTCGGAATAAAAAACTAAATTCTCGACAAGACGTTAGGAGCTCTGCTTATTGTAAAAGCAGTATAGGATAATGTGTAATATGAACCATCTATATGAATAGTTTTTTCAACAAAAACGGATGCTAACTAAGCGACAGACGTGCGATATTGCAAAAGAAACTCGTTAACTGATATTCGGGTGAGAGGGGCTGCTTTGTCGCCTTTGGCTTTGTGAATTTAATTTCCTTGATGCGTACAGCGCCACATCAAAATATACAAGAAGATTGTGTAAACCAGTATAGTGTTTCGTCTGAAGCAGCCAAGATTTCAAGATCAATTTTCGTAATTGTAACTATTAAACATCCCTCTATTAATTAGAAAAAAAGTTTTTACATGACTTTACATATTATTACATAAAAGTTTTTACATGACTTTAGTGATATTAGCGTGAAATTATGGCGCACTCAAAAACCCCGTGATTTCTCGATCAAATTGGCACCTTCGGATTTAGTGATTGTGATTTATGTCTTATGCAAATAGACCCTATATTGTGATGGCACCGGGGAGTTAAAGGGAACTCCTGAGAATGCTTAAAAGTAAAGACAAGCCTTATTTTGCTCCCTCTCTTGTGCAAATACCACAAGGAATTAGAGCTTGCCTGTCACCAAAGCGCATAGAATATTTAAAAAATAGTGGATATAATAATTAACAAAAAGTATAATAATATATTAATAAGTGATAATATACATAATCATTGATAACACAAAAATTAAAAATTAATAATATGATAATATGACCGTTTTCGGTCCGCCAGTCCGCGTCCGCCTTTTATCTATACACCCCTTTGATCCATATATGTTCTCAACCAAAACTACTGAATTGTCTTAACTTAAGCACAAAAGAAAGCATGTTGTTCGATCCGACGAGGAGACTTAAAGCCAGGCTTATATACGAAGATATGGACATCTTCCGTGCATGTATATAATCAGGCTAAACATTGTTCGTTTATCGTTCTATCTATACATATGCCCAATATATTAAATTAGGTTAATTTCCGTTGTAAATTGAAATGGAAAAGTATAATTGAAATTAAAGTTTTTGGCATGAAAACTGCGGAAAATGAAAACGCTCGAGAACGTTACTGTGTTGACAAGCCTATCAAATTAGAAGTGGCTTTTGCGAATATTTGCCCTTTTCACCATCTCATCCTTCCGGAATCTCTGAGTGGCTAAGGACTTGTAGTCGAGAAGATATTCTCTCACTGAAAACAATAGAATTATAATAATTTTATTTCTTACCAAAAATATACCGTCAAGAGGTTTTTCAACAAAATTTGGAAGACTGATGCACCATTTTTGGCACCATTTCGGGCATTTTTTGGCAATCCTTTAGAAAAGATTTTTAAAGGATTTTTTTTCATTTTACCAGCAACTTTTTCCATTTTGAGCAAATTTTTATTAATGGGCCCCTCCCAGCGCCACTGTCGCTTTCTTTTGAAATGTTTTCAGTCAAGCTCATCTAATGTGATTCTGAGTTCCGCTTGTTTGTCTGCGATCGCACAAAGTCGAAAGCGCATCATTTTTCCCATAATGGAAGTCTGCTTTACGGCGATAAGTGGCGGATGTAAAACAGTGTGTTTTGCGATCTGTGAAGACTGTTTCGCATGCATGCACCACAAAGATTTCTATAAACTGTCTCACATGTATACCAGGTGAGGAACATTGAAGGAGTTCAACGACGGGCTACCTCTTACATCCTCGGCACACCAAGGTTCTCTGTCCCGTACAATGAACGTTTGATTCGAACAATCTTACTTCCAATATCCTACTGGCATGAAATCAAGGATCTACTGTTTCTTCACGCATGTACCTATGGAGAATACAACATTGATCTACCGCTATCTTCCTACTCTTCCAGTAAACAACCTCAGAAATTCCTGTTCGCTTAATCTCCAAGTTCCCTGATCTAGAACCAAATGTTTCCAAAATTGTTGCTTCATTCGCTCTGCAAGACTCTGGAATAGCTTACCAAATCACCTGAAGCAAGTTCCTGTATATAACTCCTTCAAAAGAATGCTTAAGTTCACCTACAATACCACTCTCCAAGACATCTACAACATTGAAGATATTTCAACCTGGCGCTCTATATGTTTACGTTGCAACTCATTAAGATTTTTCTTTCAACCCTTGAACCAATCACATTGTTGCTAAAGCTGAACTCTGTGTCGCTCGTTTGTCTGTTCGTCCGTCCGTTATATGTCTGTAACGTCAGTGTGTTATAAGGGTTAGTGACCTTAGTTAGGTTATCAATATCCTGTTGTCACTAGCCTGTGTATATTTGCTAACATGCATGTATACGCAAAATTTACTAAATAAATAAATAAATGAGTTGTCGCAATAGAGTAAGAAGCAATAATTTAAATTATGTTGAGATTCAAGTATGCAATTAAAAGTTGTGCGTGCGTGTACTACGTGCCCGTTCATGTGCGTGTACGCGCGTCTGAAAAACGTGTGAACGGAAGACCGGCTATAATTATGCGTGATTATATATTAATGACTAAGCAGTGCGTGTCGTCGTTTTAATACAAAACGGCAAAACCACTTATTTTGAACAACGCAACAGTGCAAACAGACGCGACAAAAAAACACGCTGTCCAATCCAGTATGGAATTGTGCGGAGGAAGGCTCAAAAGGCTTGGTAAGATAGCACGGCAAAATTTGCTTCTAATCCTGATCATTTCAGGCGTAATATCTGGTTTTATTATCGGGTTGCCCTTGAATAAGCATGTCCAAAGTGATCAGTATGACGATGAAGAGAGGCGGGAAATAGTAATGTTGGTGTCTTTCTTGGGCGATATTTTTGTTCGCCTGCTCAAGCTGCTTATCGTGCCTTTAATTATCGCGAGCATTGTTCTGGCCGTTGCCAAATTGGACACGAAGACAACCGGGAAGCTTGGTCGTCGTACGGTCATCTATTACCTCGGTACAACACTCACTGCCGTTATTATTGGTGTGATTTTGGTGGTCAGCATTCGGCCGGGGGACACAGCCGTTGAACATGAAAAAAAGGAATCGAGACATGTCAATGCATTGGATTCCATACTTGATCTTTTAAGGTGAGAATCGTTGAATGTGGTATGCATATGTATGTATGTACATGCATGTGTTTGCACATGTCCGCGTGTCCGTACATATGTATACATAAAAGTTTATACACATTCTCGTGCATCATTTAATTTTCAATGTCAATATTCCCTAAATTGATTTGTCACTGGCCGTGCACGTGATCTGGGTCCGTTGATTCCGCAACATATTTTGTCTTTCGCCTGAAGAAGTGGCGGGCATTCGTGTAGTGTGTTATTTGATGAGCGCGTCCAAGCGCTAATGTGAGGTATTCAAATTTAAACTAGAACCATATTTGGCGGAACAGCCCATATTCCTATTCTGAGAAATTCACAATGGAATTGGAGAGATTTTAAAAATGTAAAGACCTAAGCATTGTTTTCTTTAAAAAATATATACTACACTGAGACTGTCCAGTCTCTATAGACCTGTTGCAGTACCACTGCAAGTTTGCTATAAGCTTATTTGGTATTAATAAGTTACGAGATGTCGAGTTAGTCAAAGCTGAAACTGTAGGAATTACCATGATTATTGTGCATATGACAGTAATCTGCGTTTCTTTCGAAATATTGCGGGGTTTTTTTAATCATTTTTTTATCTGTTTTCGCTATGAACTAATGGAGTGAGTCTGGCTTATATTCGAAGCTTCTCTTTCATATTTGCCTGTACTGGAAATACTGAAGTAATACCCTGGCTCATGTAAGCGCTCAAGTAATATTCTGGTTCATGCATGTAAGCGCGCTTAAGCCTAGCTAAGTATAGTTCTCAAATGTCGCGACAGCCTGCTGCGATGTACTTTCTGCGCAACTTGAACTCCTTGATGAAATTGAATTTTATGCAAATCGAAAGTCTCATATTGCCTGTCGGTTATTGTCTACAATTTATTTACTTTAGTTATTTTGAATAGGTTTTCCTCGTCATTTCCTGCCGACAACATCGCCGATTGTCGGCGACATATTAGATGTAGGTATATCGACTCTTCGTAGCATGCCTTGTTTAGAATAATATGGCGGACAGACGGTTATTGTAACGAATTTTATAATAGTAACGGGGTTTCAGCGTTTGAATGCATGTCTCAAATGATGTTATGCAAAAATATTTCGAGTTAACATGAATACGTACATCACTCATCAGTTCATGCATTCCGATGCACATTATAATATCTAGCTGTTATAGTTATGCTAAAACTGGTTATATGATCTAGGGGCCTAAAATAAAAGCCATATGGTTTCTGGTAGGCTCCTAGCTCACATTTGTGAATAAAAAATTATATCATCTTTATATCATGTAAATATTGGGCGCATGCACTTATTAAAAAAAAATGATAATAATATAGTCGCCTATATGCATGCATGCGCTTCAAGTTGTTTTCCATAAAGAAGACCTTGTACGCTCCCATGGTGTTCTGTTCTAGATTTACTTGCTCTGCTAAGCTTTTAGGCTTTAGTTGTGTACTCCGCCACAAGGGCGTTTCGTCTTGATGGCATTTACGCACGGAGAACATTAGAAACCCCGTAAAAGGTGAAACTGCGAAAAAATGTAATTTCTACGTTTCGATCGAATTATAGTCGCCATCAAAAGAAAAAAATCGTGGTATTTCGTAATCAGAACTTGACAGTTATACCTTTCAGCGAGGCTATAGCATTATATAAATATAAATTGGCCAGCGCGATATGCACGGGCATGCCACTATTCAAGAACCTATATTGATGGTCACCAGGGGCCAGTTAAATAAAAGACTAGTTAACTTTTAACTGGATAAATTGGCCAATCAGAGTTGTGTATTTCTCAGTTAACTAGGATTTAACTATGCAAAATGTATGGTCCCAGTTATCCTTTTCTTCCTTATAATTATATTTTCAATGCATTATGTTTTTAGAAATCTTTTCCCTGACAACATTGTGGAAACAACTTTCCGCTCAGTGAGTATATATGGTGTTTACTTCATCTATCTGTGCTAATAAAGTACATAGCACAACCTCTCTGCTCGATAAAAGCTGTCGCCTTTTGACCATGCGAGCATTCAAGTTTATATTTTATTAAATTTAAAGCATTTTGCACCAGAAATGATATTCAAAAGTAAACATGAGTCATTGAACAGTAGCAGTCGTTGATATACGACCTTATGCTATTCACGAAGGACTCTTTACAATGATAGCTATCTTAATTATAATAACTTGTAGGTACACCACGTAAGTATTAAATACTGCAAAGCTTTCGGTCCGTTAACCCGGACCTTCATCAGTGCAATTACTTGAATACACGTTTGCGCGTCACTTAAATATCATGTTAGTCGTGATTAGTTTGCTCGCGCTATTAATTAAACGGTTTCATTTAATTAAGTTCTAACTAATGCGCGCGCCCTAGACAAGTATTTGACTAAGAGACACCGAAAAGAGCACGCCACGTACTATTAAGTGGCTTTCCCTCTTGGACGATAGTTTGATGTTTATAAATTTCAATAGATTCTCTCATTTTACGAGAGACAGTAAACTTATCGTTTGCTAAAATGGTAGCATCGTTCCATTTAATGCGATGATCATAAGTCCATGCATGGTGAGCTACTGCAGACTTATCCAGTTTACCTTTCTCGCAGTTCGTCTTATGTTCTTTAAGACGTATTGAGAGATTTCTACCGGTCTCTCCAATGTAAACCAAACCACATTCACATGGAATGCGGTACACACCAGGTTTCTGTTGTTCATCGACGCCATCCTTGTGTGTGTAAAGAGCGCGAAACAATTTGTTATTGCTAGAATGGTAAACTTGTATTCCAACTTCTTTTAAAATCCTAACGATTTTATATGAAGCTGGGCCAATATATGGTAAACAGACAGAGGATAGATATTCCGTGTCTTGCCTCTGTCTTTGCTGTTCATTCATAGCATGTTCTATGAATTTCTTAGGATAACCATTCATGTGCAGAACATCCTTCAAATGCTTTAACTCTGAGTCAATGCTATTTGAATCACAAATTGTTTTGGCACGGTTGATTAATGTTTTGCATACTGATCTTTTAATGCTAGGATGGTGAAATGAACTATAATTCAGATATCTGTCAGTGTGTGTTGGTTTTCTATAAACTTTATGGCCCAAAGTCCCGTTCTCTTTTACATCAAATAAGATATCTAAGAAAGATATAGAGTTATCTTAAAAAACTGAAAGGTAAACTGGATAAGTCTGCAGTAGCTCACCATGCATGGACTTATGATCATCGCATTAAATGGAACGATGCTACCATTTTAGCAAACGATAAGTTTACTGTCTCTCGTAAAATGAGAGAATCTATTGAAATTTATAAACATCAAACTATCGTCCAAGAGGGAAAGCCACTTAATAGTACGTGGCGTGCTCTTTTCGGTGTCTCTTAGTCAAATACTTGTCTAGGGCGCGCGCATTAGTTAGAACTTAATTAAATGAAACCGTTTAATTAATAGCGCGAGCAAACTAATCACGACTAACATGATATTTAAGTGACGCGCAAACGTGTATTCAAGTAATTGCACTGATGAAGGTCCGGGTTAACGGACCGAAAGCTTTGCAGTATTTAATACTTACGTGGTGTACCTACAAGTTATTATAATTACTAAAGTCGCCATGCAATCATACAAGAAAATTATGATAGCTATCTTGTTTCTAAAGGTTTGCGAGATCTTTTCCGGGAGATCAGTCAGTGTGTGAATGAAATTCAGCTTATTTGACTGATTAAAAGCTCCATCCGCCGGTGTATAAAAGCCTCTGGACTCAATGAAAATATAAATTATTTTTCTACTCGTTGAAGGCTATATAGACTGATAGCCGAATGCATTTAATATATCTTAATATTTCGACCAGAGAACGACGAACAATGCTTTCTATTATTCTGATCTCATAATCTCAGCACATTAATTCACTATATATAAGCTGCAACGTATCATTCATTACTTGTATTTCACATGAAGCATTTGATGATTTTTTTTAAGAGTAAAGCTGATTGAAACCTCCTAAACCAAGATTCATAACATGAGAAAAATTCGCACAGGCCTAGGCAGCAACATAATCCTGCAATGGCGAAGCGGCTATGTGACGCATGCATGAAAAATATACCGGCTTCTCCAACATTCCTGTGATTCGAATTCCTTGATATTGTATGACGCTACATACAACTGGCTCCAAATTTAGGTCTTTAGATACAGTACTTGTTGCATGAGTACATTCAGGCCCTGCTTTGGCCAAATTCCTATCACATATGCATACAATCAACACTATGAATCTACGATATAGGGAAATAAGTAGCCGGACATGCGTGCACTTAATTAATATATTTTAATGTTTCCTGCGCCATTTTTTATATTTCAGGCCTCAACTATCTACAAAGATAAAATGTCTTCCCTGAAAAATGGTACGGAAAACGCGGATGATATCAAGGGCGACATGAAGAAACTGGTTAATTTTATGGAAAATACGCTATATGATCCCTGGAGTGTGAATAACGATACTGAGAAGGTCCGGGTGATTACAAAAACTACAAAAAAAGTCTGGGCGAAGGTTCAAAAAGGTGACCGCATGAACGTGTTGGGAATAATTACTTGTTCAATCGCATTTGGCATCGCTTTAAGTAGACTGGGGCCTGAAGGCCGTCAGATGAAAAATCTGTTCGAGATCCTCATGAAGATTGTGATGTCTTTGGTTAATGGCGTAATGTGGTAAGATAATGGCACGTTTTCCCAGATTTTGGAATTTGATTGTTTTCAGTTAATGAATACTATAAAGATAAAAGCATAGCAGGACTAAAGCGGTTGACCACGGACTGCGAAAAAATACATGCGCTTTTCATATCCCTCGGTATTTTATATGTCCTCTCGTAGCGATTGGATTGCACTTAGACACATCAGTCTTACTAGATTAATTTTGCTATAGCTGCTATTGCCAAGTGTTGCAAGTGAATGATTTGAAAAGCAAATGACATGAATGATGCCGAAAGACCTGTTTAATTGTTTTCCCTATCTATTCAATTAGGTTATCTCCGATCGGAATATGCAGTCTTATAGCTGGAAAACTGGTTGAGATGGAAAACATTGGCAAGACGTTTGAGTCTCTCGCTTATTTAATCGTCACCACCATAACTGGAATCGCCATACAGGCTCTAATCGTCTATCCAACAATATATTTCATTTGTCTGAGGAAAAATCCGTTCAGATACATGTTTAATCTGCAAGCTGCAATGTTTACAGCTTTTGGTACGGATTCGAGGTATGTATGATATTTGTGTCGCATAATACAAGAAAAGGGTGAAAGGAGGGACGCTGGGAGTGGGTTTACGAGGTACACGAAAGCGAGGCTATAGTACGATTTTCTCCCCCTTGTTTATTTTTCAAACCTAGTTTTTTCGTAACTCGCAACGGGCCTGTTATATGCTTTCGAATATAGATACAATTTCTCATATAATGCCACGACTAGCAGATTATCGAATTCCAACGATTTTTTGAACTTATGTGGGAAAAAATATGCTAAATTACCGCACCATTAATATTTGATTTGGAGCTATTAAGAAAATGTATTTTGCGGTCATGTTTTTGTTTCTTTAAAACTAGGCCAGCCCCTTTAGCCTCTACGACGGTGGATTTGAATAATCTTTGAAAACGCGTCTCGTGCTATTCCGATCATCGAAAAATCTCAAACCGTTTTTAAAATTTCTCCGTTTTCTTTTTAGCGCTGCCACTCTGCCTGTAACAATAAAATGCGTCCAAGACGTCAACAAAGTGGATCCAAGAGTGGCCCAATTTGTATTGCCGATTGGCGCGACCGTCAACATGGACGGGACAGCGCTATACGAGGCTGTTGCTTGCATTTATATAGCACAGCTTAATGGTTACAGCTTTGGAATTGGGAAAATACTGATAACAGTGTAAGTGAATTTTTTATAAAGTGCATTTTTTATAAAGTGATTTTATTTAGAGTGAAAATTTCCCTGACTTGCAAGTGAAAATTTCCCTGCATTTGAGTGTACATGCATACAACTGATTTAGCCCAAATTGCTTTTGACCCAGCCAGAGTTTGTAGACCACTATGCATTAGTTGGGTCATGATCATGCAATTGTGCTATTCGAAGACCTGGGCGACTATGACTTCTCGAATTCCCCTATATGGGGCAATACTATATATTATTTAAACAAACCTCCATCCAATTCTGTTATCAATATTTATTGCTGCTTACATAAACATGCTGTACCGCCTAGCTGCGTCACCAGCTGATCTGAGTGAGTACAAAAATAAACCAATCAGAAGCCAGATCCTCGCCATTATCACTCATTTCATATAACCTCGATCAATTGCATGTAAAATGTAAATTAGAATTTGTAATTTTTGCGCCCTTCATATCGTTTGTATGAAGAACGAGAGAAAATGAGATACGCTACAATTTATTATATACGTTATATAATGCACATGCATAAATTTATAAACTTATTTTTTTGACCAAACTTGTTAAGGGGTTAGTACGCCGTCATATTTATTACGTCGTAATGGATTTGGACTACATCCATGCATATCTTGATAAACATGTCCAAATTCTAACTACCAAGTTATTTTGAACACCCAACTTAATCGCAATCATTCCTCCTTCTCCCGATCCTTGGGACAAATGTTTGTTATATGAACGTTGGTGATAAATATATATTTCACTCCTGCTGTAATAGTAAAGATCGGACAAATATAGCATTGCTCAGCATGCATCCGCTTCTGTTTACCTCGTGTGTGGTTAGAGAAATTTCAGGGAATCTGCATGATTTGATTGCTGCCTGCAGGCTTATGTTGAAGTTATGAATTTGCCAGCTGTTCCTGTTTTTTTTTCAGGATTTAGTATTTAAAATAACCCACTGTTACCCGTTGGAACGAAATATACCGTTGACGAATGCTGATATTTATAGGATATTCTCACACGATGCGATGCTTTCCGTGTATAACTTAACCCTAGGCTATTTATAGATGTTAGGCTTTCAGCAGTGGTAATTGTTAAGGCTTTCTTCCCTAGAATTTGTTCAGTTGCCGCTTCAGTTGGAGCAGCTGCGATCCCTTCTGCTGGTTTGGTCACTTTGCTCATGGTGTTAGAAGCAGCTGGTCTGCCCACAAACGACGTTGGATTGCTTTATTCCATCGATTGGTTTCTGTAAGTATGAAAACAGATTATAATTTTTGAACTTGTTTAGCCAATAAAAATGTCTCTACAAGCCCTGTAAATTAATTTTCCTTTACAATACCAGCATGCATCTTGTTAAAAAAAATTGTGTTTTGACGCTTTGACACCGAAATTCTAACCTACAACTGGAAAAAATTTACGAAATTTTCATTTATTTTGGACTATAACTAAACTCAAGCCCCTTTAAGTTGGCTAAGCTTAGGTCGCTATTCTCTAGACGAGAGCAAAGTTCACTAGAAAGGTTAAGATAAAATCATCTTGCAATAAGTAATCCGAAAACGTCGACTTCTTCGACATCAGAATGGAGTTGATAATTAGACTAATCGGCATATACTACTTTTCTTGATTATTCCACACTGTGATTACTTCTCAACATTTCGGCGGATAAACTGCCCGTCTTCCCGGGCAAAAGCACCAAATGACGAAGCCCTGACAAATTAAACGGATGACTGTGAATGAAATTAATCAATCAACATGCAGCCTAAAATTATGAACATTGACAACGCACGCGTATTGAGTTTGGGCTGCCTATGACCAACGTTGAGTAAATCCTTGAGGTTTCGCTATAACGGTTATTAAAAAATTGTATTTGGAATCGAATTCATTTCCATATTTCAAGAAAACGGTATCTTGTTTTCAATAGGGACCGCTTCCGAACCGTGTGCAACATTACTGGAGATGGGGTCGGTGCGGCAGTTGTTGAAAAGTTTTCCCGTGATGATTTTGACGACGATTTTGACCGTAGCATGGAGCTACAAGATGGGGCTGCTGCAGAGACATTCATCGCCAAGGATGGCGTGACCTGTACAAATTTTGGTGCAAATGAGACAAAAATGTGATAAAACTCTTTTTCAGTTAGTACCATGCGTTGGTCCTGAATATATATTGAACTATAAAGTAGTCATGTAGGAAGAAATCTTGGACTGTAGTGTGAAATTAAAACAAGCGATTTGTACGAGACTTGATAGATTTTGTCGGTCAACTAGGAAGATGTGAAATTCAAAAATATAATTTAATAGAAACAATGATGTTGTGACGAGCAGATGGTACCGTGTAAACGCAGCTTAAGAGAAATAGAGTTATTTAATATCTGTTGTGTTATGTTCGAGATTTGTAGTACAACTTCAGCTGTGAAATTAGTGAAAATGTTGAAACATTCTAATAAATCTGAATTACCATTTTTTTCAAATTTTAATTTATGACCTGTGAAATCAGACTTGACCTCATTAAAAATACAAGGAAAACGCACCGTAACCATTAGCTTCACCTGGGGCGCATATAACTAGCCTATGGTCAAAAGAGCAAGAACAGATAGATGGGCGTGTCACGCTGTGGATGCGACTTCCAACGCCGAAGGCTTAGTGTGTATGACATTGCTCTATGCGGTGATTGCGGGATTATTATTCGTTCCCTGCGACTGCGCTGGGTTTCTTTATTCTTCTAAATTTGACTTTTTATGGTTTTCCAAAAGCGTTTAAATATTTATAATAACTGTAAAGTGTCCTTTTTCACTCACTGCATTTACTATAAGCTAAAACAGGTTGATTTAGTTAAGAAATGATGTGAATAAAGAACATTCTTGATTCTTGATTTAATGCAATAGTGCATGCACATAGTTATCAATTATTGGACGAGGTCGAGCAAAATATCGTGATTTGTCGGTGGCGAGCAGATCAATTATTTGCCGATGCCGAAGGCAGAGGCAAATAATTGATCTGCGAGCCACCGACAAATCACGATATTTTGCGAGAACCGAGTTCCATAATTGTTTTATCATTCACCACTCAATTTTCAATTCATTCACCACTCAATTTTCAATTTTGAGTTCGTTTTATCGGACAGTTCGGCAAAGCGAGTCGCCATTGTTTATAAAATTGACATTAATGCGCATGCTCAGAGTATTATTTGCAGCTGAGTATTATTTGCACGCAGTTAACTGCAGGTAAATTAACCAATCAAAATTGAGAATACTATAAAGTGAATGATAATGCAGAATAACCAGGTGCACACATCACAGAGTACAGACGTAGATAGTTAAAGATAGTACGCGCACATGTATGCAAGCAAATTTCTAATTAGCATAAAAGGATTAGAGCATCAGCACTTGGTGTTAAGCCTGTTACAGATGAGCCCAACGTCTGGCGTCAAGTATTTGGTCTCCAAATTCAGAAAAACTAGGATTACATGCATCGCTGGCTTAAATTGTCAAAGTAAATTGTCAAAATAGATTTGTTGGCACGTTCATACCTTTTCAAACCTTTTCAAATACCTTTTCAAAGTCATAATGAGAATATATTTGTCCCAGCATTCGAATCACCGACCTAAAAGTTACGAGACAATTGTCTTCACCACTAGACTAAGACTGATATAGGACAAGCAGTTGACTATAATTATTAAAACAGCTTATGGTTTATATCCATACCAGGTACGTACCTCCCGAGATTAATTACATAAAACAAACTTGACAAATTAAAGTAAATTGTCATTGCAATCCCAAAAAGTCTCCTTATGTCGTTAGAAATATTGAATTTTATAATAATCACTGAGATCTATGATTTTAATTGAAGAAAAAAAATGTTGAAAGTTGATGTAGTCAAGGAGTCTAGTATAATTATGTATGCTGATGGTGATATAAAGGTAATTAACTCAAAATTGTCAAATGATATGGAAAGTATCGCCGCTTGGATGGATGAAAATGAATTTATTATGAATTTAAAAGAAGGTAAAACTGAGATGCTCTTATTTGGAACAATGAAACGCCTATCCAAGTTAAATGAGCCAATTTCCGTGAACTACAAAAAATCCCCCCCATATAAGAATCGGTGTCAGCATAGACAATCCAGAAGACATCTGACAAATGTCTTCTGGATGGTCTATGGTGTCAGGGACCTTGTTGTTGAAACTAATTCGTCACTGAATCTCAAATCGAATTTTGATGCCACTGGTACTTTTAAACAGGCATCATCAAGACTACGATTGTTGGGCAAGATTAGACCTCAATTAAATCTCCCATCTGCCAAAGCAATATATCAAGAAATTACTCGTTTTTATTTTGACACCCTCTGTATGATCAAGTTATCTAAAATCGCCACACATCAAGGTCTGGTTGTATCAAACCGGTTTGGAATTGTACTTTTACTCCAAAATACACTTTTTAAAACGTCTTTCCACGTTTACGTTTAACATCATTATCATCCAGTGTTATTAGAGTTCATCGGTTGCCAATGGTAATGACGTGACGTCATAGCCGTAAATGTCCGTAATACATTCGAGGTAATTCGGAGTGGATCTTTCTCTTTATAAATAAAATTTCGCTTGAACTTGCCTTTGTAGAATTATTTTATAGATTTTTGTCGTATTTTACGCTTTTATTGAAAGCCATCTACATCTTAAAATAAAAAGGCACTGTTTGCTGGTATTTTTAGTCGGCGAAACAACAGGAAAAGATCGAGAAAAGCTCTACAATGGCTGAAAGTGGACGATACACAAGGGTACGTCATTGATTTTTATATGAAATTTTGATCTCGTAAACACAGAAGAAAAGATACAAGCCCAATATATATTAAATTAAAACATTTAAAGTGTACGGCACAGACCAATAATAAGTACGTCGGAACTTTATTCTTAGTTGAACTATTTGAAATATATCTTTTTAAAACTGCCGTTCAGGTGGCCGAGTTATAAATTGAGATACATGGGCAAAGTGTGTATTTTATACCCTTGATATGCGAGAGGTGTACCGTTCTGCTTCAGTTATCCTATGCAGCAATCTCTCACTAACAATTCCCTGTTGTGTATTTTGTTGCTTTATACACTTTCACAGATGTTTTTGGTTTCAGTATCTACTGTACATAACTATCTTAGTCTATCTACAGTATCTACATAACTATCCTATTTTGTTGGGGAAATATTAAATCTTATTTTAATACATGATCCTTGTACAAAAAAATTAGACAGCAGCAAGTGCATGGTAATTAAAATGTAGAATAAGTGTTGACACTGGCAATCTAGTGGCAAAATCTTCTGTCTCAAATTAAACTCATGAAATGTAATTTTTGCTGCAATAGTACTTTTGAATTATAATTTTTGCTCATGAGTATATTAAATTAGGCTAAATTACCCCTAGCAAAAAGGAGTTTGCTTCCATATTAGCAAGCTGTGTTTTAAAATACCAGTCAAAGTTAAAGTCTTAAAAGCTAAGATTTGAAAAAGAAAAAAGACAAATATACTTCTTGCAAACCATGTGTTTGACATACAACACTTTGGCCTGCAATTGCTTGCAACAAATTGAATTTATGGTATAGTGCTGTAAGAATGTGTGTTAATCATAGTCTCATAAGCTAAGGAAACTTAGGAATAGTTTAGTTGTTTTAGAGATACACATTAGCATCTCTATGTGCTGATGCTGCAAACAAGTCATATTGTGAACTAACATTGGTGACTAGAGCAACAGTTTTTCATTTAACATACTGTTGTAAAATTTTGAGCAAAGAAAAAATATGAAACACACATTCTATAAAAAATGTTGTTCAATGTTTACATCACAACATGCATTACATCAAAGACCGACTACATGCAAGGATAAGTTCCAAAATGTACATCATGGTGGTAATGCCTCTAAATGGTGAGTCGAGTGAAATGGCTGGAGCAACTTTTGGGAGCTTCGTCACGCTTCATCACTGATGAACTGGTGGAAAATATTAACAATTATTTCATTAGTTTGTCCGCAGAATATCAAGCTCTGAACACCATTATGTAATCCTTTGGACGAAATTCCAACAGATGTTCATCAATGAATATAAAATGTTGCATGCTAGTAGAGTAGTTCGCTTTTGCTTTAGAATTATCTCCGTTATTGGCAGAAATGTACAATAGCACTTTGAAGGAAGGAACAATCCCAGAGCTTCTTCATCAAGTCACCGATTTTCTCTCCGATACTGAAAACTATTCTACTTAAGAACGTAGAAAAAGATCTCCGTCCCATATCGTGAACCCCACAAATCCCAAAAGTAATGGAGGGCTTTATTTTGGAACCCCTATTAGATGACATCAGTGACAAGAAAAACCATGTCAATTTGCAATGAAAGGTGAACAACACATCCATTGGTTCTTGTACTACGTTGGTCCTTGTACTACATTGATTGTGCTCAGTACGTACCTTTTTGGTAATTTGAGGGAAGGTTTTGATTTGGTCAATCATAGCATCTTAATTCACGAGTTGATAAAACTGGTACGTCCTCTCTCATTAAGCTGGATACGTGCTTTCCATACTGGAAGGAAGCATTGTGTCCGTGTTCATGGTTATATTCTTGTTTCAAAAATGTGAATGGCGGTATACCACAAGGCACTAAATTGGGACCGATACTGTTTGCGGTTTTGGCAAATCGAATAGTTTTGGACTGGAACTTGAAAGTGAAGTTTGTTGATGACTTGGCGACCATCTAAATAATTCCGAGGTGCTCATTTAGTTTAACACCGTTTTGGTTAACGACGTCCAACTATATGCTAGAACTAAGGGTATGCGGTTGAGCCTAAAACAATGTAAAGCAATGTTATAGTTGATAGGTATTCTTCAGACTACCATACAAAGATGTAGCTATTCAGTAATGGTTGGCGTACAACAGATTGAGCGAGTAACGTCACATAAACTTAGGTGTTAACGTTAGTTGTGATCTTGCTGTTATGGAACACACATATTGTTTTCATACTAAATTCTGTAGCATGTAAATACTAGTTGGTAAGTAGTCATATCGATTATAATGTATTGTAAGTATGCCTATTAACGAGATTCTTAAATACTTTTTTCAATAAAGCTTTATTATTTTTATTATTATTATTATTTGTTTAATAGGGTGTTAGAATTTCTGCTATCATCTTAGATTGAACGATAGACTGTAAAGATAAGGCAAATCTCCAAAACAATGAAATGTCCAGAAAAGCAAGATGTAGTAATTCCAATTTACATGTGTAACTCTTTTCAAAAGTTGCCAGCTACTGGGCGTATAATTTTTGACCATGATCTCAATGAAAATGATTTTCTGAGAGGATTCCGGTCTTTTCATAGAAAATTGTATGGAATTTATATACTTGTAATACCTAACTAATATAAATATGAGAAGCTTGTATAGACACTTAAGGGTGACGTTTGAGTTAATTTGTCTCCAATTTCGTTAGTTGACCGACTCAGAAAATGCTACAGAGTCAGAGCGTGAACCGATGCTCAACGACAATGACACAACGCCACCTGTTCCCACCCCGTCGTCCGCACCTCTGCCAACTTCTCCACCTCCCTCTTACTCGTCAAGTACAACGGAACAAGAATCGCCTTCAGGTAATGACCATATAACAAACCTTATTCACGATCTGATATACATACGATCAGAACTATGGGATTTGCAACTTATCTTTATATCTTAAAAAATTATGCTGGATGATTATTGTCGTATATAGGTATAAACAGTGTGGATGAAATGCCTCCTGCATACGACATTGCTGCAAAACTGCCAACATATGAAGAAGCTGAAATGACTAAACACTCCGATTCGAGAGTTAGTATTCCCTTTTGTTTTGTTTCGGCCTTTAATTCAGATCCCTAACAAAAATGGAGCCTTAATACTCTTTAACCTTAACTAGCTCGCAGCGAGTGTTTGCATCTAATTAAAATAAACTGTCAAGTATTGTGATTGGACGAAATTACACACATCGAGCTTGCGAGTTTTTCCGATGAGTGTGTGAAAGCCTTTAGGATTGGTCGAGTGCAAAATTATACATGTATCAGGTGAACTGTATACATGTATTACATGATACATATACGCTTTTGTGCCAAAGAAACAATGATGTGAAGACAATAGTATTATGGTTATTTCCTCCAATCAGTACTAATCGTTATGTTATTTTTTTTCATTATGCGAAGTTCGAACCCGGTGGAGTAAGAGACCCGGACGAATGTCGTAAGTTGAATAGTTGTATTTTTCTTTTTTTATTGTACTTTTATTATTATTATTTTATTGTTATTTTACTGAGATAAAATTCGTCAACCTGCGCATATTTGATTACGTCTGCGCTTGCTGCCCAGGAAGCAAGCAATGCAGTAAAGTATGTTTACAAATTCAATAGCGAAGGTATAAGTGTTGGAAACTCATTTCTGATAGCAATGTTTAAACGTTGAAGTCTTTCAGGTGTCTTGAAGCCGCCTATTCGCCTCGCTCGCTAAACACGATTTAGTTTCACGTTTAGACGGGCTTTACAGCCCTTACTACCGAACAACTTTTCAGTATATATAGTTTTCAGTAGTTTCAATAGTTGGTTATTTGTGATTATCGAACTATTCTTAGCTTCAGGTTCTTGAACGACCGCTTATTAAAGATCTGACAAGAACGGTTGACTATACTGAGACTTATTTTGCTTTTTTAGGAGCTCAACTTGGCACGGATAGTCTTTTTGCACTATGTTTTCTTGGTAACGTATACAATCTGACATCTTGCTTAATTATATAGGTCTCTATGTATTCGAGTTTAAACATTTTCTAAAAGAAAGTTTTAAACTAGCGTTTTTTGTTTGGTAACCATCTAGTTGGCTTTTCCCCAAAGGGAGCCTATAGTGCGTTATTTATATGGAAAGAAAAAAAAATGGACAAGGGTCTGATTTGAACGATTAAAAGTATCACCGGAATCAACGTTTGGGGCGAATAAACTCTGACAGCAATCTCCACGCGTTCGATTGAAGTTATTCTCTCATTTCAGTTTCCCTCATTTTCAATTGGATTGGTTTCATTTTTGCCTACTGCGTCACGGACACTGTCGCTGGTCGATACGGTGCTCTGTCAGGATTTGGTCTATCGCTCATAAAATGGGTGTTCATCCTGAAGGTTAGATTTCGTGTTCCTGTGTACACAATAATGAATCGTGGAGCCTAATATATGGCCATTTATTCATTTTTATTTATTTCACTTCGCCAGTAACATGCATTCATGGCAGGGTCACCACAACAGTGGGACACCAATTACTGTCGGCCATAGAATATACTTTATATTCCATATATCCATATAATTTCAAGGAGCAAACTAGAAATACATTCATGCAATATGCTAATACCAATAGACCTTTCTTATAATGACGTCAAACGCGGAAAGTCCGATGTTACACGAAATTTGATTGGCTCCACAAAACTATCGAGCCAATCAAACTTCGTGTAACATCATACTTTCCTCGTTTTACGTCATTTTGAAAAAGGTCCATTGGTTTGAACTGGGAGCAAATGGAGCGTTTGCTAAATGAATGCAATATTATTCAATCGATCTTCGTAACCATGCATACCCTGGCAATTCTATCGTGTATTAAAATAGGGATGGACCCGTGCGGTTTTATGGGGTGAGGGGAAGATTGTCCACGAGATGTGGTACAAGCACCAACTCTCAGGGCCGTATATATTATTTACGTTGCCAGAGTCTAAGAAATATAAGTCTCTAAATTACCCATTATGGTCTGGTGCTAATTCTCGTAGATAATTTCCTGCACCCCCTCTGGCCTAGTCTGGCGTCACTTTCCCAGTAAATTAATCTCTGAAAAAATTGCTATTAAAGATATCTTTATATGTCATATTCAGCATAGCAAATGTTGTAAAGATCTGGCTTTCGAGGATGCATGGTTGTGGTGGCTGATCGCTCTTCTGGGTAAGATGAAGAAATATTGCTTGCGGGCTACTACTGGGGCCGGTTGTTCGAAAGGCGTTTAGCGTAAATGGTGGAAAAGCCAAAATTTACTACTGTACTTGAAAGTAAAGCTATTTACATCGAAATATTTCAGCTCATTTGTCACATAAACAGATTTTGTTTTGATTTTGTTTTCCATTTTGAACTTATCCACCGTTACGCTGAACACCTTTCGAACAACCGGCCTCTGTATACCAGACATGAAATGAAACTACCCACATACATAGTTCTGTAAAATCCGGATACCAAGGAGTAGGGTATATGCAGTTTGACTATATTTGAGAGATATCACACCACCAGTCAACAGTGGCATTCATTTGCATGAATAATTTTACTTATTTCTCTACATTGTGAAATATTAACTTGAAACTAGTTATCGTAGAGTATGAGTACAATGCTGAGTTACAATGTTTACATCTTTCAAAATAAAAATTCAAAGAAAGAATTCTTTGCTATCGTATTTTTTTTTGTTGTGTACAGAACTTTTTTTCATTGAAATGTTTTTTCTTAGGTTGGTTGGTCTTCATCCGTGGAATACTTGTTTATGCCCAGGTGAAGAAGAATGTACGAGCTGGACACGCGATCTACATACCTCGTTATTGGGGATTAACCAGAGGGGAGTGAAAAAAGAACAGCAATTTAGTATTTCCGTTGACTGCCATTTCGCCTTGTCATAGGAATTACGAAAACCAGCACAGCAGTACGTGTGTACTGCCATTTACTATTGTATATACAATTTAGATCATATGATATCAACTGCCTACTAGCCTAATTGTAATATTGTAGTCGAAATTAAATAAATGAAAATAGGGTGTTGCCGGGTGTAAGATCTGACTTTAGTTATACTGAAAGTTATAAAGTAAAGTTGTCAGAATAAATTTATAGCTGTAACGAAAAAAGCTGTGAGATTGACTGTGGCGGCGAAACGTAGTTCGTTTTTCGGGCGTTACTTGTGGTAAACTGGTAACGAGTCGTACCTGAGCCATCGATACTTCAAGTCAGTGGATTGAGATTAGTATCCAGGTATTTTTTTGTTAAATCGCCACGCGGTCATGTTGACGTGGTCGAATGGTTGTTCTATTTGCATGTAAACACAGGAGTTACTTAATTTTATAACCAATCTTTGCATGGAAAACGTAAGTATTCCCGTTAATGATGTAGGGGATGGGAGCAGTGAAGGGGAGGAGGATTTTGAAAGTGCTGATGAGGGCGAAGGCAAAGAAAAAGCAGGCACAAAATGCGAATATGTCTCTGGCAATGACAGTATAGTGGTAACAAATAGTGGCGAAACAGAGAAAATTATGACGGACACTATATCAGAAGGAATCCAGTACACGAGAGGAAATGGAGCACATTCTGGAAAAACGGTTGATGATGAAACAGGCAGCCTTAAAGGCACTGAGAAGAGATCGGAGTCAATGCTTGACGAACAATCCTTAGAAAGCAATATTGGTACTAGTGGACACAAAAAGGATATTTCTGAGGGTCGAGACACACGAGAAAATAAAGAAACAATCAATACTGCTACAAAGGTTGATGAAGGAAAACCTGGGTAAGGGACTGCTGGATAAGGAATTGATACATATTTTGATAAAGTGGTCAGGCCAGTAGGTCAGGCTGAAACTTGGATCCTGGGTACAAAGGTCAGATCACACTTAACTGTGGTCAGATCAAATGTTAATAAAGGCTCATGTTAGTTAGGAGGTCAACAAAATTTCTAGGTTTGGCTTTCTAAGAAGGCAAAATAAGCTCTCCCTTGCAATTGCATGCTAAAAATAAAATTTTGATGCACAATTGCAAGTTTCCCACTTTCACTCCCAGGCCTCTCATTGATCTTCAATTTTTTTTGGAAACCAATTTTAAAATTAATAGATTTTTCTTCAATTACAACCTTCAATTAACCTTGTATGTAAGAAAAAAAAGCCAAAAAATTGGTTTGTTTGCTAAAATGTGTCAATAAGAAGAATCTTAAAATTCCTGAGCAGCTTGTGGCTAAAGTTAGTGATTTATATGATTAAGAAAAATATGAGACATGCAGGATGAAAATGTATATGAAAAAACTGTATATGTGCTATTTAGAATTGCTCTAAATCTCATCCAAATAATATAAAAATTAGATATTTGGCAAATTAGAAATAAAAATTTTTGCTGTGCCATTTGTTTGCTGAAACTATGAAATATCTAGTCAATGTAGTAAGGCAACTACAATGTTCTACACACAAGTGAACCAGTTAGCCTTTTATTTAAAACCTTTGTACAAATATTATTTTCTAGACAAAATGAAAATGGTCAAAAGAGCACCCAACAAAACAAATCGAGTAGTGTTAGTGCTCAACAAAATGAATCAAGTAGTTCTTCTGTCAGTGGTGGTTGGGTATGGGGATCATGGAGCACAGTTTTGAATCAAGCCACAAGTACAATGACGTCTGGTTTGTCCCAAGTCATTGAAAAAGTGGAAACAACACTTGGTATACCTGAGCCAGGTGAACTAGAAGATGAAGCCTATCCTAAAGACGAAAAGAAAGACGTCATTACAATGGAGCCGACACCTGCTGAGATTGATCGGAATATTGATGAAAGCAACAGTAATGCAGGTAAGCCATGAATGTCAGTTGTAGACCATGTGGAAATTAAACATGTTCAACCTTATGTTTAGACTATATTCTCTTTTTTATCATGTATTTTAATATCCAGCAAAAGCATTTGCGAGTTCCTCAATTATAGTGATTTTTATGTGAACTCTATCATCTTTGAAAGGCTCCTAAACTAATGTATATTATGTACAGGTGGACATGAATAATTGCCTTAATTTTTTTTTTTCAAATTCCATTAAATTTTTCATGAAATAGTTTCTTTTAAATTCATCCAAATACGTTGGATAAATCCCCCATAGGCATAGGAAATTATAATTACTTTAAATTTCGTATTTGAAAAACAACAAGAAGCTATAGTCATCAATCAGTGTCAGTGACTATCACTTCAGAGACAATCAAATCAATAGTCACCCCGAAATTTATACTAAATAATATTAATAGAGAGCTACGCCGGTACGATATATTTAAAGGGTAAACAAAATGTTGCCCCTATTATTTTTCAACCACGTTCTTGCTTATAAATAGTTCTACCTTTTAAATACGTGAAAAGAACATTGAAATTCGTTTTTATATGAAAGTGGGTTTGTCAACGCAAACATCGATTTGTCTCAATAAATTTTAATATACCCGTATCATACTTTTATTTGATTGAAAGTGATCTAGAAATATTTTTTATTAAAGACCTTGGTCACCGACTTTTCAAAATAAGAGTCGGTGGACCAAAAACATTTTCAGAAAGTGTATAATCTAAGCTATTACAATTTAAAATTTTAACATATTTTGGATTTCAATACTTCTTACACATGAAAACCCCTTCTTGTCTTCTAATGAAATTTAGAACAATTACATATTCACCGCGTCGGCAAAAGATTCCAGATTGGGCTGGCGCCAACTGGAATGGCTTCCAAAAAATGTATCAAAATGCGCGGACAGTAGTCACAGTGCAACCGAAATCTTCATTTATGCCGTTTAATTTTAGTTATTTTCCTGATCATTCCCACCGAGTTTGTTCAATCTGATTCCGTCACAGTTTCTAATTTATTCCCGTTATATAGCTAGCTACTGCGAAAAAGTTTAATTGCGCATGCACCTCAAGGCTCGATGAGATAAATCTATGGGATGTTACATCCTTTGCATATTACAAAGCTGTAATATAGAAGGAAGTTACATTTAGAATAAATGCATAATAAGCCTGCAGATTAATCAGAACTAAGAAAAAACAGAATGAACGTGTTGACTAAAAATTATAGTTATTGTAATTCTGAACAGAGTTACAAAAATTTTTGTCTTCACGAACGGTTTGAAAGATTTCAAACAACGGCGACTGCCGGCGATGGATGGTATATTTTAGAGCATTACTAGCCGAATTTTAGAGCATTAATGAACGAGTCTTCTGAGAACCAGACGCCTCAGAAATTAGGTAAAAACACCCCTTAGCTTGAAAGTTCGCGAACACGTACTGTACACAAGTACAATTATATTGAAATCCGTCTGAGGACCGTTGCTTAAAGGGAGCATCTGCACAATTCTACATGCAGTCGCAGATGTTAAATATTGTGTCGTTAAATTGAATGAAACTGATAAACTCTGTCAAACGTGGGTGAATATTGACATTTTTCTCGTTACCTCGAAAATAGTTTTATGTTTAAACATATAAAGAAATCTCTCCCAATCCGTTCATCCTCAAACCAATCCCTCCTTGAAATACCATACCTGTACCATATGGTACTTAATTCTCAACCGAAAACCTTTTTTAAGAACTGGAAAATTTCAATATATTATACCGAATATTTTCCGACTGTGAAATCGTAAAACGTACGCTATAAAATAATTATAATAATAATAATTCCCGCTTCCTGCTCCACTCATCAATCTCCACCTCTGTAGCGGTAGTTGTGAAAGACAGTAGAAATTACTATTTACTGCTCTAGCGGTAAATACGAGGAGGTCGCTGGCCAAACGATGGTAGTACTGTACTGTATCTACTGGTAAATGCAGGAATAGCATGATAAATTTAATCTTCACGTGGCCAAAACGGCGCATTTATTTTGGACAATTTAAATTTAATGTATAATATTGACTGATATTTTTTCACACAAACTGCTTTAATACGACAGATACCGATAGCAAAGGCTCGGACTCCTTCTTCTCATCTTGGGGATTAACGTCTCTGTCCAGTGCAGTAACAAGCAAAGGAATTGAACTGGTAACAGAAGGCATAGATGCGTTGGAGACAATTGGAAAAAAAACGATGGATGTTATTTCTGAAGGTGACCCAGGTTTTCGTGTTAAAAGAGACATGTTTAAGAAACCATCGTTATCTCAGGTTTGTATGAAGGAGTTTTGTACATATGTATAGTGGTGCAAATCAAGGGGAAAATCCTGAGTGTGACTTATAATTATGTAAATTGTAGTCCTTCATTTCTCTCATATTTTCATTTTGCAGATTTTGCGTGAAGCCAAAGAAGAAAGCGCTAAACAAGCTGCGGAAAAAAAGACACAAGAGGTTTTGGAGAAAGTGAATTTTAATGATGAATTTGATCGATTTCAAGGTCTCGCACATCTTGAGGCATTAGAAATTCTTTCTCGGGAATGTGAAGCCAAGGTATTGACTTGAAATAGCAATATTTTAGAGCAGCTTGTCTCTGCATTGTAGCAAATGTATAGTAGATTCACGATGTCTTTGATATGTTTGTCCCAAGGGAACCCTAAGTGAACTGCGATTCACCTAAGCTGCCAACCGCACTGCAATTCATTAACAAAGAAGAGCTCAGTATATATACATGCGACAAATAACCTTGATTGTATCTTTTCATGTAGATTGAGTCGGCCCTTATTGATATATTTGAGGACGACCTTGGGCAAGCAAAAACTAAACTCCGGGCAATTGAAGATGCGTTTGGTAAAACTACCCCGAACGAGGAAGATCGCGAGGAAAGCGTGAACACAGAGTTTGCTGTCGAAATCGGCAAGTGTGCAATGGCCCTGAATCTAGCCTTTGTGCCGAACAAATTAAACCAGACTGAAGAGTCAATCAGTGAATGGCTGAAGCAGTGCGCGAAAGACCAAGAAACGTCGGCAAATTGCCGTCGACCTGACGACATATTCTCTCACGTAATCACCAGTCTTGCTGACATCACAGCGAAATCGGTCGAAGTGTTTCGAAAGGTTGCCGAAATGATCCTGCTGGTGGACGATAAAGACAACACAGTGACTGCTGAAGATCGGGCGACCCGTTTGTGCTCAATGACGAGAGTCGTAACGAATCGCATATCGAGTTTGTCAACCAGTTACGCCCAGTGTTTGAATACGGCTGTGAATGAGACTGAGGACGATGATAATATAACACCACTAATTACTGAAGTTTATCTTGAATGTTCAAACAGTTCATCGCACGTTCAAGACGCCTATAAACTACTTCTACCCGTTTTACAGGTTTCGGCTTTGAATAGTATGAAGACAAAATGAGAGATATATAATATGTATATGGAGCAGAACGTATTCTATATATTGCTGCGTAGAAGTTTTATAACTTTATATACAGAGATAACTTTTGTAATAATGCGGGAATGATATATATTAACCCTATATATGTTTCCTTTTTTTTGCGCTCTCATATTAGGCCTTTTTGAATCCGCTATTTTTGCAAAAGAATTCGATTCTTGCAAAATGCGTAATTTTTGGATTTTACGTGACCTCGTCGAGTCCTGTGGTGATCAACTCGAAACTAAGACTCGACGGTTAAAACGATTTATGTGTAATCGTGGCTCACACTCCTGTGCTGCGTAATCATCGAAACATTTTAGGTGAACCATCAGTTAAATCACTTATTAAAACTAACTAATTTATAGAAAGCCATTAAGAAGGCCATATTGTTTTAAACTGGTCTTTCTGCATATAATATATAACACTACTACGAAGCCTAAAAATAATATAATTTCTGTTGGACCGGAACATTTTTGAAAGAAACTAGTCAACTTGTGATTGTAAAATTTGCATATCAACCAACCCCAATTGCTGCGGAGATGGAGCAGCCCGAGTCGGGAAACACCCGTAAATGCTGTTTACATTAGCCCGGTTGCCCGAGAGTAAATTAAGCGTGAAATGACTCTGAGGTATGAAAAGAAGTAAATAACATGATCCTGACAGTGGTGTAGTCATTCCGACAACACTACGTGCTTCTGTTGTTTAACTAAACGTATTGTAATATCTCTTAAACGCAAGTTCTCTGGGAAAGGTATTACAAAGCAAAAAGTCCGATTTATTTCAACAACCAAGGCGTTTACACTGTTTACAATCATGTAAATTACTCACAACGTGCAACTTGTGGTATGCTGCTTGCTCGATTTTTTACTTTGATGCAAGAAGATACTGACGTGCTTTTAATTTGAAGGATTTAAGGTAAATTCCTAGGTTTGGCTCTGGGCGCCTGCCTTGTACACCAAACTATTAACGGTGCTCAGCCTCTGTATGATAATATAAAGCAAACATATACTAGAATTACAAATTGTGAGTGAAATGCAGCGAGTGCATACGCGTAGTACCTTTATCTTCCCCCAGTCATTTCTTGGATAGTCTTCAGGATAGTAATGGCAATATTGCGTGTCAAAAAACTTAAACTTGTTTATATTATGATAAAGGTATACAATATTTTATCGCGGTTTTGCTGATGAGAATTTGCCCGAAAAGGGCCTGCGGAGGAGGTAGATTCTCTTCCGAGTTGAGATCGCACATAAGTTACGTAAGTGCGAGTATGAAGTATCACGCATTTGAATAGGATGAAACCGCTGTTCTATGCTACGTGTGTTCAAAAAATCCTGAAAAACCAAAATCGCTGAAATCGAGATACACGTCAAGAATATAGGGATGCTCGCAGAGACAAGTTAATATAGACAAATTTTATTAAATTTTACGTTTGCATTTTCATATGCCAATCTGTAACCAAACGGTAGAAACGAAATTCGGTAACTTCTTTAGTTTTTTCAAATGACATATTTTTTGAAGTTAAAGCGATCGTGCTTCATTTTACATATAGCAAATAAAATAGACACCCATCTTTTTAAAACATGCACCTGTAAGCTTGCAGGTTATGAATCGTTTTTGTCCTGTATCCATGTTACCTTGATAGATATCTCAGCTTTCATTTTAAAATATCGAATGGGTATCTTATCAGACCCCTAAGATTTACATAAAAGTCAAAACCGAAGATCTCCGGAAATCAGAAAGTCCGGCACAAGTTCATAAACTTTACTCATTTCATGACGTTTCAAAACCATTAAAACCAGAATACTGAACATAACTAACACTGCGAATAGTATATTTAATATTTCGGTAATTATGGCAAATGCATTGTGCTTCTCGTATAGTCAAAATCTGTCATATATAAAATTGTATAGCTTACAAATTAAATTAAATTGCAATACTATAAGAACTTGTCCTCAATCATATTTAATGATGGAACAAACAATTTTTCGGAAACAAAAAATAAATCGGATGAAATCATCGATCCTATTTATTTTTATTTGGCTTCAATGAACCGAAAGCCATACCTATATTCAACGTGTTGTAGAAAATCTGACTTGAGTGTATACTTCACAATTCAAACCGCTTGTACTTTCATTGGATGCCTAAATTCAACGGTAAAAATAAATACGCTGAATCTCGATCATTCTAAGCGAGATTATACATGCAGTTATTCACTGTATATAGTTTCTTGTTTAAGAGAGGTGTCACGGACATTTACTAAGGAAAACGTGCGTGAGTATTGCCTTCTGAAGCCAATATCGGCTGGTTCCAAGAGGTATGAATAAATCGGAAGACATAGCACATCCTATCACGTCACCGAAATGTGCGTTTATAGTTCCGGTTTTACTTTCTATTGTGAGTCTGAAAAGTTCTTGTATAAAGGCAGGCACAGAAGTGAAGAGTTAATTGCGTGTTCAGAATGGCTGCTATTAACGTTATCTTATTTGTTGCATATGTGACTGTGTTTTATCAAGGAACTGAAGGTTTCTGCAGGGCAAACTACGAGTGCCCCGGTGAAAAATTGTGCTGTAAGAAAGGCCGTTTTTATTCAGAATGTCGCTTTAGATGTCTGTCGTCTTTGGGAACATTTTGTACTAAAGATTCTGACTGCGATTATGGTTTCTGTTGCAACAACGTTTGTCGGAAGACTTGTATCGGCCTGTCTTGTTCCATCAAATCTCAGTGTGGTCTGAACGACTATTGCTGCAACTACGTGTGTCGTCACAATTGTAGCGATCACGCTTGTTCTTTTGACTCTAACTGCGGTGGGAAATTGTATTGTTGTGGGGATAAAAAATGCCATGATGCTTGTATCGGTCATCGTTGCATCCTTGATTCAGACTGTGGTGATGAGAGTGAATACTGCTGCAATGACAGGTGTCAAAAAGGAAGATGCGGTTTGAGTAGCTGGACTATCATCATGATCGTATTTGGTGTTGTTTTTGCCATCGGAATTCCAGCCTGTATTGTCTTGTGCAATTATCTTCGTCGACGTCAATTGCAAGGCTCTATAGTTGCCGCATCACCAGTTCAAGTTGGGATTACCAGCATGGGACATATTTCAAATAGTAATCCTCTCATGCTTCATCTTACTCCACCCCAAAGTACTTTCTCAAAGTGAGAACCCACCACGTTGAATTTAAATCCTATACAAATGCTATATGTTTTGTAATTATACAGATTATAGAGTTTTACCATGTAACTAGCTGTTATAAATTAGCATCGGTTTATCATTTTTATGCATAATTATATTGCACAAATATCCATGTTCCTTGTCTCATTGACAAACATTGATCAGACAAAGATAGCCACTGTCTCAGACGATATGCATGGGAGACCAAATCTTAATGTTTTCAACTGTGGTAACACATTATGGCCTCGGCTCCCCTCTGATACTGATGCTTCATTCATTGTGTGCATGCGGTATTCTTTAAAATAGGCCCTGGGCATGACAGACCCTTAAAATGTTCATTGAAGTCAAGGCAGAAGCTCACAAGGAATCAGTTCTGTCAACGTATTCACAAGTTACTCATTTTATGACGTTTCAAAAATACTAAAACTAGCCCACTGAATATACCTATAAGTCAAAATCGTACATGAAATCTTGCCCGCAAATAAAACTATATTGCAAAATTATAATAACATGTGCGCCAATCATATTTGATAATGGTAAAAAAAATTTTTTCAAAAATACTGAAATCGGATGAAATCGTTGTTCCTATTTCTTTGTGTTTGGTTCCAATGAACCGAGAGCCATGCCTTTTCAACTTGTTCTAGAAAATCTGGCTTGAGTGCATACTTGAATTCAAACCGCATGCACTATCCTTGCATTCTGCATTAGTTAGATTGGGGGGCGTGGTTCTCCTGGTTGACTTGCATAGTTCCTCGCCTTAATGCATAGTCCCTCGTTTAAGAAAGGACTCAATATATACAATCTGTCAGGAAAAAATCGTATTGTATGAAAGTATTCTAAAGTCGATATCTATAGTTGCAAGAGGTATGTTAAATTCGGGCGATATAGCTCCATCCTATTACGTCATGACAAGAGAGTGCTACCTATCGTGATGTGCGTATATATAGTTCCTGTTTTACAACTGAAGCTTCTACTGTTAGAATAATAAAAGTCCTTTTATAGAGAAAAAGCTTGAAGGGAGAGTTTATTACGTATTCAGTTGGCTAAGAATGGACGCTATTAACTTTATCTTATTTGTTGCATTTGTCACCTTGTTTCACCAAGGAACAGAAGGTTTATACTGCAGCACAAGCTATGATTGCGGTCCAAACGACCATTGCTGCAATAACGCGTGTCTTCACAACTGTCGCGGTCACTCTTGTTTTCTGGACGCTGACTGTGGGGGGGGGGGATTGTTCTGTTGTGGAAATGAAAATTGCCATGATGATTGTATTGGCCATCGTTGTACCTTTAATTTACACTGTGGTGACGTGGATGAATACTGTTGCAATGGAAAGTGTCAAAAAGGAAGATGCGGTTTGAGTAGGTGGACTATCATCGTGATCGTATTTAGTGTTGTTTTTGCCATCGGAACTCCAGCCTGTGTTGTCTTGTGCAATTATCTTCGTGATTGGTGTTCTTTTTGTTATTGGAACTCCAACCGGTGTTGTCTTGTACAATTGTCGTCGTCGCCAATAACAGTTCAAGCTACGATTACAACAATGAAAGACAGTTCAAATAAAAACTCCTCTCAGCTTCATTTTATTCCACCCCAAAGTACCTAGTGATAGCTCACCACGTAGAGAATTTAAATGCTAATATATACAGCTAGTAAATTTAGCTTCGGAATTTAGTTGTATATACCTGATGTGGTATGCCTCAAAGGTAGTAAGCAAACATTCAATATGTAAAATTGTCGAGGGGATATATATGATTATACTCAATATATGTATAATATATAATGTATAACAGGCCCTGTGCGCCTCATTGGCGCAATAGGCCTAGATGATGGTGATGATATAATATATATAAGATAATGTAATATATATATATGCATTTATCATACATGTTCGTAGATATATATGGACAGATTTGTGTTCAAGTTTAAGTTGCCAAACCCACCGGATATCATTGCTTTAACAACAGTCGTTCATTATTCTAATTATTCGAATAGTTTTTATTCCCCTTTCACTCCCAGGATGAGCATATTTCTAGAAAGGAACTATAAAGAATTTTCATAAAAGTTTAGTTAAAGGTTATACCTTTGTGATGCGATAGAATTCTAATAGGCTTACTTATTTTATGACGTTTCAAAAATACTGAAACCAGAATATTGCATCCTAAAAATGGTACTTGATGGTAATGAATCTGCCATCAGCTTAAAATATGAATGGAATCTTACCTGCAAATTCAATTATATTACAAAACTGTATATAAGAACTTGTGCTCAAATCATGTTTAATCATAGAACAATATTAGTCTAAGTATGTAGTTCCTTGTTTAAAGTAGAATCCAATATACATTCAGTAAGGAAGAATAACCGATGTATTATATGAAAGACTTTCGAAGCCAATATCAGCTTGTTCCAAGAGGTATATGTAAAATCGGACGATACAGAACATCCTATTACGTCAATATTATAGTGTGCTATTTGGGAAACTTTTCAAAATATTTTGCCTTGAAACCTTCACCGCAAAAGCCGTGATAGTCAATGGACTAGTAACTGTGTGTCAAATCAAGAATATAGACTACATATCGTTGAATAATTTTTTGGCGAAGAACTTCTGCCCAAAATAAAATACGTTTCGCAGCTTAATGCAATAGACCAATTGCGAAATTTAGTAACCGCGCCTTTGCGCAGCATGGGAACGAGGCTTATTCATATAGAGCTCACTGGGCTTATTATGCAAAGGCGCGGGTACCAAGTTCTGCAAATGTCTCTTAAGCTAAGAAACATTCCTTTGTTGAATGGTCACATTTTTTCAAGTTTATCACTTGTTTAGTTCGCCATTAACTTGCATACAGTCTGCGTGTGCCATCTTTCTTCGCTATGCTATAATGAAACCTAATTACTATTTTTACACGTTTGGTGTGAAAGTCATTTCCTGGGCGTATCAATAGGTGCTATTCTAGAACCGGGTATGAACAAATTTGAACATTTTTTTTAGTTTTCCTGATCGAATCACCCCTCCCCCCACATGTACAATTTTAGATTTGCAACAGTGGGAATGTTTGGTGTCAAGTTACAACAACCAAACAACAAAGTCAACAGAGATATATTGGGTTGATTAAAATACGGTGCTATTTGGCAACATTACGATTTTGCTGGATTGGGTCAAAAGCCTGGGCCAGATACACTGTGGATAAACAGATAAATCTTTCCGTGGATGGCTGTAAATGTGAAACGTCACAAACGTTTCTGATGGCGCTGTTTGTAATGCCGTAAATCTCACTTCCTGCAAGCCAAGGATTTAAAATGAAACTAAGATATCTTCTTCCTATGACGCAATTAAACATTTGTTTGCCGTTCGCTGGAAACTTTAGTCCCGCAGCAGCCGATTTTACCGACTACAATGGGTAAAAATGTACGTGTAATGGTCCTTACCGTTCTTATACGTGTAGTCATATTCAATATGCTCTTCCTGCTAACATGCGTATTTGACGGCATCCCTAACATCAACTCGATTGTGCTAATGGTAAGTTTATATACTTTACTCGCAACTTTCGTATTGGCATTGCAAATTTAGGTAGAACCATTTGGTGCGAATTTTTGTAGCAAAACTATCAATGACATCACCATAATCTTTCTTTCTATAAACTGTGATAACATTGGATATTCTAATGATTCTGATTTTGAATTATAGCTGCGAGTCGCAGCCCAGAGGGTTGGTAAATAGTTCTTTACGGTATAGGCCTAACTATATATACTCATAGGACCATTTTAAAAAGTACATTTTAGTAAGTGAACTTTTGCTACTCATGAGGTACATTTAAATTCGTTTGAAATTTTTGCTTATGTATTCCGGCCCCTCTATGAAATATGTACTTTTGCGTTTAAGCTGTATTTCGCATGATATTTCTTACTTCTTTTTTGCATGCTAATTTCAAACTCAACAGAATCAGTGAAGTATATACATATCATTTAAAATAGACTGTAACACTGTCACAGTAACAGAGAGTTTTCGAATAAAATTATCCGCTATATAAGAATATAAATTTTTCGTATCTCGTTCAGCTGTTTAAAAGCGTTTCGTTTGAAAAATTCACACAAATTCAATATTATTCTTCAGCAGATCTTCCTTCAATTCAAATTTCGACGATCTTCATATATATATACATATGCCAATTTTTCGGGTTGCAACTTGTTTTCCACGTGTGTCAGAGTGAAACATGGACTTTGACCTAAACATCTCGCGTTGATGTACGTCACACAGTCCCTATCCTATGACGTCATTGATAAACGGGTTAATACTTTCCGTACCTGGGTTCAGTGGTGCTATATGTACATGCAGTGCATACTAGTGGTTTATCTGATGCAACAAATAAATACGAAGATTTTACATTTTCAATTTCTGCTTCAATATTGTAGTAGGTATGCGCCTACAGGTGAACGAAGGCTAGAGTGTTTAATTAAGTTGCAAAAACGTGGACTCTCTTTCTAGAATTTTCGTTTGTATTCTTTACTTTATACATCCTTATTTCAAAATCCGTTGAGTAAGAACCCTCTCCACACCTCCGCTGTTAAATTAACGGCCTTTAAAGGGGTTTGCCTGGGGAAAATATCTAGAATCGAAGATACTGAATATGGTACTGATAACAACCAGATACCTATACGAGAAAACGCGTCAAAATATAGCATACCCAAAAACCTTAATTGCATGATAGTAAAGAAATTGCAGCAATATTGGCAGGTTGTAATAAAATGTAAAGTATATGGTCTAAGCACAGTGTTAGTAAGACAAACATACATGATAATTAAAGACGTTGGTATATATATATAATATATCTTTTTGGTGCTTTTTTAGCTCTCGCTTATTCTTGTTGTTCCACTGCCTCGTTTGGAACCGGTGCTTTATATCCTCGACGAAATCTACACTTTTATCTCCATCTACATAAGGTTAGTGTTTTAAGCCTAAACGTCTATGCTGTTGATGATATCTTAGAGGTTCTTTTCACTAAAACCAACTCGTTGATATTACTATAACATATTGCGGCATTCGTAAAACTTTTTGCTCCATTCTTACACTGATCAAGCAAGCCTTCAGTTGTCTTCCACAAAGGTTTGCTTAATTTGGCCCGAGTCCAGAGGCGTGGTCTGAAAGCAAATTTTAAAACGTTGATTTATTTGGTTTTGAATTTGAACTACAATTTATTTTCAGACAGGTGTTACTTACCGGGGCGCCGGAACCACGGGAGCAGCGGGGCAGCTCCCCCCTACCCTTTGCTTACGGGGGCGAGCGGGGGCAGCCCTATGCCCTTTGCTACCATATCATAAATTCAACATTTAATCATGATGCCTAATTTTCGCATAAAAACTAACCGGTAATATTATTGAAAATCCGTTCTCCCGTGGATTTGCAAGTTCGCATGTACTTGTAAATTTGAGTTTCCTCTTCGTGTGGTTGCTAAGGTAAAATGAATGTGGCCTTTTCTAAAACTCTGCCCCCGCTGCCCTAAACTGCTCCCGGCGCCCCTGGTTGCTTACTGATATTTTTATATGCATTGTTGAGTAATTAAAGGAGGTGATACTGTAATTGCGTATAGAGATCGATGAAGCTTGAATTTGCAAAAAGTCTAATGTCTTCACCGCGTGTCCAATAATTAAACATTTATGAAAGAATAATAAGCCGAGTATCCCGAGCATATTTTTATTGACTGTAATTTTTTTTAATGGAAGAGCTACGTGTTATGACTAGGTTATGACTATAAAATAAGAAAAAATAAAAAATAAAAAAACGAAGAAATAAAAAAGCTTAAATATTTAAACTAATTAATAACTGTAATATAATTAACAATAATAATTCATTTACAAAGAGAAAGCTACGAATTATGACTAGGTTGTTACATATAAGAGACCTGCAAGCTATGACCAGGTTAAGACTATTATAGTTGAACTGTAAATTTTTAAACCGCAATCTAATTAACAATAATAATTCATTTACAGAGAGGCAGACCGCGTAGCTAGAAAGGCGTGCCAGGCCCATTGAAATTCCACACCAACCTCAAAGTTTTTAAGGGTGCATGTCGAGTTATATATAGCATGCTTTCAGTTATACGCAGTGTACGTCTAGTGTAGAGTAGTTAGAGTTACACTACACGTATTTTAAGTAAATTATCGATGGAATAGATTTATATAAATAAATTTATGAAATGAATTTATAAAATGAAATAATTGTATGCAACTAATCTATACAGATAAAGTCAAAATTAGCCCTGGAGCTGGGGAAAATAAACGAAGCCGTATGTTAAAAATGAATTTTATTATTTCTCCAGAATTGTCCGAAAGTTGGTGAGCTGGGTTTATTCTTTTGTTTTGTTACCATCCTTGGTCTGTTTGACTCCTTTGGTACGATGGACGTTTTCCCAATGTGTATCGTTAAGTACGATAATAAGGTATGCCAAGGGCAATTCTTATTGATAACCATATAGTGATGAAAATTAATAATAAAAGCAGCCAACTTCTACAGAATTAACATGTACATATTTCACTTTTTAGTGGAATTGCTCCGCTATCAAAAGCAATCATACAGTGGCTGGTGCCATCGCTTGTCAGTGGTTTCTTGTTCTCTTTTAGTGAGACTGTCATAGCTGTTGCACTATTGTGGGCTAGGTAAGGGCATACGACGGAACCTCTTCCTAAATGTACACTAGCTGCATATGGATACGCCCACGCGCTTTTATGTGAAAATTCGGAAGCATGAATGTTTACTCTAATTTTCGAATATAAATTTTCCATGTATGCGAATCTTTATGTTGATATTTCCCGTATGAATTCAATAATAATCCATATTCTCTATAGGGGCATCCATTGGTTCATCACCGGCCCACTGCGTTGGATACATACGCTATTCTGCCTTGTGCGCAACCAGTATAATGATTCAAGTGAAAGTTATTTCTCTTTTCCAAGGTATTTGCTTTTAATTCGAGATTTCCCCATAGAAACAGGGCCCATTGAATAGAAAAAAGTAACTCCTGACAAGACCGGGAATGGTGTATCATGGGAGAGGTTTTAATGAACGGAGGGTTCCAAGTCTAAATAGAAGAGAGGCGAATAAAACTCAGAATGGCAGCATAGAGATTTGAAGAGAGAGATTATCTAGATGTTTATTCAGGTTTCCATAAATTGCATGCAAAGGTGATGGTTTTGGAGGAGGCGTATTTGAGGGATACGAAGTGTATGATTTTTAAAATTACACTCATGCAGTCAATAAAAGGACTTTGGCTGTTAAAATGTCCTACACTGCATAGCTGAAAATGGTTTTGAAATTTTAGGTATTTTATCATGCTGCTTTTGAGTATATCAGCTTTAGTCATAGCTTTACCTAGTCCCGTATCGGTGTTGAACTATTTGGTAACGGGCTATGGATATCCTGGCTCGACAATAAGGTAAGGCAAACAAAATTGTACTAATTGTACTATATAGTAACCCCATGGCGACACGATATTTGGTATCAGTTTAAAACACCTATTACTTTCTCAAATGATTTATATTATTTCTTAGTCTGTGAGATTAGTTCATTTCCTCAGGTTTTAACTACAGCGTTTAACGCATCCTGAATTCGTACTATTAATTATAATGTGAAGTTAAAAATTTTCTCTCCGAATTTTCTTTGTAATATGAGCCAGTGGACGAAACTAGCAAACCATATATAGGGAACCGAACAGTCAAATTATTCTAAACCAACCACTTTTAAAAATCCGAACAAATCAGATCGTTTCATTAGCGAAAAACCTCAGTTTTACCTCTCGGATCTGTTCCACAGTTTTGCACATATCCAAGCCCGAAATGTTTAAAAAGAATGCAAAACTTCATTTGAATACTCAATTTCTGTCCCCAATCGATCCGTTTTGTTACAGTTTGATCAGTTTTCCGAATACGAAAGAGCTTAAACTAGCCAACTCCTAAACTATAGTTAATAATTCATTGTCTTGATTGCTATTTCGCTTTTCCAGAAGTCTTTTTTGTCCTGCCAATTGTATCATAGGTTTCATCACCTTTTTAAGTATCATGTCATGCCAATAGTGTTTTAGACTTCTTTGTTGAGATGTCGGTTAAATTCGTGTCCTGTTGTCGTTATCATGTCATTTGTATCTTAGATTTCACTACTGCCCCGCTTTACGGAAAACTAACCTGATGTCGTACCTTTTCCTGGAGGTTTCGTATCCATTGTGGAATATTACGAGAACGGTTAACTTCTATCTGTTCAGCAAGTATCTATTCAATGGCTCTTGGAGCGTTCATATTAATATCAAAAACCAAATTGGACCAGGCTATAGTACGTGGCTGATGGGGTACTCCAGAATGTTTTGTGTCGGACTGGTGACGCCATTCGTCCTACCATTTCAATGTTTTGGACAGGTCATCAACAACATTCTTTGTAGTCTATGTCATGTAGCTTTCCTGACCATACTTAACGGTCACACGCGCGTGAATTTCTTTCTGATTTACTACGGAGTCTGTTCTATTTGCGTTCATGTCGAGAGCACACTTGTTGCACTTGCAAGCACTTTGCACAGCTTAAGGCTGACGATGAACGATCAGGTAACGACTATAATTTGTATGATGGAACTGTATCTCATGATCCACGTCTCGTGGCTAACGTGCAAAATTATATGGAGAAAGATAAAAGCCCCAAACGAAGACGTTTTGTGGGAGAATTGTAGCCATAATGAGTAAAATCAGCGCTAGCAATTCTTCGTAGCCGGTAGACAATTTTTCAGTCTGCAATGGTCCTGGAGAGGTATACTCTCTGGAGGGAATTTTGGATTGGTTTAAATCAGTTGGTAGTGTTTGGACGTTAGAAACGACCTCAGAATTAAATTCTTACCTTTTAGGGGAAGGCCAACTTGGCAAAAATGCCCTTTTTCTACTGTGTCGCAAAATATAATATCGAATAGCCAGCAATCTTTGCGCAATTTGTTTGAATTTGCTTTGGAAATGCAAGAAAAGCAGCCAAGCAGTTTAGCTCAAATGCCCCCATGGCACATCGCTTATTAAAGAGATTAGGTGCTGATGTTTTGCGACACAATGTACAGAATTAATAGATTGGTGGACGAAGATATGAAATTTGTTTTAAGTGTTTTTGGGAAAATAATTTCTAATAACAATACAATAGCTATGGCTACACAAAACTGCAAGTGTGTAGAGAGTGTATAAAAAAAGGCAAATATTTCATATTGCAATTAAGCACAATACTGCATTATCGTAGCTACTTCCAGCTGTGTAGCTCACAAAGTGCATACTTTTGAACATTAAATGTTGCCTTTTTATATACACCCTGTATAATAATGGAACTTGTAAAAAAGTAAATAATAATAGAACTTCAGAAGTGGGGCTGACGGTTAGTTTGGTATCTCTTTTTTTTCTGTTCATCTATCTGTTTATCAGGGTCTTTGTAGTTTGTAGTTCTACCTTTTATGAAACTAGCTAGAGAAAGGCTTCTCACGAAAGCGCAAATGCTGAAACACGTGGTTAATGCCTCGACATCGTGAAATAGCCTGTGTTTGAAGCATAGATGATAGAGACAAGAGTCAACTCCATTCAAAAGTCAGTTCCATCTTTTTGCAAAATTATTTCGATTTTAAAAGAACATTGAATGGAATGCATGGTATTCATATTGGCGGTAAATTCAAAGAAAACGCCATGATGAAGAGACCACTAACAATTAACGATGAAGCAACTTTTGTCCCTTTTGTCCGGGGAGCCGAACTGGCCAGTCCGCCTTTACACCGTTTGCAGCTCAAATTGGAGTACACATGCCCATAGAATTTGTATTGGGTTAAATCAAATGCGTGATACGTAAAATCAAATTCCCAAAATGCGAACTGTAATATATACAGATATGTCAATACGCTAAATCAAATTCACATCAGTTTAAATTTAATTTTGAGTTTATCAAATAAATTTTTAATGAAGTCAAACCAGCTTTGATCGATATCCAATAATTTTGACAGCGATTATTTCAAAGTTACATGATTCGTATGCAGTACGTGACTCACACTACCTAATTAACGGTGCGCAAAATACGTGTAAACGTGTTGTTCAAACATGGGTACAATGTTTACACGCATTTTTGAAAAAATACACACAAAACATGATTTAAATTTCCGTGCGGCAAATCAATTGGCCAATTCCTTTGGATGTGCGTTATATGCCGCGCATCGACCAACATTGCATGGACCCAGTACGAGTACGAGTACGAGTACAATCTCCGTCATCTTGTTGGCGTGCGGATAGCTCCTTTGTTATCGTAACTTTGAGGACTAACCAACAAGCTCCGTTGCCGTTTTATGCACAACTAGTTGTGTGGCTCGAACATGTCACAATCATGAACTCCATGTTAATTAGCCATGGTCTCCGCTCTGCTTCTGCCAACCTTGTTGACCAATTTTTGATTTATTTGATTTGATAAACAACTAATATATCATACAAATCTCCTGCATAAACAGCAATTTTCTACTTCGAAATTCTCATCATCGTCATCGACAACGATATTGATTACAAAAAATAGCCGGCCAAACTCTACCATTAAGAAGTCACTCTTACGAAAAACTATGTGATGCAAAGCTTTTGTTTTTCTCAACTAATGGCTGTTATCGGTATTCACGGCCTAGTTCATACGTCGCATTTTGGTCGCGTCGAATGCAATTCAAACAATAGATAATGAGATGATAAATGTATTTATTATTAAATAATAAAGGAAGTTAATGTTATACGGGTCTTCGTATCGTAGTGTCGCGGGTCCTAGGACGCTTGTCCGGTCGGCTACTTGCCCCCTCCGGTGAGTATAAATATGAGCCCAGTTTGCCTGATCGAGTTGTTAGTTGCTTGCGTGACCCATCCCTCCCGTTTCCCTAACGACTTCACGCGATGTTGTGAACTCTACGGGAGAAGCGTCTTATTAATCTCGCTGGGGTTTGTTTTTTTTTGTTAGTTTGTTTTGCAGGATTAAGCACAGTTCTTTTCACACCCGTTTTGGTCGTGGAATCGGTGTTTGGGGTAAAGGTAAATTCATTAATGATCGCCACATTTACAGGTTGTTTTTTTTTTGTTTCGTGTGTGTGTGTACTTTGATGTTCGTATCGTTTATTCCACGGTTTCACTTCAGTGACTCACGTGTGACAGTTGATCACGGGATGGAGGAGGTACCGTTAAAATAGCATGGTTCGTTGAGTTATTATCTGCGCCGAAAACAGCAAACTCAAAAGAAACACCGTTTCACCCCTAGCCCGACCGTTTCGCTCGGATACCGTCTCCATCCCTACCGATCGGCAGCGGGCAAAAATATAGTGTAAGAGCTGGTGTGCTATCGTAATGATGTGAGCCTTAGGATCCGTTAGAACGTTAAACCTCATTAAGCTTCATTATCATCTCATTATCTATATTGTTTGAATTGCATTCGACGCGACCAAAATGCGACGTATGGTCTAGGCCTAAAATTACACGAGAACAATTAGGGCCAACTATGCATAAAGTGGATTTGAATGAGATCACCATGCATATCAAGTTCTTTGCGTCAGGTCACTGGGTGATATTCGGTGACATGTTTTGGGATTGATTATTATTGTTCACAAAGACCTGGTATTTTCTCTCAAAAATTACTGCCATTTTGTTGTGATTTGGCGATATATGTGATAAATGTTATGCGTATAAATGTGTATTGAAAATCTTAAGCACGATTATGGTTCAAGGTGAAAATCGTCTCATTAATACTGGCTGGCGTGTTAAAGATGTGCTTTATCAAACATAATCGGAAAAATCGAAGGTAGTCTTACAATATTTTCTAAAGTAATTTAGCTTGTAGGCACACCACGCAAGTATTTAATACTGCAAAGCTTTCGGTCCGTTAATCCGAGCCAGTGCAATTGGTTTGATATTTCAACTGATGAAGGCCCGGGTTAAAGGACCGAAAACTTCGCAGTGTTAAATACTTACGCGGTGTACAAGCTGAATTACTTATCAACTGTCACCATGCAAACATACAAGAATATTAGTATTTTCTAAGTTGATGCGATGCTTTATAAGTATAATAATCCATCAACACATTAGTATAAGTATTTTCATATGTCATCTTCGCCTAAAGCATGGATTTTTATAATTACTTGTTAGTTGTTGCATTTGGTCAGTGCCCGGATCGGCTGCCATTTTGAATTTTTCATACGGTTGTGCCATAGGTGGCCCAACCGTAAAGTTTTGGATGAAATAAAACTGAGAAAAAATTCGTTTTGCGGATGGGGTTTCGCTTTAGAGTAAGAGTGGAGTTACAATTAATCAGCGGTTACAAAATGAAATACTTCATCTGTTTGTTTAATGTTTTGCAAGGTTTTGATGTTTTGCATAAAGTATTCATTCAATTAGTTGTGTTGGAAATATAACAATGCATTTGTGGTTATAAAATTATTTATTTTCTGTGTAAGTGTATGTGATCTTTTTACAAGTTAATGCAAAAGTGCATGCGAAGCTATTAACATTCTTTACCTACAGTATTATAAATTATATGTATAATACATTTTTTAAAAAGCTTATGTCATTTATATAAATAAGGTAATTTAATTTTAAAAAATTGACCACACTAATAAAAGGTCCAATATAGGTTCTTTTTTTGGGGCCTCGAGAACAAATTTAATTTTTTTCGGATGGATCTCTTTAGTTTGCTCAGTTATCTTGGGGCAAACACATTTTTTGCAAAAACCTATAACCTTGTTCTTTTTGAGGACCACAGCATTGCCCACAATGTAACGTGATATGTGTTTCTTTAAATAAACAAATTAAAATCTTAAACATGCACTGCCTCAGAGGAGCACAAACACTGGTTACATTCAATTTTCATAAAAAAAAACTTGGAATACGGTATTTTCCAATGTGTTTTCCCCAGGGACCGGTTGTATAAAATGATTGGACAATTCTGTTCTTAACTACAGTTAAAAGTTAACTAGTCTTTTATACAACTGGCCCCAGGAAGACGGCGTAGATGACCCAAACATTTTAGAATTCATTACGTTTAGTTACTATTTAAATACATTCATTCAAACTCACTTGGCCATTAAGCGGCCGGGCTTGGATATAAACATAAAGTATATCCGTACGCGCATGCACTTATGCGCATTTAGTCTAATATGGTGCATTCATTATGGTGTATTCATTTTATCCTAATATTGTGGAAGGTGTTCGTGGGTTTATAGCACGGTGCGCGTGGAAGGAGGTTCGTGCGCATGACGCAGCCTGTTTGCGGATTTTCCCGCGCACGCTATCGGCACGTGCGTATTTCTTCCCTCGTGTTGCAGCTCTTGCACCTCACGTCTTTGATCCGATCGTCCCATTTACACGAGCATTGTGTCACGGAAATGGTTATCGTCCTGGTGGTGTGTCCTCGTCCGCAGCATAAGTTGGTGCACACGTTAACCGGTGTCTTGTCCACTGGAGATAAACGTCCAAAAGTATCCGGAAATCTATGCCCACAAATTCTTCCAGTGGTACCAGGCAGCTTGTTTTTGTTGTCGGGGACGCAAAAGTTTCTCGAGTTGTACAAGTATCCCATTTCGCCAGACCTCAGCTTCCTCATGCTGTCCGACCGCGGTTTTTTATCGTCTGTTGTCCTCCGCCTTTTTATCACAAGCTCTTTCCAAATCTCGCCAGCGTTGGATAGCTCAACTTGCAACGCCTTCTTGTACAACCTGAAAAGTCTCGTCGAGATCATGCTGAATTCTATCGGCAAGTACCTTGTGCAGATTTGCACGGGGCACGACGCGGTCATTCCGTGACATTTGCAGTCCAGCGATAAACTTTCTCGTGCGATCTGTGAAAAGAAAACAAAAAATTAACGTAAATGAATGCACATAAGGCCTGCACGGTTCTCGTATATCGCAATTCATCGGCGATGTCTATTGTCGGTGGTTATTGATGCATGAAATGCTTTGTCTATCAAACAAAGAACAAGGCTTAATGAACGGCGGAGGACTCAGCTTTATTAACATTACAATTTTGTGAACCTGTGTACACATGGATAGAACAAATTCGAAATCGTTTTAAAAAACGATTCTACTCTGAGGTGGTGCTTTCTTTTCTACAAATGTTATAAGTGATGAATATTCTTGTAATTTTGAATGAGAGCGACAGTATTTACGTATATACACACGTGGTGAACCTACAAACTGATATATTTTGCCCATATAGATATTAACTCTTTCTGTGTGGATCAGTCTGCTGTAGGAACTAGGAACACTCAGAATTTCATTGTTTATCTCGCATTATAAGCGTCCTATATCAATATATATTATTAGGGGGATTAAACTCGTCAGCTGCTTCGTCATGTATATGTTTTTGAACTTAGACTACTTCGGTATAACTTTTATTTAAATGCTAACCGTGTTAGAATAATACAGTATGAATGCAAAAAGTAGTAACGTGAAAATGTTTATGATGCTGTATATCAATGCATCCATGCAATAAATTTTTCTTTCTTTCATAGCTTGTTAAGCGTTGTATTTTGAACGTAAATTTTTATTATTAAACATTGTAGTTACTATAAGCGTTCTAATTTGTCAATATATAGCCATGCATCAGATAATCTAGCAATAACGTCACCTGCAGATAAATAAATTATCTGCTACAGCAGATAATTGAATTATCCCTGCATGGTTGAGCCTGCAGTACGCTCATTTAGCAGCGCCATTATATAATTTGAGAACAAAAAACACATGAATGAACAATGTTAAAAAGCGAACAAACATACATGCATGGTTAAAAACGTGCACTCGAAACTAACATGTGAATCAGACGTGACCTTAATTCTTAAATCTAAAGCTGGGTTATCTTGTTGTTCAGTTTAGAGCAGAACGTAAATATTTATAAACGAATAAAACGAACGCGTTTTTGCCATGTATAATGCAACAATTTCTTATTCGATATTTGCGATATTAGGAATTCCTCATTCTGTATTTGTGATATCAGGATCTCGGGTAAGGTTATCAACATGTCCTTTGACTTTGGTTTGGCTGATAACATTAACCTTGACTCGATAATTCATGATATCCCAAGTACTTCGCCCAATAATTGTTTATTTCAAGATAACGATTCCCGCCTGGTAAATCTCTCAAATCTGTTTTGATAAGCAGCCAGTCCAAATGTTCCTGATATGTTCCAGTGAACGCCACTGATCTTGAATAAAAACTACTGGTTAACAAATGTTTTATGCTGCTTGCAAAATCATTGCTTGAAATTTTTGAGCTTTCGACAAAATGACCCAGACAGTGACGAAGCATTGTTTATGGGCATGCATTTCAAATTAAATTAGTGGTATTTGTATATATGCATGCATTCCAATGGAGGTTCAATCACTGGCTGTTGCATATCATGCCATATCAAGCTAATTTGAAATGCATGAAAAAATCATTTTTCAAAACATCCATTAGGAATTTCAAATTGAGTTTTGAAAATCGATATTTTAAAAAAATCTATTTGATTGCGTGCTCTTTTACTGACCCACACCATTAATGCAAAAAAAGGATATATAGTTTACTGCTTAAGATGAAATAGATAATGATTTATCGCGATAGACTTCAACTTATGTTAGGTGGTTGTTATCAAGGTGGTAACAATAATCGGCATCTATTTAGACTAGTATGTTAATTGTCGTGACGTGTTTTCTTTTTACTAATTAGACACTCGGAATCTAAAATATTCATAATATCTCTTGTTTGATCTTTAGTTATTTATTGATATTTTTCAGGAGCACTGCTTGATTCGTATACATATTGCAACGCCATATATTTCCAAATTAGCTACATCGTCGTAGACAACATAATTTTATGGTGGGACGCCTGCATGTACTCTCTAACCATGCAAGTGCATGCCAAATACAAAATGGATTCGTCAACAATATTTCAACAATTTCCTAGTACATGCCGAATTCTGGGTTCTTTTGAGGACAAAACAATCATATGAAGCATTGCCAACCTCTTGCCGGCACTAATGTTGTTGGTATATAGTAAACTGCAACTCCGAAATTGGTCAATACGGCATCTTGTATGCATGCATGTCCTGCCTATAAAGCTTGGTGCATCAACATAGGATAGCATCCACCTTAACCATTAAAAGTTTACAAAACCTGATTTTTATAGGCAGTTCTTTTCATGGTTTTAGAAATGATTTGTCCAACTATGTTGCTAGGTTAAAGTCAATAGGTAAAAATAAACAACAACGATATTTTAAAATATATTCATCGCATTCATTAACATATATATATTAAAATGTTACAAACTATGAGACATCAATATTTCTACATATATTATATTATATATAATTTTCTTTTTCATATATTTATATAATATAGTTATAGAATCTAATTTGAGTTCACCTACGTTTGATATACTTCATATGCTAAATCTATAATACAACATAATGAAAATAAGTTATCAATATTCTTCGAATATTTTAAAATCGAACCAAACTTATTGACATACATACAGCAGTATAGACAAATTCATTAGCGCGTAAAAACATCAACTTGGTTGAATAGGTTTTTTTGCAATTTCTTTCTTTCTGTGTTTGCCCGCATGTCATTTTTTTCTCCCATTTTCTAAGAATACGTCAAAAATCCCAAAACATGCGAAGGTAATAAAAGTCAAATTAAGCTAGATATCTCTATTGTAATTCAATCCAAATGTTTTATTTGAATTGCTGATTCATCTGGGCTTCGGAAAACGATTTCTTTTGAAATGGTTGTGTAAACACCCTTTTCCATATTAGCTTGTTGTATGATTAAAAAGACTGTGGACTATTTTTTGTTGTATCGTTCAAACATCCGGTTCACCACATGCCTAAAATTTATGAATAAAAAACTTTCGAAATATTTTTTTTCGAAAAAAGTTTTTTTTGTAAATTTTACGCAACTGCTGGATCCTATTGCATGACGAGTTATTGATTTGAATAAGCTGCGCTTGTCACTTCATTTGAAACACGTTTATTTCAAAAAGTTTTTGAAATGCTGACCGATAAAAATAAAGTAGCTACCCTTCTTTAAATGTACAAAATGAATAGGATTTAATGCACAGTCAAACTATGCAATTTTTCCTTTGTAATTCAGTTACAATCGTAAAATTCTTTTAATATCCAACACCAAGCGACAGTTTAAGAAGTATAAAACGAAAAGCATTCCTGAGAGGAACATCTAGATCTATATAGGTTAGAGCAGCAATGTAGGCAGTTTCGATTGGATGTTACAAAATGATTGTGTAATAGCTAAAATCGGAATTTCACAATCGAAATTGTCTGTGTTTTGTTTTGTTTTAGGCGAAATCTTAAATTTGCCAAGATGCTTATCTTGAAGATGTGTTTTCAATTTTTCGAACTGATATGGCGAGAGAGATACATATCTATATTGGTTTAAAAAGGTCAATACGATACGATTGATGCGGACCCATTGTATAGGCTTAATCAGTTCTATTTTAATTCATCGACTCGCGTCGCGACAAACCTTAATTTTGCTATAAACATGCAAGCAATAAGTTTGGTTTTTTATCTCGGAATAAAAGAAAGATGTAAAATATACCATACGCCTCTAATAGGTCGAAAATCATTTACGTCAGTTAATTGCATATAGACACAGTTGCCGGCACGGAACATTTTGTGCAAATTAATTTCCATCTAGATGTGGAAAATCTGCATCTGCAATTTACTTTCTTGGTGTTGTTTACTATGCTATACCCTCGTCCACAACACAAATTGCCGCAAACATCAAAACGATCTGGCAAGTCTGGGTTGAATTTTATCAGATTCCTCGCATCGAACTTCAATCTCTGCGCGCATACACGCCCCCTGGTTCCAGGTTTCTTGTGAGGATTGGTAGGGTCTGGGAGACAGAAATCCCGAGATCCATAAAGATAGGCCATTTCACCAGATTTGACTTTCCGCGCCCTCCTTTCGTTATTGCCGTTATTCTTGATTTTGAGAACCGCGTTTCTTTTGCTAAGGGTCACCAGTCGCGCTTGCTTATAGCGATCGAAGATTTCCTCGGAGATTTTGCTGAACGGAACTACGAGCAGTTGCACGCATAATTCCTGTGCACAAGAGCCAACCCCAAAACCTGGACAGCGGCAGGTTGCATTTAGACTCTCCCGGACCACCTGTCAATGGAAAAATCACAGATATCACGTTACACTCCAGGAATTTGACTCGGAAGGGCTATGTCACGTGATTGCCATGAATTCCAAGTCAGCAAAGAAAAGATATAGGAAAAGAATGTACTTACACGAAAATCACGAATGTGCGAGCGATGCATCATTCGAGGGATACATATTCTTTAAGATCTTATACACAAAATACAGAATCCCAAATTTTCTTTGTATCCCTCGTGTGGGTATCAGTACTGGTTAGTAATAAATTCATCCTCCGTTGGAGCGGACGCGATCCACAATAAAAGATATTTCTTTAAAAGACTTTCTCCCGATCGAATAACAAGTTTGCAGCAACGATCTGCGAGACTACGCGAATGTAGTTTCGTCATCTTTCTTCGTCTTGATGCAAAGTTAGCAATACGAGTTCGCGGTAGAATGGTTTGAAAGAAATCGCCGGCCTGTTCGAACCGTGACATAGCCCTTCTCAAGTATCTCACACGATTGAAGTCAATTATGGGGATAGTTTTACTTTCACAGCGTAAAGACGTACATACAAATTACGAAAAAAAGGCTTATCTGTACCCCCATTTAATACACCTGTACCCCCAGTTAATTACACCATCTTTCGACATACGAATAATATAGTATATAATTTGTTATTATACATATTTTTTGATATTATACTTTTTATGAAAGGATAATTAATAGTTGCCTGCCGAATTTTTGGAACGTTGTTTTGATTACTTACTTTCACGGAGTGTTCATGGTTTACGGGGGGAAACTATTGGTTTAATATTGTAATTTTTCGTTTGCACCAATCCGTAAATAGGTAGTTATCTTATTATCAAGCATTGATTTACATTTACTGTTGGAAACCCATCAGTGTATGACTGTATGGTTTGGTTTTTTATTGTTTGGTTGCTTAACCCGGCAACTTTACACTTAATATTTGTTGGTTTATCGAGATAAATGACTTCTGCAAACCATCGTGCAAACACACTATTGTGTTCACATACGCGGTATAGCTAATGTTTAGAAATGTAATCCCCCCCCCGGATTGGCACCATCAAATCAAGTAATGACGCGGAAATTCCTGAAAGTGGTGTAACCACTGATTGATCAAAGAAACTAGCATTTATATGTATATATGACCTAGTGTTGAGGAGGTCTTGGTGTTTGATGCCCCTGGTTGACCCAAGCTAAATATGGTCGCATTCGTTATTACACGAGGAAATTAGGGAAACGACTGTACGTCCCACTTGTGGTCATTTTGAAAATGCTCCATACAGCGAAAAAATAAAATGCCTTTGCGCAGAACCGTCACGTATAGTTTAGCAGATGAAATATTGAAATAGCCGTTCAGTCGGTTGAACACGTTATGCGTATGGAATTCAACTGACGCCAGCATATTGGAAAGAAATTAGAAGGCCGTTGCAAATTCATTGCATAGCACAAAATCTTTGTACGCAATCGTCTACTTATATAACATGTAATTACCTTCATTCCTATATAATCCATATATGCCGTTGTTGAAAAAAGAAATTATGGCAGATATCAGACCAATTATAAACACAGACATCGCTCGAGCAGACAAAAGATTAGTGAATTGAAGTAGTAAATTCGATTTATTCCCTAAGTCACCTTTTGTCAGCACGTCCGACAAACGCGTCTTCGGCATTCACAAGGCAAAGGCGACCGACAATTTTCCTTTGAATCATAATCGAAGATTCGAAGACGCTTGTCTGGGCCGCACGCAGCTGAGACGAAAATAATTAACAGCTCTGCTCAATTACGAAGGGATGTGAGTCAACACATGCATGATCTCGCACATTCTAAAGAACTTTTTCAATTTGAGTCAACAGATAACTAAAATACCTGTACTAGTATGGTAGTCCGAATAGGAGTGTGTCTGCTTGTATCAACGTAAATACAGAGAATACGCAAAAAATCTATTCTTTTACTTTGAAATAGAGCAAAGTAATCAATTTCAAACCCTTCACTTTTACCGAATCCTGGAATCGGTTCCAATTTAACAGTAAAGAATGCCTGCAATTTAATTTCCCCTCTATACTACGCCCAGATTAGTGGTTGCAATTATAAACAGACGGTTTTCTTTAAGAAAATAAGACCTAATTCTTTCATATTAAATCGCTACTATATAGAGCATTTACAATTTCCCTATATAAATATTAGATTGTTTCCGGTAAATTCTGCAAGCGAGCACGCACTATCAGAATGTTTTTCCATTGACTAGTATGCTGTATAGCTAACAAAAAGTTACTCGGCACACGGAGCCCTAATATATTCAATTAAGCTTTTATACAACTGTTGGCATCGTTTAAAGCCAATTGCAAGAAGAGAACTAGCGGTATAGATCGTTTTATAGATGACGTATACCAGTCTCCCATCGGCGAAAGAAACCTCTATTTTTAGTATACATTATTGTTGAAATCAACTGCGAAGAAAAAAATCTTGATAAAACCCCAATAACTGTTTAATTTGGTAATTTTGGTTTCTGGTATACCGATCAAGAAAGCCCGTTCACATTTTAGTGTAAATATCGCTGCCTTAGTAAAACAGTAGCTAGCTTGTGTTTGAGCACGGCTGGACTGAGACTTTTTTATCACAATAAATACAGCGTTTAATAGTCGAGGGTGCAATCTGTGGAAAGGTGTAACAGATATGTCTGGCGTTTGAAACTGATACGCAGATAATAATGAGGAATCAGTGTTCTGTTATCTTCGGTCGCATTAGCTATATACGTTATGTATATGAAATGCATATCATCCAGTTTATTGGAAAACGATTACATCCAAAACGAGTACATTCGATCCTTTCAGATCTGTAAGCGTGGTGTCTGGTGATAAACAGTGAAATTCTCGGATCTCACAGTTAGCATGATCTTACAGAAATGATCTTTAAACACTGATCATAAATAGAATAATCTTGTAATTAGCTTTACAACACGGGAATCGATAGGTAAGATATCACGCCGGAAAATGAAATATAGCGTTGCCCTATAGCAGCTTGTATAGGTCTGGCAAAATTCCGTGCCGTGAATCGCAAGCACATGCATGGCAACCACAAAAACCGTTATACCACATTTTATCGTTTCACGAATGACGCTGGCTGTGTGCTGCCAAAATTGAAGAGGTTCGCTGGTAAATCTTTCCTTCGCCAAGCATAAGTCGATTGCAAGTCCGATTGTGCATTTGCGGCATGCAGTACGGGCTGATTGTTAGCAGACTTTATGTAAACTTAGATGTCGAAATAGCGCAAATGAGCACGTGGGTTTCATTATGCTCGCAAGAAATCTAATTATTAAAAGCAACACGATTTCGGGCAATCACGATTCTGTTCCAACCCACGTTGACGTAATACACGGTACAAATTAGAAAAACACTTATGTTTGTTTGTTTTCTGACCGCACGAGCATTGTCCGCCATTAACAGCGTCTGAGTGGTTTGTTTTTCAATAATTAAGTTGTTATATGTTCGAATGCCTAGTGATGTTTACGGCGACATACTGTATAAAGTATTTCAAAACTTCCGAAATATAGGAGGCACATGCTTGCCATCGGCGAAAACTTGCGCTCGATCCCCTCCCCCCAAGCTCCCCCTCAAAACTATATCCTATGATGGTGTTATGATTTTACTTACAGAGATTATTTTCAGCATTCTGTGAGGAGAGGGGAAAGTTACTTACTTCACTACTGTGTCATGCCCAATGCATGTGCGTGGAATACGAACGAGCGTGTAGCTGCAGTAAACACATGCATGTTTGCCTTATGTTGTTTTTCATATCGCCGTTTATGGCCTAAAAGGCCTGCAATAAGTGAAATATATAAATGTTCATAATTAGCGATAATTTGCGCCTGTCTGTACACCAGAGATTACTTAGGTATATAATCAGTAACGCAGGCTGACTTTTCTGTTTCTCACAAGCGAAAAGTTGAGCCTTTTCAACCCTACTGTTGAAAAGACGTCTTTATATTGGCAAGAAATTATTATACCCGCCGAAATATAAAAGTTGTAAATAGGAAATGTAAATATATCAACGCTGGTATGAGGAATGCGGTTTTGGTGCAATTAAATGTTTCATCTGGAATTTGAATGTACAATAAAGTGTAGATTGGTGAATATAGAATAGCCGGAAATCGCGTTCCGCATTGCAGAGACTCGGCTAGCTGCGCCTAATCTTATGATATATACATTACTTAATTCACAGGTTAACAGCGCAATTGCGTTGGAATCTGAAAAGCAAATACTACAATTTCGAGTTCCAGCTAAGCCTAAAGGGAAACCTAATAATAACGTGTTATCGAAAGCACTGACCAAGTGTAATCTTACATATGAGGTTACATCTACGCGTCTTTTAGACATCACTTAACTTTGTAATTTTTAGTAATGATATGCCCAGTCAACATGGCAAAGTCAACAAAGCAATCCAAGTTGTAATATCCTATTTATCTCGACCTAATTTCGATCCAAATCATTTTCATACATCAAACAATGCATTTGTTGCCATGCAGAGAAAATTAATTGCTTAAATATTTTTATGAATTCACTGTAACCACAAGTGGCATTAATGCAGTTACGAGTATAGTATACATTCTATTAATAAGGCTTCCGATCATTTTAATACTCTCATTCTTCTACCCTGTTTATTTTAGGGCTATAGAAAAGAAGTTGAAAATGTTTCTCCCACTTTTTAATGGACGCATTTCTATAGCCAACTCAACGAGTATGGCCTTTTTCTTCTCGCAGTTGGAAGCCTGGTCGGATTATGCGTCAATAACTGTGCAAGGTTTGTATGATCGGGAATGCAATGAATACGCCTGCCAGGCCTTGGCGTCTCTACGCCCAGCAGTATTTTCGACGAAAAACCTTGCAATTAATAGCTCAACAATGTCACTGCGGTGTTATGCCAAGAAAAGAGCTGTCGTCATGCAATTGATGCAAAGTATTTATTGTTCACAAATAGTTACGCATCCACCGAAGCGTTTCGAGGAAGCCGCCGACCATTTTATTGTACGAAAATATGCTTCCTATATATAACCTATGTGTTCAAGCTAACAGCTTCAGCTTAACTTTAAAGCCATCTTCCTTTTATATTTATGGCTGTACGTATGTTAGCATTAAAGCGATGTACCAAACTGATTTGTCTTATATCAAAATGAGTTTGGCATATAAAACATTTTTAAGCAAATCCATTCAGTAACACGGTTTAATATATGAATGAAGTCATGTTACATGGGACAAATTTAAACTGAAAAATTCAAAACCGTTTTGTGGAGTTTTTAAAGTAGCAAATGGGACTTTTTGTAAGTTTTGATCGGCCTATAGTATATATTTATGGTGTTAGATCCGCCGTTCTGCATGTTCAGTTGAAAGCCGGTGTTTATGTGGCCAGACTTAACAGAACATAGAAATGATATAAGGATTGCTGCATGTATATTCTAAGTAAACGCGTTAATGAATACTCTCGTATTTAAGCCTACCTTTCGTCCCAGGTCATAGTTATGAAGATTGAGGATCTTCCTGCTTGCGGGCTTCTTTAATCTTTTTTCGCGACGATCAAGAAAGTCCTTGCTAAATTTTAAGCCGGTGTGAATGTTGTCGTGACAACCCTCATATCGATACGTCTTTCGCGGCTGACCAGGATTCTTTCTCTCCACTGCCTCAGCGTATCTATCAAGGAGCGAACGGCTAGGTTGCTTTCCACAGTCGCACGCCTTGTCTGCCGCACAGCTCCGGGTCACCGCGAAAACCAGAGCGGCCGAGGATAAAGCGTGTAGAAATGCCGCCTGTCTTGTTCCTAGAAGTAACATTAATGAAACATTGATTGAAATTAGGCGGCTGATTGAAGGTGTAACCTTTGAATTTGGAACCTCCTCGAACGAACGGCTTTCCGGTTCGTAAAGCGAGAATTTGCAGAGTAAAGTTTTACCTGCATGATCCACGAACATTCGAAGAACTATACCGATTATATAAACTATAGGGCGTTTTGCGCATTAGAAAGGCAGCCGAGTATTATCAAATTGTATCCACATATATGTGCAATCATGCAATCGAATCAATATATAGCTATAGGACCTATATATTTAAATAAATATATAGAGCCAAATTGTCAATTTCTAAAAAACTGACTTTGTGGAGGAACTGACATTCTTTTAACGTGTTCAGACTTCGGATACTACGCGGGTTGGGTTATAAGGTTAGGGTTAAGGTTTAGAATTAGGATTATTAGATTCGGTTGGTGCATTTTGGACGAAGAGCAGATATATCCCGCATTTTGCCTTTTAAATACACGATGAACACGATGAACATATAGTCTTAAGTGATCGAAGTATGAAATCTGCGCGCGATTTGCTTAATACCGCGCACTATCTGCATGGTATAAAAAGAGAAACCTTCTTTCAAATAGAAATTTTAAAAACTATGTTACTGGTTGTAGGTTTCGTTTCTTTTGAAGCCTATAGCCATTTAGTTTTTAACGGAGAATCTGTAATTCAGATTCGTAATAATAATGTATTGGTTGATTTCTTGAAACCGAAAACGACTAAATTGAAAATTTTTCAATGAATCAAACCAACTTTTGCGGTTTAAAGGTCGTCAAAACCACGGTTTTTAAACAGCAACATGCCAACAACCTTCTTGGCAATTTATATATGTCAGCGTTACCGTGCTATAGGACGATGATGGAAGCGTGATTAATTGTTTTACGGCAATTTTCTGGTTTGCGTTAACGAGTATGCGACAAATAAACGCATTGTCAAGTGTTATTGAAGCATTCTTGGTTCTTTTTCACGTGATGAGGACAACCGCAAACTATGTATAAAGAAGGAAATTCAAGAATTTCTTATACGCAACTCCAAAACCGATAAATATAGTCAACATCTGAAACTGCCGGATAGATTCTAGCAGATATTCCTTTTGCTTTGAATATGTTATAACTACATGAGGCCCAAATAAGGACTTGTTGGGAAACATTGACAGACCTATAGTTCATGATATAGAAATAATGATAAGAATATGTGTCGCAAAATGTATATCCATTGACTACAAATTGTTCTCCGGTGTTACTGTCTCGATCTTTTTGGGATACTCCAAAATTGTTTGGACTGGATTATAGGAGCCCGGTTGAATGTACGAAGCGTTTTAAGTTGTTCCAAACGGTAGATAAACTTAAAAAGGGTAAGACTTCAAGTATATATTATTCCCGGAAGAAAACTAAAGTTTTTCGAAATAAAAACGAAAATATTATAAAAGTGTTATTTTCAGGCTAATCGACAGTTTATACTGAACGGCCTTCGCCTTCGTATAACCAGCCTCAGGAGTTTATTGCATGTGATTCACTAACAGAACCGGTTGTTTATGTATTTCAAAATGTCGCATCAATATATGATTTCCGGAAGTATTTTTTGCGTCGTTTTCTCAGCAACAGCTTAAACAACTGGCCAATGAAGTTGTAAACACTCACGCTACACATTCGCCATTTTTACAAACTGCGTCAAGAAAAACGTACTCGTGCGTGCATGCGCTCTGCTGCTTATTTTAATTCCCAACACTGGCAACACATCTTTCTCTGTGATATTAGTCTATACGACACGCCGTTTTTCAGTTATTGTGATCGCATATATATCGTCGGAATATGACGCTCAAATGTAAAAACACTTGTTGATGCTTGTTTTTTGTTTGATTCTAATAATTACTTTTTTAAAGCGTTCTGCAAGCGATCGTTGTGCGAAGTTGTTCATGATTATTATAACCATTCGTGAATGATGCGCCATTTGATGAAGTTTATCTATATAAGGCATGTGAAATCTAGCCCAGAGGACAATAGCTGATGCTTAATTACTGGTATGTATCTGCATGCTATGGTTTAACAGCACATTTCCAAGCATATTTTTAGGTTTACATAGGTATATATAGCCTAATCTATCAACGAATAGTTGAGCTCTCATTGATCAGTGTGACATTTTTTTCCTACGCTCGTATTTATATATATACGAGCGTAGGAAAAAATGTCACAATGGTTGAAAATGATTTTGGAGTAGCAACACAGGTAATATAATACCCATGCATTATGGGTTACCCATGCATTCACCGCTAGAACTATCTATACATCCTGTATACATTTCATGACAAAACTGCATTGTTTGTTTGGAAGATGAACGAAAACAATTATTTGCCCATTTGAGGATTGTCATTGAAACGTGCGTATATACATATACAAATGCGCAACAGCTTAACAATAACAATGTCACTATAACATGTATATAAGTAGATTTATGAGCGTGGTATATAGTTTTTAAATGAACCTATATATATAACACGGACATGAAGATAAGATTACAAGTACTGATACAAATAATATTTTTCACAATGATATTAGAGCCGTGTCACATTAAAGTGCAAGGTATGCAGTACATATAATGATTGCCAATTGGGCATAAAATCAATCTCTGACCAAGCTTGTTAGCTTGAACGAACATATCGCGTCATATGAAGCTTCGAATTATTTTATTTCTCAGGGAATCTTACTACATTTATGTACATGTTTACGAAGTCACATGCAATCTCGCTATATAAAGCATTCTCACATGATTTAGGGCAAAAGCTTTATGCTATAAAGACCAACTCAATCAGTAGTTAATCAGTGAAAGGGCAACTGGTTTTTAACATCATAGTTCTAAATTTTGTCATAGCTCGAGGCAATTTTCAAACATTTTAAAGTGTGTGTGTAAAAGTTTTGGGTTATTCAGCACACTAGCCGTATTGATAGCATCGTTAAAACGGGATTTCGAATGAAAATCAGATCATGCTGCGTTGGTAATAAGTACTGGAAAATAAAGTATGTTTTCAATTTTAGGAATTTGTCCAACCGATCAATTACAGTTTCACTAATCTATCTAACTATAAGCTTTCGACTTGCGATAACTTATCATAAAGTATCCCAGCGCTTTCAAGCATCACAAGCAGCGATTTTGCGTAGCAATTAAAGCACGTTAGCATGAAGTAGGCGTTAAGGTGCATTTATACACCACAGCTAGTTTGGGTAGAACTATTTGAAATTTCAACAGCCCATATATATAAAATCCATATTATGACATCGGATGCATGTTATAAAAAGTATCGCACAAATGTGATAAAAAAAGTTCTATAAATTTCCACAATTTAAGGCGTCAGTCTGGAGTACATTGACATTGACGATGTGGAAATTACACGAATCAAATCTCAGTTCGACAAATCTATATATTGCCCTAATCATGCATCTGCAATTAATATCGGTTATTTGACTGTCAGCTGATTCTGATGCGTTTACCAGCGTGTTCCACCCGCAATGCAACGCGGAATAATCGGTAAGGTTAAGTTTTCAAATGGCAATCTTAATCCCAATTTGTATCATCAGTTGCACGTCAAAAAATTGAAGCAATTTCGGTGATAAGATTCAAATAGATTCGCGGCAATTACCGTGGCTTATTTTTAACTCTCTTCTAATTTCGTTTATCTTTTGTTGTGAAATATGAATTTGTCGATAACCCGTATAGAAAAGCGAGCGAGGAGGCTGAAACTAACGATTGCGAGGGCTGTAGTTGCCGTGTAGGGCCCAAATGCAACGGCAGAAGAAACAGATTAAATAAGGAAACGGTTTTAAAAGCTGTCATACCACCGGAAAATAGTACTTATGTAAAGTCGAGAGCCGTAAATCTTTCGGTCTTTTCTTATAATTTTGTCTACACGACCGCCGGCGAGATATTGGGTGGCGTATAAAGCACATTATTGAGAAGATGGGGGTTTTGCTCGGTTTGCTAAAGAGTATATGTACGCTCTTTTTCCACACTTGTATATTTATATGCTGCTCGTGTTTTGTTTATTCACTTATTCAATCAAACCTTAATCCTTGATGTAAATTCCAATGTGACGCTGGGCTTATAACCAATTCCAAACACGGCTTAGTGGTCGTTTACGTCAACTCTAATCATCAATCGTTTACATATGCGTCTAAGTGACAAAATCCTCTCAGACTGAGGCGAAAAAAAAGTTGGGTGAATGGAAATCGAGGAAACTCGATTGAGACCAATAGGCAGGCAAATGAAAAGTTCAGATAACCTTTTTTGGTGAACGCACAATGACAGTAAGATGTTTGCCGACATAGAGTGAACTCCTGCAGGGAGTATCAATATATTGCATATAATTCCTCCGCCACTTTGCACGCATGAAGGTATGCCGTACTCACTATTGCGTCCCACCGCTACTGTTTATGTTTGAAAGAGTTTACTTCGTGTACCCAGAGAAATCTAAGTAATCTCTAACGTAAACACGACGCTTGACAGAAGATTCGTATATTTTATTATCTTCTTCGCAGAGAGTTGACAACTTAGCTAAACACGAGGCCTTAATTATCGAATTCTCTTCGTATTTTATCTTCTGTGGGGTGCAGAAGCGGTCGTTTCTGCAAACGAAAAGGCCCATATGTAGTACGATTGTTACAACTAGCGCTTCGTTGCGCCTCTATGTGAGTTCGCGTAGCACGTGTCCGTGTTGTGAATGTCAACTCTTGTGACACAAGCGTTTGGATATCGATATTCCTCGCAAATTCCTCGCAGCGTCGCGTATTTCGACCTTGTTGTTGTTACTTATCTTGTAACAGTACAACGCCTAAATCGTAGTTGTAATAAACTTATAGTTATCGGTGTACAATGCACTGTATATAATATACGAACAGTATTTCTATGACATTCTGAAGAGGGATGTAAATAAGCCGCCCGGTAGATGACAGGACAGGTTAAGTGGATATCCCTAAAACGGTTATTTATTCCAATAAATATGCCAGACGCGCTCTGTTGTGACGACTCGCGTACGTTTTGGCAGCGTTTGAAGCGCGAAAAAGACACACGATTTCAAGACACCATTTGACGTATCCTTCAAATACTTCTATAGTAACTTACCAACTCGTAGATCCTTCGAAAATTTTGGCGCTTGAAGGACTCCCGTGCAATCCCATCTCTCGTATTTAGCGAGCCTCAAGCATTCGCTCCTCGCTAGTTCGGCCGCGGTAACGACGTACTTCATAAACCTGGTTCTCCTTCGACAAATTTTCTTCTGTTCCTTGTCCAACAACCGATTTCTGTTGGCGGTCGGTGACGACGAGCACAAGTAGCGACGCAGGTCTCTTTCGTTTGATTCATCCACCAGCGTGCTGTTTATCCCCCTTAATGAAAGTTTAAAACAAAAACATAACGTTGGGTTTATATATCGCAACTCGTTCGGACCGGACCGATCGAGAAGCATTGGGCTATTTTTGATACGATGTCAAACGCGAAAGGTCATTGCGTGTGTTGCCAACTCGGGCGTATAGCATCTATACATACAATAAGAAACAGCTCTCCGAAGCTTATTCGATACTGTTTCGTTTTTGTTAAACAATTAAACAAACACTTGTGTCTGAGTACGTACAGCCAACGGAATGAGTGGACTTCATAAAGGACCAGCACAATGGTGAGTAGAACTGACTGGATTGTCAACAAACACGGCCGCATGTTTCGGTTGATTTCGGCCAAATCGATACGGGGAGATACAAGGCAGCCAAAGGACTTGAAGAGCAGGCAAAAGCAATTGTCAACCACTTGCAGATGTTCACGGTGTAGCGTGTTAGAAGACACTAGACACCGCGGGCGTTCGGGCACGCTTTTAAATCCTTTCCGTAGCGCGCGGTTCGATTCTCAGCAGAGGTGAGCGCAATCTGTCATGCACGACGACCTCAACGAAATATAAGCGATGCTGATTCTAACTATATCATCATCGAGGGTTAAACAAATTAATTAAAAATATTTGCGACATCTGCCGGAAACTTCTGTGATATCGCTATTCACCGGGGGACGAGCGCGACATAGCGTGATATAGGGTGACTTTGTTCGCCCAGCTACTGTAGCACCATTGCGAGAGAAAACATCAAAGCTGTGTTAATCGCTTCGATAAATCATTCCGCACCTTTTGAGTGTTGTGTCATGTTCGGTAACGTATACCACTGTCGCATTCTGCATTTGTAATGCTACAGACAACAATGTTGACAATCTATGGCAGAGAGTTGAGAGAGTGAGTCACCTATAGTATAATGCAGGGAACTGGTTGTGCGCGTCCTGTTGAAAAATTGTATTGCGGTTGAATACAGGCAACGGAAATATTGTCGATACATGGCCAGGCCCCAAGGTCGAACAAACGTTGCGGCCAAACGTGTTATCGAGTCTCTTGCCTTCTATAGAAATTCCTATTGGTCCTAATCTGGGAGGGACTCCATAGGCAATCTGAGATAACATTAATTGTAATTTGGAGCTTTCATCTGCTCTGATACATGTAATCAAAACCATACAGCCGACAGGTTCGCAAATTCCTAAGCCAAATGACTCAATAATGAAGTCAACATAAGGCCCCTACCAGTTCACAACACGATCGAGAGATTTTGTGGGTTTGTATTGTCACAGAGCATTAGGCTCGACCTTAAGTTGGCGACGTTGAGTTCCTGTATTCATTCCTGTAGGAAGCCATTACACAGCAATAAAACGCCCCAAAGCACACAAATTTCGCGTTGTTTGTGTGCCCAAATTTAGTATGGGGACAGCAATATACTAAACGGAATGCGTCGATGACCGCATCCTATAGAAGTGCATGGAAAGGCTTGGAACACCCACGTCCCAATTGTCAGTTTTCTAAATTTCGACGATTCTTACAAAGTTCCCGCTGGGTCGCGATTTACTGCGATGCTTTTGGACGACAGCGAAACTTAAATTAATACACTTGTGTCAAATGAGTTGTGCAAACAAGAAATGAATAGCGATCGAAGTACTTAGGATTTGGGAGGTCTGTTTTTACTATTCTTTAATCAACACCATTGTGGAGGAAAGGGGGAGGCCCACTGTCCATGCAGTGAGACTTAATTAACACGATAGCGTAAAGGTGTTTTAAATAGTTGCTCGTCTGTTGCGTATTTCGACTAGGACACGACCGATCACATATGTTTAACATGGATCACATTCAACGTGCCGGCGTACTTGAAAGAATAGAGACTAAAATTACGCACTTTAAACATTTCATCAGGGATATCCAATAGTATTGATAGATCGAAGTGCATTCTTGTTTAATGATCTTATCGCACAGAATGAGCGGATCGCATCTTGATATTCCCGCGGAAGCAATATGCCGAGCGAAGGCCAAATTTAGGGCGAACATTCATGACTGCAGTTCTATTCCTGGTCGCTTGGTACTGAATGGACAGTAGTCGAAATAATCCGGAAATTATTGATCGTATTGTTATTGCGTTCAATCGGCACGGCATTTTTTTTCAAACACGTCTGCCTCGTATTTTCTTTCAATAGCCACTTTCAAGCGTCATCACCACCCACATCATTATGCGCTCGTTTACGGGGCTTATGGCTGCACTTGTACTTCTGTGAAGTAGTGTCAATGAAACACTTAAATCGATTTTATGTGCATACATGAACTTGGTACATGACACGAATTTTTGCTCAGCAATTCTCAGCTTGAAATGCGCTACAAGCTTCAGTTAAAATTGATCATGATTTGCGCGGTGTTCCCACTATTGACTTAAACAGGCGATTGTTATTTTGCCGTGTTTTTGCCGTGAACATATATCCAAAGCGCTCTATATAACCACTAGAATACCAGTCAAACTCCAAACATAATTTTAGAATACGTGCTGTATCTATTTATAAAAAGTCGATCATGTTTGATGGTGCAGCTATATATACGTATCGAAATATCAAAAATATTTTTTCATGTCATTTTTTATTTCGCTGATAACAGATAAGAAGATTGAACTGTGTGAAAAGTACTTTCGTGACTTGCTTCATCCGAATCGATGTAGTGATCGGAATTAATTTATTATAATAATAAATTATTTCTTCCTTATTAATTACTTTGAGTATCTATACTAAGAGTTGCTCGTATATTTCGTATATAAATAAACGTTTGTTATGATATCTTTAGGAACCTAAACTATAGGGCTCCATATTGAACTAGCCTTGTCAAACAAAGTGAAATGAATTTAAAAATATTGTGTTTAATTGTATTACGAATATATAGTATTTCTGAGTTCTCAGTGTGCAGTCTTAAACGCGCCGGCATGTGGTAAACCGGAGGCTTTGCATGGGTTGGATTCCCGATTGCATTGGACAAGATCTTCAATCAATAATCTGACTCCTGTTTGGGAGACAACACGAGTTTTTAATTTTATAAACGAGATATGCCAAAAGTAGCCGTCATACATGCATGCGCGTTTTAAACCGACACGAACATGATATATTCGCGTACAAATATCACTAATGCTTTTCGGATAAAAAGTAAAGTTGAATCAGGCGTCACAATTCTCGTTTTATCTTTCGTGTAATCTATCTAATCACACGACGCATTGTTCTAATATGTCTTGTAGACCTTTATGAATTTTTTATGAGTGTGACGAGATTTTTTTGGTGATATACCCAGTTTATATATAGGTTTTATCACAGCGCTCGATAAAGGCAGGCGAATTACGATTAAATTTATACAATCTGATTGTGAAGAATTTTCTTCGTCGAATTCGATTAAAAAAAACTAGTTAAAAAAATGTCGGCAAATCAGTGTTTATATTTACTTAATTTTGTGTCAAGTTTGAAGACTAAATTTTGAACAGTCAAAGACGAGAGAACATGATTTGCATAAAGAAATCCTTTTCCTTTTTTATGCAAAAAATACGTTTTGCTTCATGTACTTATACTATCTTTCTCCGTATAAAAACTTGTGATTATCAAATTTATCCCTGTACTGATGCAAAAATGGTTCGTCATGGTTGGTACGTTGTAATGAATCACGCCCATTGAACAAAAACCGCATTTGCTAACTATTAAGTAAAATTACGATACACGGAAATTATCCTAAAACAGGCACGGATTTCAATATTCTGAGTTACGTTTTCGAATTTTAGAAGTCGCTAATTCAAGTTGGTCGCTTAAAACCCATGCAGTTACGATTTAGTCAGGTACTGGGTAAAATTCGCGGTAGATCAGTAACATCAGGCAACCGCCGTTGAATTTCATAAATAAACAGATAACCATCATTGCTATATAGGTGCTTTGTATTTTAAATGCGATTGGTTCATTCGTAGTCATACGACTTTAACTATCAATGCAATGTTTCCCGCCAGGAAAACAAGTGAAAAATTGTTGCCCGCTTCTTGTCGTAACAAAGTAAAGTAGGTGGTTTTTTTTAATTAATTTGTTGTGTAACTTGTATGTTTTTTCCATATAACAAAAGACTCAATGTACACTACCTCGAGAAATAGTGAGTTTTGTTTTCCCTCGAGTTTCAATGTTTCCCTCCACTTCGTCTCGGAAACATTCAGACTCTTGGGAAAACAAAACTCACTATTTCTCTTGGGAGCATACATTAAGTGTATACAATATATAAGCAATAAGAATTGGCATGAAAAGTGACCATTACCTATTTTGAATCCAAATGCCGCTTCATTGGTCATAAAACAATGTAATTTAGCAGATAAAAGCCAGACGCCACATTTATGCAACCCTCATAAATCTGCTTTCTTAGTGGTAATCACGCATATTGTCAAGGAATCCCATGCAAAGGTTTTATGTGAGTATGTTGAGCCTGAATATTCCCTGCCAACCCTGGATGAAAATTGATCTGTTCCTGCAAAGAAAGCTCATCACTCTGCCTGTGGTTAGGCAGAGTGACAAATTTCATTTTACCACTTAATTAATTTATTGGGATTCATTTTGGAACTTAAAAACAATTTTGCATACCGGAAGCGGTATTTTATTTTGAATTAACTCGACATCACCACCCATATATTCCCGCATATATATATAGCAATAACCAGCGACGCCAAATTAAGTCACCTTGAAAGTTTGGAATTTGATCTTTGACTAAAATTCCGAGCGAGAACTGTATCGGGCAATTTTTAAAAATAGTAGCAAAACTCCAAAAGTGAAAAGCGACTACAAATATATACCGAACAAAGTCCAAATATTTATATACGGTAATCTTTCTCCATTCTATTACCTTGAAAATCGATTAGGTATTCAAAGAATGGCAATGAAAAATTCTGTTTTTAGACGTGAATTCAAGAAATATTTGAAAAACTTCCTCTACAGACTTTTGCTAACTTTATTTTTTGAGATATAATTAATTATGAATTCAAATGATAATCAACACAAATTTATCATACATTGAGTAACATTTTTACGTTTATTTTCACTATACATAGATTGTTTATATAACATACATAAATATTTAACAGCTCTTTATTTTTGGGTAATCCCTTCTCTTATAGCTACTACGGCAAAACAAGTAGCCATTTTGATAATAACGAAAAAGAATAAGGACAGTACTGTACATGCAGGCCGGGTATAGTTTCTATCTTCCCTATATTACAAGAAAGAGAAGTCATTTAAGTCATAAATATGAAATGCCGAGAAGGGTATCAACGAAAAGCTAATATATATAACTGCTCTTCGATACCATACGTCAGGATTCAGTGATTATACTCAAAGTATCCTGCTGAAAAATCTGTTGTTTCGTTTTTCATGAGACACCTTGTCAATGTACATATCCGCTGCGAGTTTAGAAATTTCAGTTGCTTTGCTGCCTTTGCATGAAAATTCTTGAAAGGTTGAAGAAAATGAAAATTTGTAACTGCATGCCGTTCATCTTAGAGATCTATAAATAGGAGGAAATCTTTTCATTGCTATATTTTCCTTCAATTTCATGATTGATTGCCCGTCGTCGGTTGATTAGCTGCACAAAATTTTTAATGCGAAAAATTAGGAATCGCCCTGCTGAGGATTTTATTAATTCATGCTGAAATCGCACTGAGGCTATCCGCCAAACCCGATGGAGAAAACACCTTCAATTTCAACGTGAATGTATGCATAAACCCACGGCTTCAATAACATGCTGAAATGAAAACGATTCTCCGCACTATGAAATTCTTAACCATGCATGCATACAGTGGCTAAAGTTCAAGTTGTTCCACCCTCATATGTATCCTTCACTATAGATTTCCCTTTGCTAAGCTATAGTGCAGTATCGTCCTTCAAATTTCTTTGAAATATAAGAATCTAGACGACACGCAAAGACTAGCTATAGCTTAATCAATAATTCGGTTTACAATGAACACAATAATTAATTGGCTGATTTTCATTTGCTCGAGGCTCTAATACGTCGTCTTATTGCGTCGTTTACGGGATTGGGCCCGGCTCCAACGCTGCCTTACTAATTTGCTAACAGCTTATTGTCACTTCCAAAACTAAGACCATCTATTCAATTATACTGCATGGTATGTCAGTTTCGTTGCCAAACCGCAGTCTTTGTAATAAACACGGTCCGGACTTAACTTATGGACAATTTTGTAGCATATACATATTTCCCGTCACCATGCACTGCATGTGCGCCGTGCATCGGTGCATGCATGCAGGCTTGATGCAGTCTCGTATACCACAGCATTGACTTCGACATTGACACAAAACGCCCTGTCCCTAATTACACGAGAAAAAAGTACCAGAGAGTGGCAATAATCGAAATAACGAAACAATTGGTTCTGGAACTCATTTCACCCATGCAAGTCATGAGGTCATAGATGATCGGTTATAATTGCGTCAGTTGCATGTGACCTGATGCGAACGACTAACTTTCTTTCATACGTTCCGTGGCCAAAACGTATTTTCTATCTGAATAAAGGTTGAAAAAAAGCGTTCATGAACGCTGTTAATTCTGATACTTTAGGAAACGGATACGCTAGTGAACGAACTGAATGTTTGAGAACTTTTGCAACATGGCATTGAAATAGGCAATTCATCGCTTGGTCGAAAATTTGAAGGACGTATCTTGGAAAAGTAGGAAGATGTGCATGTGCTCTATATACAATTCGTTACCAGTTAGTTTCTCTTCTGGAGAATTCTTAGAGATTATTATATATAAAGAATGCGAAAAGTGCATTTCGCATTTCAATCCATCCAATGGATACAAAGGATTTGTGCTTCAACTGCTGAGAACTAGCTATTAAATTCCATTCTTGATTGAGAGAAAAGAAATTTTCATAGACCGCCATATAACATCCTGCTAAAGATGAACTGTATATTTTAATGTCACCTGAAGTATTTTAATTATTATTCGTTGCTGCATCGATACAATTCACTGAATTGAGTGTTTTGATTGATATGCTTGGAAACCGACAGGTTGCAAAAGAAGCCGACATTGCGATATTTTTGACATTTGTTCCCCTTTTTAGCGCGTCTGCACAATGTACATGCTGCTTGCCATTGAAGTATGCGGGAAGTCAAGAATTTTCGTTTGGAGTAACTAAGTAACCAGAAGAGAGCAATCCAATTGAACTTGGGACCGCCGCAGATGCAGGTACAGATAAAAAAACAATGTAAAACATATTAGATTAACAGCAGTACCTTGGCATTACCTATCCTCCTACGAAAGTCGCACTCTATGACCTCGATTGGATGGGCGTTGGCAATCATAAGGTCACTGCGTGACCTGATTTAAATTGACTATAATCAAATCATCCATGCTGTTATCGAAAACGATTGCCTAAAACAACGGCTCGATGGTGGTCGTTTTGTTGTTTTTGTCAAAATAACCGATGCGACTCGGAGGTCTTTAAAATGCATATGAACTGTGCATATAAAATGGTACTTTGGTATCTTTTTTGGATTTGGGATATTTCGTAAAATCATGTATAATATAAATTCACTCCAAATTAGTCTTTCTAAGAAGATACTTGAAAACGTTAAATTAAAAAGAATTATGTTCCCACACGATAATTCAAATTTGTCAATTTGTCGGTCTCTTTAACTGGACAATTCGAATCCTAGAAGACGAAGAATGGGATTCTTAGAATAAAATTATCTCACAAGCTAACTGAAGGTTTTTTTGTTAATATATCGTTCTTTCGAAATGTCTCGTGACCTGCACATGCATGAAAAATACTTGACCCAACCCATAATTTCAGGGGTCGTCTCAAATAAGTAGATAAACACTTTTAATTGTGTCGCATGAAACACGCGGCCGAGACAGAAGAAATTCAAGGCGCTAATTAATAGTTTGCGAAAGAAATATATTGAGTGAATTGGGTTACGAATGCCACCATGGAGGTGTTAAAAAGTATTTATTTGAAATTAAACACAGACAAGGAATGTTCATCCAAACATCATTTTATGCTTGCCTGTCTCGGTAGGATACTTTCAGAACGTTTGTCAGTAATATTCATTTGTGTGAAAATGTCCTCCGAGGTACAGCGAATTAAAGACGTAAAAATTACAATTACTTGATGGCTTGTATAAACTTGTGGTAAATTTGGTTTACATGTGTGAATAACCCATGGATCGAAACATTAACCTATTTAACTAGAACATTATAAATGCTTAACATTTTAGAATAATTAGGAAGCAGTGTGGTAGCTTCTCCAAATAGATCTCCTGGCGTTTCATCCTTAAAAGCTTTCGTCAAGGTGGTTGTTGCTTGAAACTTTTTCTCATAGCTATTACTATATAGTTTTAATCATTAAGCCTAATCTTTGGACCTCTGGGTGACCTGAAATACATGGTGGCATGTAAATTCTATAGGTTTTAGAACTGATGATGAGATAGTCAAAAGCCGGAAATTTTCAAAATGTTTATTTGTTGCAAAAATACAGAATCTATCTGGTGGTCATAATATGTTGTGGCTCACGCTAAAACAGAAGGTTGTTGCAAGCCGCATTATAATGCAGTAAATTATAATGCCAAACACAGATGTTTGCGAACAATTATAAATTGAAGGATATCATAGATGTTTACTGTATGTTTGCATAAAATCCGTGCATTCAAGCAAATGCGTTCTCTAACCTAAAGAGCGGCTATTCCAGCTTTTTTTATCAAATGAAACAAATTTTGCTTTTACACGGCCGGGCAAAAAGTTCAACCTCCGATATTCATTATATGTTCGTCACCTGAGTTTATCGATATCTGCTTATCCATCCTTTTTCAATGTAACGCTATGTGCAGCGGTTTGGATGTCGTGTTATACGTTTTTCCGACGATAAATGCACAGGCTCTGAGCAAAAACGTTGCTGCTTGTGATCTGAGCAGGATATTTTAACTAGATCTTAGAGCATCTTTTTATTCAGCCATGTTTACTTTTGTGTGCCGCATTTTTCTACGGCACCCTACATTGCATGCTGAAAATTGAAAATTGTTTAAAAAATGGCAGATACGAAGCGATTCAGTAAGCTTTGATATCTTTGAAATAGAGCTATAGTGTCTGTTTTGAATTTATCATGTTTGAGGAAAGGATTTTCCAGTCTTGTAAAATCAATTCATTTTATGTATCGTACGAAACTTGGGGCCGTGCAAGCAGAAGAAATTCAAGACGCTAATTAATACTTTGCGATTATGGCATCGAAGAAAACTACTGTTGGTGCCCGCGAGCTTTGAAGAATTTGACGGAGCAGAACGGAGCAAAAAATAGCAGAAATGGATGCCGAAGATATCATGGATCATCAGGTTGAACAGCCAGACTGTCTAGACAGAAACTCAAAGAAGACTACTGATTTGTATTCATTTTCTCCTGTAGTAGAGAGCTTTTGCAATTCATATATTCAACTAAAATCTCTTGAGTTTTTTTATTTTGTGTCTCCATCATTCATTTAATTGGATGAGTGACCAACACTTGCTTTAAATAGTTGCTTAATTTTTCCGTAGCGGCACAAAGGTCACAAAGAGAGGCTGCTTGGAGTGCATATAGAAAAAAGTCCCTTCCACCCAACAATCTTTTACTGGCCTAGCTTATTGTATTATTTTTAGCTCTACACTTCAACCATAAGTGGTGCAGCGACTGTCCAAACAGTAAGAAAATAATAGTTACGGTGTTTTTAATTGCATTCTTTCACAGCATACCGTATCATATATCATATACATCATACATGCATATGACAACAGTTCAAGAGAAAGTTAGTATGATCATGACGAAGGCCTATTTTTAGTATATTTTAGACATTTTCTATACCACATTCGATCATTTCGATGCTAAGTTCTTTGAAGCTGCCACGCTTCTCTCTGGTTACATGGATCGTTGAAATTAAGTTATTGTTTTTCCGCATAATGGTTGAAAGTTATCCTTTTTGGATAGGTATTGAAAATGGTTAATTTGTGCCTGCAACGTAAACTAAAACATGTAGGACCGAAGACGCATAAAAACCCCACAAAAACTGGTTAATTACCCTCTCGATCGACTTGCCGCTCTTCTCTGGTATTATGGGAATTGTTATTCGGTGCTATATCAATTATGGGTACAAACGAGCGTTCTCATTAATATTCTCAGTATACCGACCAGAATGCAGGAGCTGGCTGCGGTATTGCACCATCGGACGATAATTGATAGAAAACTGCTTGAAAACAGATACTGCTTGAAATTTAAACGTGCATGTGGGTAGTCAGTTTTATGAATATTTTATACGTTTCTCTTCGTCAGGGAAAAAAGGCACACTAATGTGTATAAAACAATTTTGCCGTATAGCTATAAAATGTTGCTGTATAGAGAGACGCACATCTCGCGGTAACGAAATTCTGCGACGAAAGCCGCAAACGTTCAATTCCATCAGGCTTATGAGCAGTAGTGGATTACCAGTTGAAGGCCGTTTTTCTGGCGGAAAGGCCTGGAGACTAGCATCATTAAATTGTTGCCCGCGCGCAGGCAACAATTTAATGATAAAAAAGTATATATAGTATATAAAAGTGTTAGCAAAAATCTGTCTGTTGTTATCTTTGAACGTTGAAACTGGGGGGTTTCCTGAGGTCGTAATTCGCAGAGTGACGGCCTTCCAGAAGGGATGATAGCTTATGATGCAGTTCATTGATGAGTTGGTTGAATAGTTTTGAGCAGGCCTTGTATCGCCGTTCACTGAGGGGAAAAAGGTTGCACTTTGTCCATTGTGGGGCTGGGTTGCACTTTGTCCATTGCCATTCTTTATATCCGAGAAAAAGTTGAAGGATTGTTCCTTGTCTAAAAGATTGAATGAAAAAGATAAAATTGAATAAACTAAACTCATTACAATCAGATTACTCCATCCGATATGAAGTTAATCCCCACTTGAATCTATGACGTCACATGTACCCCAGAATAGTATTCTATACTAAAAGTAATTTCTGATTATCAAACATGCTATCAATCTATTTTCGTGTACAAATGGAATGAAATTTTAACGTTTATAGAAAAAAATATCAACTGGAGTGTGGTGTTTAGATTCATGCTTGTGCCAACACTGATGGGACCATCTTCAGTATCCTGATTGGTTAAGATTCTCAGTTTTTTAAGCTATAGTGACTGGTGCCGGTTGTATCAAGCCCGTTTAGCTTAAACGGCGGATAAGTCAAAATAAAATAACACTCCTACGTCTCTCTTGAACGAGTCAACTTGAATATTATGCACTGATTATGTGATTGTAAACCGTATCGCTGTTTTTAAGGTCTATTGTTTTTAGTTCTCCCAAATAAATTAGATAAACAGCTTCAAAATTTAACTTAGTATTTTACATTGTACACGGTTTGTAGCATAAAAAATTTAATGAAAAAGTCCGTGATAAGACTCTGAGATGTTAATTTCCGGCAAAGATCTAGAGCAATCAAATTTCAAAAATTTTATCGCTCGGCGCCAACCAAGGTGGCGCCTCGTGAGCATAGGCTCCAAATTTAAGGCATGGGACTGTAGCAATAAACCGAAAACTGTGCTTCCTACAATTCCACGTTAAATAACAACCAGGAGTTCACTCTCCTAGCCCCCCTGTCGTGGACCTTAGACCCTGTGTCGAGGAATCCCTGGCGCCACCCCTGTAAACCGGCTTGAGACTACCGGCCCCTGATCAGTAACTATAGAAGTGCCCAAAGTACATTCTAAGGGATACAACTTTTCAGGGACAAGAATTAATTAGGTAAATAGACAATTTATATAATAAGATTAAACACAAATATTTTGTCTGAATAATACACTGTATACTCTGCTACAAATTTACATACATGGACATACAAATATAACAATAGATTTTTTTAGTTCTTAAAACTGCGTTATCCACATTAATTAAATCACCCTCCTTTAGATTTGGCTTCACGATTTTGTACGCACGCCAATTTTCAAGTGGCTTACGAATATATAGAGGGCAGAAAATTTTGAATATAGATTTTTTCTATTAATTATGATACTATTTCTAGACTTTTAAGGGAATTCAAGACCATATGTTTAATAAAATTGTATTTCATAAAAATGTCCCATTTCTGCTGGCCATTGATATAGGGTTATGATTACTCATTATGATTACTGAAATTCATATTTGATACGTGACTATTCTTTTGGTTCTTTTTTCTGAGGGAGGGTAAAGTATATTATGATGAGGTATGAAAATTCTGATGTTGACCAGGATGGGATAAATCTTCTAAAAGAATATTTTCAATATACATGCAGGATTGTCTCTCGTTCAGGTTATAAAATCAAATTTCCTCTCAGTTAGCAAAAATAGTATAGAGAGATATGCTGTTTAGTAGACAGGGTCGATCAGGCTGCTTATGGTAGACAGGGTCAAACTGTTTAAAGGCTCTTTTGTACATGTCATCATGCAAAAAGCAATTTAAATTGTTTTGGCAGAATTAGCTTTTTCTCTATATCTATTATAGCTGATGTGCCAACGTGAGTTAAAAATTTCGCGCTCATGCAGT